ACGCCGACCGTCGATTATTTATAGGTTATAGATTTTGTGGCCTTCAATTTATAATAATAAATAAAGAAAACGATGTAACATATTTTCAATTCAAATAAAAATATTTTTATACATAATTATTTTTAAATAGTTAGTATTTACTAGTAGCTGCTTTCTTTTAAGGGGAGACGCAGTCTCAAAATCTCTCCTGACGAGCTGTCCCAGTAAGAATCTATACAGGGTAGTTAAACGTAAATTAACTTGACTATAAATAGTCATATAACTATTAAATAGTAATTATTGATTTTTAATTAATTAAAGAATGTTTCACAAATGAAAGAATTACATCTTTAAAAACATTGTGGTATTACATAGTCATCCAAATACTTAAAAATGTATATAAGTGTTCAAACATTGTAAATAAAATTAATTATTAACAAATGATGAATGATTTAGTTTTTTTATTATAAGAGTAAATTAATATTAAATAAGTTTGTTGCGTTTTAGTAAGAGCATTGATTGGTTATTTTTATTATTTGCTGAATAATACAACTAAAATGCATTATTGAATGTTAAAGTGAAGTGTGTTAAAGGGTAAATTGTATGATTATTAGGTATGTAATCAGTAGTGGGCCGAAGGGCGTAATTTTAACGCAGTTGCGTCAACTTTTCAAAGGGATGGTGATAATTCTACTGTTTTTATCATTTATGGATATTTTTTTAAAGAACAAATTGTATGTATAAATATATTATATTTACATAATAATTTTAGTTTCAATTTTAAATTCTTGTTGCAATGACTACTTAAAATTTGACAAATACTTATTTATCTAACACATAGAATGTATAGTATTATTTTTATCATAGTATGAGTACATTTAGAAGCTGAAGGGATAGAAAATAGCCTCACAGATTTATGGGATTAGACATTATTGGGTAGTGATGTTAGTAGTAGCCGTTATACATGATAATCAAGGAAGGAGGAAAATAAAGTCAACCCTCCCACCCTATAGCATTTTTATATACATATTACATACATATAATATATAATATATTTACAGATTATAGGTATATATTTATAATAATGTTTATATATTAATAATATTAAAACTCTCACATTAATGTATTAAAAAAAAAGTTATAAATGTATTGACTTATAAAATGTATCTTATAATAATCGGTATTCGTCAATTGCACTGAATTTGGGACACTATCTATATAGTATACATCTATTGTGTCGGTATAATAACTATACAGTACAAGTAAAAATCATAATGGCTAAAAGCAAAAATTAAAATTAAAATCCAACTTATCATTATACGTATTTGGTATTTACACTAATCATACAAATTTTGAAAAGTTTTTAAGTCTAATATTAAAATCAGTACTGTCTATTTTACTATTTATTTTTTTGTCATAAATTTAGAGTTTGGTCTATTTGTGATAACTAAGAGAACACGTATTATGATTTTTGCGTTACATTATTTTTAAAACTTCATAAAAAACAAAAATAATTGGATAAAATGAATAAAAATATTTCTCAAACGCTTAGTTTCTCACAGGCATTTGCTGTTCTTTTGCCTGATATGTTACACGATGACCAAAGATACGGTGGAAAAGTTATATTTTCATCAATATATGTAACAATGAGGAAATCGCAAAATGTATTAACTCGAATATCGATCGGCGCAATAGGTGTATACCTTTTTTCCATCGCATAATTTTTCTTTCTTTACCTGCGATTTGCGGCGCAATTGATATAAAGTCATAATAATTATTTTAGTTATAATTATATCGGTCGTGCTCGACCGAGACATAGAGTATGATAATATATTATCAGTGGCTAAAACGAAAAAATATTTTGTTATCAAATCATGAGTTCGAAAATTTGCAGTTAGATGTTGTTGGGCCAGCGACTTAGGCAAAACTACGGGTCAGGCTAGTCAGGCCATGGTCTGACCTAATACTAACAAAAAATATGTATATATTATATATTTTAATAATTATGAAAGCATTATAAATAATATATTTATACAAGTAAACGTATACATTTGTACGTTTCATATAATACAATAATATAATATAATAGTATATAGGTATAATTGGTACAAATAAGGATTATAATAGAACATAATAAGTCTATTCTATGTATTCAAATAATCGATTTTATTAGTTATTGTTAAATTTAGACATTTGAAGTTTATTTTTATAAATATATTATAGGAAATAATAGTTAATTTAACGTAAAAATACTTTTTATATTTTTCATTTGGCCTGACCTAATAAAATTGTCTAGTTTCGCATATGGCCAGCGATATACTAAATTAAAAAAAACCATATCCCAATTGGAGGGCGATCCATTTATAATTCTCCCCTTTAACAGCCACTGGATGTTGGTTAGTACTTAAATATAAAAGCACATAATTTAATAATTTAAAATTTAAATTCACTCAACCACTATATATAATTCCATTATAAAAATATTACGATCGTTGTATAAAATACAATTTTATTTGAAGAGAAACAAATACATTAATTTTATTATTTTCATCAATGGCAAAAAAATTTAAATAAATTGAAATAATAAGTTAAAAATAAAATAACTCACTAAATGTGAAATAACACATTTAATTAATTAATGTGTTCGATAAAATAAATTCATTGGATATGAATATATTTTTTTTTTTAATAGATGTATTTTTTGTATTGATGAAGTCAGTTTAATAACTTAAACTGCAATCAACATTTCAATACAATGGCATAAATACCAACGATTATTCGCAATATAATGTAAACAATAACCGTAACTAATTAATACTTGTATTATTTTTTTTTAATTTTGATTACATCCAAATAAAATTAATATTACTTGTATTTCTATATGATATACTATATTCAAATATAAAATTATCCTACGGTAATTAATATAAATAGATAACCTAAATTAGCAGTTTGAAGTACCTAACACTAGATTTTTATAAATGTATCTAAGTTTATTCTAAATCTAATTCAATTCAACTAAGGCAATTTATAAAATAAGAGAAGAATATCTCAGGAAAGATTAGCATATCAAGGAAAGTAAACGAGTTTTAAACAATGAAGTAGAAAAGTCGTACTTCCACTTCAAAAAGTGCAAACCGAATAAAAATTTATTTATTATACTCGTAAGCAGGTTTAATAAGCTGTAAACTTCGCATCTAAAATTGCACCCAAGTATGTTACGGCATGTGACCGTTGAAGGGCACTATTATATTTTACCTCTTAAATGTTGAAAGACTGAGAACAAGATTTTTCTATATAGATTGGGATATTGGGCGTGTTTAGTGATTTATCTGAGTATATATAGAAAGAAAAGTGTAAAACAAAGCTCATACAATTTTTGTGAGAAGTCTATTGTAGTTTTATATACGACTCGTAGTCATAATTGCAATTGTTTTTCATAAATAAACATTTTAACAAGTCTTTGCAAAGAATTTAAACAATATGGAATCGTCTACTAAAATTCAAAATGCTTTCACTGTCCAATTGCCACTCCATTATTCGGTATATTATATATTTATTTGTTTATATATGTTAAATATATAAATTTTATTTAACTAAAATTATGTTTAAATTTTATTTAGTGTGAATGTAAAATTATTTTCAAGAAAATGCTTTGAAAATATATTTGTTATTATATTTTTCATAACTGAATATAAACTAGTGATGTTAAATAATATTTTAATAAATTATAAAATAAATATAACTTAGTACAAATATTTGATAATTTAGTATATAAAAATTTTAATTGTCTTGCACATTGTCTTTTTTAAATGCCATTGAATTTATATTTGAATGAATATACTTTGCACACCTTTTGTAGAAATAAAAAATATTGATTTCCTGCCTATAAAATATATTTTTTATACTCATCTCCAAATAAATATCTAAAATATAACATAGAAAACGTATTTTGATACCTTTCCATTACGACCTTATAAATATATTAACAATCAATTTAAAAAATATTAAATTTAAGTTGTTAATATCTATTTTATTATACTGTATTTATTTTAATACATTTTTAAAATAATAATTTATATTTATTTCATAATTATTTAAATCTTTATTTTTTTAAATTGTACTTTTCTTATTACTTTATACCTTAATACTTTCACATTAATTTTGGAAAGGCTATTTTTCCATAACTTTTCAAAACTAGTTTTATGTGATACATATGTTTAACTAATAATAATGCATATTTCTTACAAGACCGCCATATCATATTTGTTTTTTTTTACAAGGGAATTAAATAATTCAAACCTTTTTCAATTTTTATCTAAATTTAATTTTCATCTCTAAAAATTTCCTGACAATTTTAATTTTATGGATATATGGTCTTTTCGAAATGACCAATTCAATTATGATGTATAGGTACACACAAAATTAAAAAGTCAATTTCCAAAAAAAAAAAAAAAAAGCATGTTATTATAACTTGTTAGCAAAATTAAATTTCCTATTTTTTGTAATCATTATTATTAGTTTTTTTTTAATAGAACAAAACATATCCTGCAGTACTCTTAAACTGTTGAATCTTTTTTTTCTAATGTTAATGTTAATCACTCTCACTTTACTCAGAAATTAAAATCAATGAAATACTTTTATTTTAATGTATATTTTTGTATATAAATTTTAAAAAAAAAGTATAAAACAGACCTTATAGCCATAAGTATCTAGTATAATAAAAATGAAAATAAACGAATTACAAAATATAGAAATAGTATGAACTAGAATTTTTTAATCAAAATATTTTTAATTTTTATTTTTATTTAGAAATAAGAGTAAATAAATAAGTTCTTAATCATCATTAAACTATAAATATTTTAATAACATTAATAATAATTTAAATGGATATGATGTCATAATTTTGTGTATTTTGTTTATAAAATACCATTTTTTGTTTGATGGATTAAAGTATGGCTAAAATTTGTTCATTATTTTTACTTCATATAAATACTAACAGATTTGTATTTTGTTTTCAGAAAATATTTTTTTTCAAAAATATGGATGAAAATAGTGGAGCGAAATACTCATATAGCATAGTACCGATCACTGCCAATGATAAACAAACTGTGGCTAATTTTTTAAAAAAATTCTTTTTCCGTGACGAGCCTTTAAATGTAGCTATACAATTGTTAGAAGAAATTGATTCAGCGACAAAACTTGAAAAATATTGCATTGGCTATTTAAAATATGGTAAAATATAATACTTAAATAAAATAAAATAATTTAAAATAACATAAAAAAATTTTTATTTCACGAAGTGTACAACAAAAGATGAATACTTCATAGAATAGTAGAATTAGTCAATACAATACAATTTTTTTCATTATAATTAATAAAAATTGTTGTTTACTAGTTTTATAAGAATACTAAACTTTATTTTTTTTAGTTCTCAACTAGGTATAAATATAATTTTATTATGTACATTTTCTTTTACTCAGGTATGACATTTATGGCAGTATCACAAGCTGGTGACATTATGGGTGTAATTCTGAATAATATAATGCACAGAAACGAAGAAGAGGAAGAAGAGGAAGACGATGAAGATGATAATTGTAATGATAATTTAAAGTTCAAGGAAATTGTTGTTTTGCTGGACAAAATTAAAAAGGAGGCAGATGTGTTTGAACAATATCCTAATGTAAATCGTATATTGGAGATAAAAATTGTCACAGTGAACGAAGCATATAGAGGCCAAGGAGTATGCAAAGCTCTCGTCGATAAAACTAAGTACACAAAAAATTGTATTTCTGAACTTGTTAGATAAATGTTATTTTTTGTATTAGCATCCAAAATGTCTGTTGTAGGTTAATGTGTGTTATTGTTTGTAGATATGATTTTATTTATTTTATATGATTTTCTAAGAATACTATTTCTTCTTCAACTATTTATTATACCATTATGGTGCACTAAAATAACTGAATTTAAGTTATAAATATATACTTACATTTAAACAGCTGCAAGTGGAATATATTTCAATATTTTACTCGTGATACCACAGTGGGAAATAAAACATCTATTTTTTTCTTTTAATCCCTATTTATTATTTCTACAATTCATAACATTTTATACCCAACGACAAGAAGTATTTAAGCTAATTTTATTATTATCAAATGATCAATAGTAAATTTTTGTTTTAATTTTTAGGGACTATGCTTTGAAAATGGGATGTCAAATGATTTATGTAGAGTGTACCAGCCATTTTTCTGCCAAAGCAGTCGAAAGACTTGGATTCCAATGCATTTATTCGTTGGCTTATACTGATTATGTGAACGAACAAGGTGAAATGGTATTTAAAACACAATCTCCACACAGATATGCCAAAGTATATGTGTTACCTTTGTAATAATATTATTTAACTTGGACGAGAACACCCAATATTCATCTATAAAAATAACGAAAATAATAATTATTAAGTAATTACGAATACGTTTTTTTATATATAACTGTAGAATATTTATGACGTACTTGCCAATCGAACTTCTGTTTACTGCAAATCAGAAATATTTAATTACAAGCATATAATAATGTATAATAATAATATATTAATCTATGTACAATATTATAATATTGTTCTTTACCTTATTTAATTGTTGGTTAATATAAAACATTTATTTATTTTGTTTTATTTCCTGTTACATTACACATTTATATAAATAAATATCAACCCAATTTGATGTTAAACATCATTATTTCTATAAAGTTTGTATATTTTTGTTTCATACAAAAGCATGTTAAATTAAGTGAATTACCTAGGTTTTTTTGTTACATGAATTTTATATTAAATATAATAAATATCTTGAATTATTCAAAATAAAATTATTATAAAAATATTGTTATTATGCAATAATAAATATTTTTAATTTACTAATTATTATAATTTTTTTATTTATGTGTAAAACAAAAAATTTTAAAAAAAAACTGACATAAAAAAATTTAAATTTAATATGGTTAAATTACAATTTTTAACAAAAATATTGTTGGCACTGTGTATAATTAAAGGCTAATACAATTTAACAAACATATAATTATAAAAAATTGTTTACCTATAAACATAAAAAAACTTTTTAAATATAAATCAATGATAAAATAAAATGATAATTAATTCATATTAGATTACATATTTTATTTCAATTTAAAAATAATATTATAATTTTTTTTTATTAAAAATTGCATGAATTCAAGGTAGTTTAATATATTTTTAAACTGTAATTACATTAAAAAATAACAATGAAATATTAATGGCAACTAGGAATCTTAAAATAACTTTTATTTTATAAAAATATATTCCACACATGCATATTTAATATTACTAATAATTGCTCAATTATTGTTATTTTAGATTGGTGGCAATATAATATATTTCTTAAGGTTTTTCACACTGCGCTAACACTCATATATATTAGGATGGTCCTTATATACATACATATACATATTTGGTGATACATTTTATTAAATATATTTTAATCTATACCCACTAGGTTTGTTAAGTCACATAAGAAAGTAATTTGGCTAAAATTTGGAAGACCTTACTCAACCCCTTCTATTGTAGACTTAGGGTTGAAAAATGGTAGAAAATTGTAATTTAAGATTTTTTTAAATTTATGTAAAAACCTATTGCAATTAGCATAAAAATGTATAAACTCTAAATTATAGAGCTTAATAATATCTATAAAAAATAAAATTACAATTATTTTCGTAAACTCATTATTTCCCAAGAAAAACAATAAAAACAACATTTTTTTTTTTGACTATCGATTGTTTTAATTAATTTCAATATTTTTGACAAATATTTGTACTTTTAGATAAGGTTAAATATATTAAATACAAATTATATTAAATTGTATTTTCTAATAAAAGGTAATTATTTACATTTTCTTTAGGCCAGCTATCTGATTATAAAAGTCCTATTTATGTAATAATAAGCTAAAAAAAACCACTACAGAGTTTTTCAACCTCATAAAGACATTTATTGCCATTGATCATAAATAGATTACTGCTCACTAGCTGGTATTTCAATAAAATATATTTTAAAACGTTCGCGATGAGATTTTAGATTTTGCGGAAAAAAGAGTCGTAAAAAAGATCGTCTTCTTTGTGATGATTATAGAGTTTTTGCAGGTCATTGTAATATTTCTATGAGACAAATTTAAGGGAAATGTTAATTTTTGACAATCTGGAGCTTTTTAATTGGCATGATGAATGGCCAAGGGAATTTTATTCCTTAAACATTTTAGTATTTGAAAATCAGTTTAAGTTAATTTCTACAAAAGAAAAGTTACTTCAAAATATTATTTGTTTCATTATTAAATATAGTGCTAAAGTTTGGTTCACTGCTATAAACATTATAAAGATACATATTAATGATAAAATGTTTATAAAAATATGATATAGTTATAAAAACGATAATAATAAATTTATAAACCATATTTGTTACCTTTGATGAATATATAACATTGAATCAATTCACTGAACAAAAAAAGAAAATGACAGCACCAGTTGAGTAATGTCTTCCAAGTTTTAGCCGAAAGACTTTCTCATGTGACTTATATATGACTATATTTATACAAATAATAAATTTAATTCTGCTTTTAAGTTTATAAATTTATTTTTTTATTAATTTCATTTTATTTTTTTATATTTATTTTGTAATGACCATAAGATAGTGTATTAACATAATTTTTTAAAATAAGTCTTTTATTATCGTGTGGATTTGAAGCATTATTATGTATTCAAATTATATTATTTTCATTATTATATGATGTATTGATCATATTTTCGTAGGAATATATAAAACCAACAAAACGTATAACTAAAAAGTAATTTTATTATTATACTGAATAAGGTTCTATTAGTTTTCACAACCGTTTTTTAGTAAAAAAAATATATCAAATGAGTTATTTATACCTGACTATTAAATTTATGTTTTGGAATGAAATATATTTACTATACAGAAATAATTTATTGTACAACTAATTGAAAATATTTTATTAATATTTGCTTGATATGACCACATATTAGAAAAAATATGTCAAATTTTAAATAATAGGTATGTAATATACAACGATATATTAATTTTAACTACATTTTCCACTCTTTTCATCTAAATAAACAAATTTATATGCATGTTAAAAACATTGAAGTTCACGGACATATGCATTCATAAAAAATCTTAATTTGATTCATTTATATTCATAAATGAATTCACGGACATATGCTTTCCTACAAATTATTAATTTGATTAGTTTATATTCACAAATGAGTTTTCTCTTTTGGACATAACATCAATAGTCCTATAAACAATTGAAATTAATTATCATAAATAATCAATAGTAAAATGTTTACACTATAGGCTTAAATTATATTTCCAATACTGTATTAATTAAAATTATAATTTAATGTTTTTAACAAAAAAAGGAATCTAAAATTTTGGAAATCGAAAATTTCAACATAAATCCATTTTAATTGTTCGAACATATTGTTGTTGTTATTGTTGTGTATTTCTTTGAAAAGATAATGGACCCCAATGAACAGGTTAAGATATGAAATGTGATGCATTATTTTTACGTAATTATGTGTTGTTACACTAAGAAATATTTTTAATTAAATAACAGATATTATTTAATGTAAATTCGTTCAAATATCCAACTTCATCAACATTTCATATTGTTAAGTTTATAAAAAATTATTGAGACTTTCTAGTAACATTTTCTTTTCAGCTTTTTCATCAGTATTTTGAAATCAATAAGAGAATTTTTGGAAAATTAAAAAATGATCTATTTCAAAGAATTAATTAGACAACATTTACTATCGTGAATTTCTTAAAACCGTGATAGTTGGAATAATCTCCCGGGTCGAAATCGTTTACACAGATACTCTAAATACATTTAATTATTTAAAAAAATATTAATGAGTTTATACTGTTTAAATGTATGATGAAATTTTTGATTTCTTAAATCTTAGATGCCTTTTATTGCTATGAAAGATAGAGTATTAAAAATTCAGCCCACCTCATTAAAAAATTTTACTATTCTACTATATATTTAGAAATATAAACTGATTCATTCGATCTCTTTCACTCAGAAGCAATTTTTGAAGAACAATGATACATTGGTTTCAAGTTTAAAAGACCAATACAACAATATCATTCATTCATCCCTGTATTTCACCCGACCGTGGTTTCCCAATCTAGAAGTCTCGCATTTTTTTTATTTATAACATAATATTTTGTTTCAATAGGTTATTATTAAGTTATTATATAAGGTTTCTTTATTAAAAAATACTTATCATACATAAAAATTAGATTATGCTATATTATAAATATTATAAATTAAGTTTAAATCATTGCGTGATTATTTTTTTTTTTCAGTTGAATATAACCATTATTTGCTGTGTACATACAACATACTAAATTAAATAATTGAGGATATCAAATTAAAAATTAAGAACTAAATTAATTGACTTCCCTCCGATATACTAAATACAACTAATTAATGTGTCTACAGTTTATATTATTAAATCGCACTAAATGTTACAATAAATATTTTTCAAAATAATTACTAAAGTTATTAACTACATATAAACCTGTTATCGAAGATGTTTTGAAGTAAAATTGTAACCTTGAAGTTCCTACACTTAATCACTGTAAATATTTTAATTTATAAAACGGATTAAATACATTGTTGTAAATTTAACAACACAAACATGTTGCATTAGTAAATAATAATAAGCAATGACATAGTCATACATATAAATGTTAAAATAGCTAATAGACTATAGTTATATAAGATAACTGTATATAAATACAGTAATTAAGGAAATAAAAATAAATACAGTTTATGATTGATCTTTGATATTAGTGTATTAGCTGTTTTCATAAACAACTACAAAAAAAGAGAAATTTAATTTCGTCTTCTTTGGAAGAGAGGGGGAACAAAATCATAAATCAAAAAACAAAAACGTAATTACAAAGTCACAACCACGTGGGATATTATTTCGTTGCGATAGTTTGACGTTGGCTTATACGTTAGTTACACATATATTTTCCTTTACAAGTGGTCAATGTTTACATCTCGACTATGTAAAACATGAACATTTTGAAGACTATACAATAACTGTTATTTCTGTATAGTATTTTATTATTGAATGGAATGTTCAGGTGTGACATCCCACATACCGCTTAATGATCTATAGATAACGATGGCTCATATTATGTTTTTTAAAACAGTTGTGCGCCATATGATTACATCTCCAGGTCTGGTGTACACATTCGTTATTTCTTTTATCTATTTATATTAATCCAGTCAATTCAAACAATTATTAAAAACGTTAAATACTCATTCTTTATTCATAACTTAACTATATATTTATTTTTGTTTTGAACTCTAAATTTATCATTACAATATATTAGGTGCTATATAAAATTGATTTTAATTATTAATGTTTTGTTGTGTTTTCGATGTTTATTTATAATTTGGATCTTCAATTTAAACTGTAAGTATACGTAAACTTATAGTGTCACTTTTTAGTTAGAAATAAATTTATAACATACAATATTTAATTAACTATACTATAAATTATATATATTATTTTTTTTATTTCAATTAACTTTAATTTATTTCATATTAGATTTAACCTAATTGCTAGGATTGGTAAATTATTTGTTCAATTTATTTTTTTTCTATTCGTTAAAATTTCTAGTTTTTTTTTTTATAATTTAAACATACGTATAGAATAAAATAATATTTAAAAACTTATTAAAAATAAAATAGGAGATTTATAAAATAAAATTACTTAGATAGATTAAAAATAATTCTAGGTATCTAATAAAAATTTAATATTTACACAATTTTTTTATTTTTTAGAAACAAAAACCATTCTGCAAAATGAGTGCACCATTGAAATCGAATAATAAATGTAATATCCATCCAATTATTGGAAAAGATAATAATATTATTCTTGAATTTTTGTTCAAATTTTTCTTCCGTGATGAGCCATTAAATGCAGCTGTAAATTTAATGAATGAAAAAAACATTAATGATATTTTAAAAAATCACTTTATTCAATTATTAAACAATGGTGAGTTAAACAAAAATCATTCATAATAATAAAAATGTGAAAAAATAATTTAAAATTTAAACATCAGAGACTTTATATGAATACATTAATATATTTTTTCAGTGTTAATTTTTATTCAATTGTTAAGTTACTCATTTATATATTTATGTTACTGTTTAATTTACATTGTTATTATTAATATTATTCATTTAAATTTAAAATTTTTAATTGCTTATTACAAGTAACTAAAATATTTATAAAAAAAAAAAAATGTTTTACATAAAAACAAGTTTTGCTTATTTCAGAATTAATAGAAACAAATAGTAAGTTTTAGTCAATTATAAAATAATTGATTAACCAATTAAATAAAAACGGTATATGAGAACTGAAACCAACCCATTTGTTTGTTTTTTAATTATTATTACACACAAAAGTCACTCTACCACTATCATTTAAAAAATAAAACTATACACAACTGTTATTCAGAAACTAAAATAATCATTTTTATCCAAAATTTGGAAATTACGCATTATTTACAATGAAAGTCAACATGTTATTTTATAAAATAGGACGTTCATAATGATTAATGATATTTAAAAATTTTACTAGTAGTGTATTGTAAAATACAATTAACTATTTTTTTAATTTTTTTTCATTAATTTCGATGGAATATTTACTATCAATATTGTTTTTTTTTTTTTTTTTTGTTGTACACTAAATAAAATAGATAAGTTATATAAAAAATATTAAAAATTATACAAAACATACTATAGTGAAGATATAAATAGACAGACTTGGGTAGTATTCCAAATACAATATTCGGAATACTGTATTCAGAATAATTTTTAAATATTTCGAAAGCTTTTTAAATACTTTTTTTGAAATTATTCAATAAAGTATTTTAAATACTTATAACGAGTATTCTGAACACTATATTTCGAATACCGTCAAATTATCTATTTTTTAAATGATTTTATTATTTCTCTATCGTATCTTGTATAAGCTAATATCAAGTATTTATTATTATCGTAAACCATAAATTATAACAGTTATGTATTTTTATATTACATAACTGATTTAGTTTATGGTTTACAACAATAATAAATACCTGATATTAGCTTATACAAGATAGGGTATAGTTAATAGTAAGTTAATTGTAATCAAATCATTTAAAAAAGAGATGATTTAACGGTATTCTAAATATAGTATTCAGAATACTCGTTATAAGTATTCAAAATACTTTATTGAATACTTTCAAAAAAAGTATTTTAAAAGTATTCTGAATACAGTATTTCGAATATTGTATTCGAAATACTACCAAAGTCTGAATAATATAAAATAATGGACAATAATATTGATAATGTATATAAAAGTCAGAAGGGGTCAAGTAATTTTTTCGTCCCACTCAAATGGATCTATTTATCAGTTATGCAATAAAAATACAAGATATATGTAATGTATAAATTAGTGTTGAATTGTAAGCAATGCAAAACAATAAAAATTCACTATGGTATATATTTATTTCAATATAAGTTCTTAAAGGAAAAACTTGTATGATCCAAAATGTATTAAAATTAAAAAAATTAAAAGATTTATTTAATTTTTTTAAGTGTCTATAAAAGCTAAAAAAAATATCTGAACATTTTAATTATGAATTAGACGCACGACTGATAAATTCATTTAAAAAAAAAAATTATTTTAGTAATTTTTTCGAAAAATCATATATTATTTTATCAATACTTAAAACCTCCATGTTTGAAGCCATTTAATACATTTTTTTTTTAATTTAGAATCAATAAAAACTCTTGAGTTCTAATAATTAAAAGTTTTAATAATAGACTAAGATTTTCAAGTACATAATTGGTTTTATTAATTTTTTTTTTTTAAAAAAAATAAGTTTTTCTTTCATAAAGGTTTTAAACTTTTATGTAAGATTATTTTATATATTTCAAATTAATTTTAAAAAAAAAATACATTTTATTTTACTTTTGTAGAATTTACATGATTATACAAGTTTCTATATTTTCTAAAAATATTTATTTTTTATTTATCAAATTTAATAGTTTAGGTTTCTTATTTTTATTATAGTTGATCTGCTTCTATCATAATAAATCGTCACAAATTATATTTCTTTAATTCTAAATACATTAGTAATTTTAAAAGTGATATAAATCATACTATAACTATTGTATATACAATTATTATTGCAATTTTTAATCTACTGATCCTAGTAAACGATCTTTGTCGTTTATGCATCGTGTGTAGAAATTACAGTATAAATGTATACATTGATTTTAACAAACCTAGTACATTTAATTATCATAATAGAATAAAAATAATTACTAGGAACAGTCGAGTTCTATTTCGTGCTCTCCTCTGTGGTAATATTCAAACATGCTTTTATTTTTGTTCAAAATGTATGACAGCTTAGGAAAAAAAGGAAATTAAGTATATTGAATAGAGGTATAATCAATTGTGAGCAAGGTCGTGTTGAAACGATGATAGAGACGCCCTAACTTGTCGCTATGGTGATCCCGAAAATCTCTGGGTCCAAGAGGGTCTCATGAATGCAGTATCGCACGACAGATCCAAGAACTATATTCATTTTTATAATTTGAACTTATTACATCGAAAGAGGATAAACATATAAAAATAGGTAAAGACTAATATCAATAACTATATTACACTCATTAATTAATTATGTTATTACAATTTTATATGCATGTATTTAATTTAAAATTATATTAAAGTAACTGTTTTTTTTCAATAAATAGTTTAAATTTTTATAAATTACATGATCAACGGCTTCAATCATTATGTTACACGAATAAATAATATTTATTTATCTCAATTTAAATTATAAATCTTATATTTATAAATATATAATTGGGTGTGGCAAATTAAATTAATTTTGTAATTAAAAATTATACTTACATTAAAATGATATAAACATAAAAAAGGAATTATAAAATTATGATAACACCCCTTAAGTGTTTTAATAAAAATAAATACAAATTTTAAATAAACTGATATTATTATAATATATATATATATATATATATATATATATATATATATAATAAAATTTATATTATAAATCTACATATTTATATAAAATTATTATTTTAGACAATTTCTGGGTATTATAATTAGTTAATTAGTATAATGACACAGTCAATTATTAGTACTTGAGAGGAACTTTTTAATTTTTAATAAAGTTACGCTTATTATTCGACAATGCCCGATATTTTATCGGATCGGTATATTCGCCTAGGCCGCACAGTGGTCGGAAATACAAATTTAGGCGGACAAAATTATTTTATTAACAATATGTGTTCCTAATGTTATTAAATTTTAATTTTAATTAAATGTTAATTAAATGTATTTTTATTTTTATAAAAACCATACAGAGTTATAATTTTGATTTTCTGAATATTCTACAATATTTCATTCGGAATCATCGTCTTTGTCACTGTCACTGTCAGAGTCACTATTTTTATCTCCCTCAACAATTAGTAATGCCCTAATATCTTCATCGAATGATTTTAAGTTCATTTTCGATATTTTTTTTAAACTTGAAATGTAGGGATCTGATGATACAAGTAGCATATGGCCTAAATCTTCATTTTGTAAGATTCTGTTTATTTGCCTAGTACTAGTAGTTCCTGAAATCTTTATTTCGGGCCTCTTGAGCCTCTTCCGATAACTGGCCTGTAAAATAAACATGTTCGTTGTTATTTAACTATATTATATTATGATATTATTATAACCATATTAAATTTTAAATATTATGAAAACTTACCTATGGGTAATAAGGCAGAACGTATAACATCTGTACCATGAATTAAAATTTTGTGAACCGAAGCAGGCATATAATACCACGGGTACAGTGAAACATAAAGTTCCGCAGTCTCTAAAGTATAGGCCTCAAACTTTTCTAAATTTATCTCATAACCACTGGACATTGTCTTTAAAATCACTCCAAATCGTTTTATGAGTTGTAAATCTACATTTGTTATAGCGGATGTTAGTTCAGCATTTTTGAAAAATCTACGAGTGGTATTTCCATCATTAGTTGTTCCTTTGCCTATATAATAAAAACACAATTTTATTTAAATTTGTTTAAATTTATTGATTAAATGTATAACCTAAAATAAATACCTTGCAAAACTACATCTATAAGTAGACCTGTTTCAGTTCGAAATCGATCTTGAATGTATTTTTTTCTTTTTTCAAAAATAACTTTATCATCAGATGTCCGAACCTGTATTAACAAATAAGAAAGTTGGAAGTTATTGAACATATTTTTTATAAATTATAGTAAAAAGTCATTACTCATTGTACTAACCTGCCATTTTTTGAACTCCAATCTATATGAAATGTGTATTAAGCATTCAAAAAATCGTATGTACGCATGAAGCGTTGAGAGTCCAAATTTTAAATGCTCAGGCTGTACACTTAAATTTTTCGCCCTGGTTATATCATTCATGTCTTTTGGAGAACATTTACAAATATAGCACTTTTGGCTTGATGAACCAGTCATTGTATTGCAAATCTAAAATTAAGTTTAAAAATAAATTTTTCATTTTGGTAATATTGCATCTTTATTCATTGACTTATTTGAAATTTAAAATATTATATTTAATAATTGTGATAAAACTTTGTGAAACTTACTTTTCCGTCTACCATAGTGAACATTAATGTGCTTTTAACACGAATTTCAATATTATTTTTAAAAACTAAAGTTGGAATCAATGACTTAATTTCTTCTTCGACAGCATTTACCTCTTCTAATGTCGACTCAATAGTTTCCTTTTTATATTCAAATTTTATTGGACGACAGTAACGAGTTGAAGATGGACGAGGATTTTTCCATAACAATATCGTTTTAGGATTGTTAATCTTTGTACACCTTAGCTGTAATGGCACTAGTGAAAACATAAAAATATCGGAATCATTGAAATTACTAGACGTAATTTGCTTGTAACGAGCTTGACTACTGCTTCCATCACATCCCCATTTACATAATATTTCAAAGTTGTTCATCGTTAAATCTACAGATGGTATATCAGAAATTAAAAATAATCTTGTTATTGTATGATCAAGGAGGTGTTGTGATTCAATTTTAAAATAAGATTCTGTAACATGAATATTTTCCGGATAGCATTTTTTTTTTTGCTGTTAAAACAATATCATAACTTGGGTATATATTTGCTCTACGTTCCTTAGCAGATTTCCGAATATTTATATATTGTTGTTTTGTAAGTTTGTTTTCAATGAAAAATGCCAATGCTTCGTCAAAAGAATATGGCATGATGGCATCATCAATTGATAGTGAAGCCATGTATGATTTTTTAATTTTTGATGCTCGAGTTGGAGAGGACAGTGATTCGTTGACTATACTACAAGCTGCTCTTTTTCCTGACATGTGTAATTTGTTTTTGGCGGCAAATAATATTTCTGGATAAGTATACGATTTCGTGAGTTGTTGAATTTTACGTCTTTTATTTCGATCAGAACAATCAGAAAACAATTTTTGAGGTCTGCCGACATTTAATGATGATGGTGGTGATCGAGGAGATAATACAAATAGTTTTTTTAGCCAATCAACATTTGATTCCTTAAATCTAATTATATTTCGTGAACTTTTTATCCAAAGTTTGCTTAAAACGGCTGTGAAATTAGAAATTGTTGATTTAATTTTGTTTTCGTATTCTTCTTCCCAATTGTCAGCATTATATTTTTGTTTAATATATTATAGTAAATATCGGTTAGATACCACACTTCTTGGATTCAAAGGCCCCTTTGTTCTTAAGAATACAAACAAATCATTGTATACAATTTTTTTATTTTCATCAATAACTGAAATGTGAAAATAATAATTGCTAAACAAACAAAATTTAAAGGAAAATAACAGATATGCTAATCACAGACGCAACTCGACGCAGTTAAAAATTATGTCATTGAAAAGCTAAAGAGTTTTTGAATAATACCTATATATTTTTATATGATCATTTTAGATCTCTTCTTATATAATATCTATCAAAATGTAAAACCACTACTAAAAAAAATGTTTAATAGTGATGCAATACATATACACCATGTATTTATTAGAATAATATGTATGAATTGTAATTAAACTTACCATTTGTATTGATGTCCATTTTAAAATAATAATTAAACTTTTATAATATTGAACAAATACTCTGAACACAATCGACGAAGAAATGAAGTAAAATTCTTAATCAACCGTAAATATTGTACATTTGGTCTCTAATCGTTTTACAGTTATCGCGTTTTTAAGTGGTTATTGTCGTTATAATAACCTAGAGTTTATTAAATTGTGTTATATTTATTATACTGATATAATATTAAGTGCTAAATATCTCATTTTTATCTTTTTTTTTTTCCATTTTGTCCGCCTAAATTTGTATTTCCGACCACCGTGGGCCGCCGAGAATATTCTCGATCCCGGTGGGCTGTTTTTGAGTGACTCCCATCGTGTGAGTATATTTATAGTTGCCTAATTTATTATATTATATTGAAGACCCATATTATTATTATTAATTTTTTTTTATTGTTCGGTAATGTCGCGGTCAGTTAATTTTTTTGTTATTATTTTAGTGTTCTTTTGTGATTCATCACCAACTTCAATCATCTGTCTACTTCAGTTTCCATCGCACGTGTCTAGAGATATACACGGTCGCGTGGGATAGAATCCAACGGGACTCAAGTTAGGTAACGAGGTTATCCCGAAGTAACGGGAGCTGTGATTCTCTGATTATTATTATTAATTTGAATTGTATCATCATTATTCTATTATTGTATTTATTATTGCAATCTGTGTGAGGTTGCCCACGTGAAATTACCTTAAGATTATTTTATTATTATTATATTATTATATTGTCACCTTAACCGAACCGAGAATGACATGCGAGCCTAGAACGTCGTAATATAATTTAGTTGTGTACGGCAATACGTAGGCGTGGTGCCGCGTCGACCTAAGCGCAGAACACTTGTATTTACTATTATGTTAGTAATATATTAAAATATTCTCTAAAATTCAAAAGGATTTAAGTGCATCAATAACATTATATCAATCGAAAATTTCAATTTAAAATCTAAGTTATACATTGTTTTATTACAGAGGCGTATTTAGACTTACTTTTAGGGGGGGGGCTCAAATTTTTTCTTTAAATCAGGCTCAAAATTTACAAGTAAAATTTTTGGTAATATTTAAATCAGGCGAATCATTAAAATTTTTGTTTTTAATTTTTAATTTTTTAATTTTTTTTTAATCTAATGCCAGATCTACTTATAATCGACTTTTGTGTAGTTCTTTTTTAATACCTGTCTGTATTTTGAAAGTAACGCTTGTGTCTTATTTGATTATTAGTATTGTTATAAAATGATACACATTAAAAAAAAATTGAAATGTGTATCTCACATATGATCGATTCCTTAAAATGTATAAAATGTATTTATTTTTCGTATTTAATACGGAAACAGGGGGGCAATCGCCCCCTTCGTCCCCCCTAAAATACGCCCCTGTTTTATTATATAATAAAACCAATATTTTTTATTGTAAATTCTAATTTTAATTTAATATTTTTACTCACTTTAAAAAAACATTTTATAAAAAAGAATAAATTTTGTCTTAAAATTAAAAATAGTAATATCTTTATAACAAAAGTGAATAAACATTATTCTCAAAAATGATAATTTGTATGATAACTAATTATATCAAATTTATTTAATAGTTTTAAACTTATGCATTTTGTTGGATTAAATTATTTAAATTTTAGTACAGCTTTTAATAATTTAAAATAAATTGAATTGTGATTAAACTCATCGCAATATCATACAGTTAAAATGTATTACATCAAATTATAATTATAGATGAGTTTTAAGTATTCAATTTTCAGAATTAAATTACTCAAAATCATAGAAAAATGAGTGAGTTCGAGAAATCCGTCTTCAGCATAGTCCAAACTACTGCTGAAGATAAACAAATTGTCATTGAATTTTTAAGGAAATTTTTCTTCCGCGATGAACCTCTTATTTTGAGTATAGATATGCTGGAAGATATTGACTCACTAGCAAAACTTGAGAACTACTGTTTTCAATTTGTGGATAATGGTGAGCTTAATTGTATAATATACAAAGCATTTCTATGCATTTTAATATACTCAATTCATAATACTTTAAAAAAATTAAACATTTAAAAATAGTGTTTTCAAAATATATGGTTATGCGTACTTGTAATATCAAAAAGTATTAATAAAAATTTGTTTATTGATATAAATATTTGTATTTTATTGTGAGGTAAATTATATTAATATGTTTTGTTAATATTTATAACTATTTATTTACCATGTCAGTCTGAGAGTGTGACTATGGTGACAGTGTGTAATAAATAAATAAAATAACGTATGTATTTATGCTTATTAAGTATAATTATTTATATTTATTGATTAATATTTATAATTATATTTACACTCGTAATTTAACATAATTTTAGTATAAATTAAAATTAAAATTTTAAATTTTATTAAATTTTAATACATCATACATTGAATAAATAAATAATATTAATTGTTATAATATGTATTAAAACATGGTCAAAAACTGATTTTAGTTTTTAAACGAGTTGCTATCTATTCTATATCATTATGCACTTTTAATACAAAATCCAACAATAGAACATTTTATTTAAAATTGAAATCCTAAAAATCTAATTAAATCCCAACTTACATACATTTAAAATTTTAAACTAAAATCAACTTGGCAAATTAACTTATAAATTTTAAATTTCATAGTTTTCTCATAAATGATGTGTAAGTTAAATTAATTTTTTTTAAATATAATGAAATTTTAAAAATGGAGTCTCAAAATTTGTAAAATTAATGTTTGTACTGATAATGAGTATATTTTCAATGTTTTTTTCTTAATTATTGCTTAATTTTGTTGTATGAAATTATTAATAACTTTGCATTTAAATGTAAAATTATACTCAATAAATGTTATATTATAAAAAATGATTGTTATCATTCATATCAATGTCCTTAACATTTTTTTTATTTTTACAATTATTTCATATAAAACATTTGTAAATAATATTTAATTAACTGAATAATAAAAAATAAGTGAGTGTCAGCAAACATGTTATTGTTAACAAATACTTAAATTACATTTAAAATTTTAAATTAAAATAGTTTGTTTTATATTTAATATTATTTATTTGCGGATCTTTCAGTAATCTTATTTTAAATTATAGGGTTGGCGTTTAAAGCAATATCACCTAATGGAGAGTTAATGGGTGTAGTTTTGAATGATCTGACAAGCAAAAATGACCGCGAAGAAAATACCACGACTAATAACGGACCAGGAGATCACACCAAGTTTAATTATATTACAACACTTTTAGATAAAGTCGAACGAGAAGCCGATGTATTCTCAAAGTATCCAAATGTTGATCGTATAATGGACATAAAAATAATTTCGGTGGATAAATCTTTTAGAGGACAAGGAGTATGCAAAGCCCTTATTGATAAAACAATGTAAGCTTATTATACACACATAATTTATACACTATGCATGTTATACATATACTATTAAAGAATATAAATAACATAATATAAATATTGTTAAAGAATATAAGACCATCCAAATTCAACCGTTTAAAAATAATTTTATGTACATGCAAGGCCGTATCCAGAAATTGTTTTCGGGAGAGGTCCAAAACATGTACATTGTAATTTTATTGAATTTAGATTTTAACTTTTGATATTTGGTTAAAAATAAGACAGAAAAAGATTTAATCTTCTTTTATTACAATTCATATATCATATTGTTATATGATATTATGATATAAAATTAAAAGGAGTCAATAATTAATTGATTTAAGAATCATTTTTGACTGAAAATATTGATGTTGTTATTAAAAATAAATAAGTATTTTAAACATTCGTAAAATATTAAAGAAATTTCAGGAGGTCCAGATACCCTGGAACCCCCCAGACACGACCTTGTGTACATGATTGTTATAAATTAAACTCTATGTTTCTATTTTTAGAGAACTGGCGTTAGAAAAGAAATGCCCCATGGTTTATGTGGAGTGTAGCAGTTATTTTTCAGCAAAAGCGGCAGAGAGACTTGGATTTGAATGTATATACACTTTAAATTTTCGAGATTATGTTGACGAAAATGGGGAAGTCATTTTTAAGACTTCTTCTCCTCACGAATCTTCAAAAGTTTACGTATTAAGTTTATACACTCATTAAAGCACCAAAATATTCAAATTCAAAAGAGATTGATCAATAAATAATATGAAACTTTATGAACATTTATTATTATAACATAATAGTATTAGAATTTCAATATAAAACTATTAAATTTAATTAAAAGTTTTAATTTATATATCATATTTTATTTAGATAATAATGTATTTATATTTCCATTATACAAAACCTAGAATATTATTATTATCAGCTCATGATGGTTTACTTCGATAAATTAAATGTATCAACAATTTATATAAAATATGGAATTTCCTTCATAATATACTACGTATCTACTACCGACGAATCTTTATAAGTATAAGCAACTTGAACTTGTCACATTCCACTAAGAAATTCAAATTGTCGTACGTTTAAGTTATCTGTATTTTTTTAAAGCTTTTACAAGTTAAAACTATAACTACTTTATTATTCGATGCGTTAATGACATATTATTTATACGAGATAAAAAGAGGGACTGATTCTCTCTTGAAGCAAAATTATTATAAATAAAATATACCTATCTAAATTTCAATATCATACTTTATAAAAATTATAATACAATTAAAATGTATATCTGTATAATTATTTAACGACATTTAAATAAATAAATAAATGTACGCCTAATGTATTTATGCATTTATGTTTTCCTTAAATCTTATATATTTTTCTCGGATAGCTTCAATTATTTAAACATTTATTGTATTTTGTACTTTTGTAGTCAATTGCAGCTGTTATATTATCATAAGAAGTTTTCTTGTGAACATTTAGAACATTTTGTTTTATTTTTTCTAATACATCTAGTACAATTACTAATATATATAATAATACATAATTTATTTTTTATTAAGTACATTAGAATAAATTACATTTAATTTGAGCAACATCAATTAAAATACGAGCCTTTTCCTTTTAGACTCAAATCGTAGAACCACATTTACAATATTTTGGGAGGTCCCAGACAGACCCGATACCACCCTCCCCCCCACCGTCTATTTGCCTATGGTCTAATACTATTGTTTGAACTTAACTGTCTATTTGAATCTATTAAAAAATAAAATAAAATAAAACGTGAGTACACACACTGAAACGTCACGCAAGTATATAGAGACGTTTGCAAGATTTGGAAGACATAGTTACTTAGGACGTCATTACCATATTTTCCTGTAACAGTTTAATGATAATTTATTATCTGTATAATTGATGGATGACATTCTGACGTTTGAAAGTTGTAAGGCGAAAAGTTTCTTATTTAATCGATCAAAAATTAGACCATTTGAACTTACCAGTGGGTATTATGTAAATATTTTAAAATTTCTCAGTAATTTCCAATAATCTATAAAATACTTTTTGATAAATTTTAAACTTTGAAAAAATGGTTCATATTTTATACTAATTCAATTTATTAATTCAAATTATTAAATCCTTCTTGTCTTCAGTAGTCATATGATACAATTTTTGAAATCTTGAGTTACAGTTATATGATTACATTTATGAATTATTTATAGGTTGTAGCGCTCTCTCGAGTTATTTTTTAGTACTGTCGGCTTAATTTAGAGTTTTGTATTATGTTTCTACTAGATAGCGTTTTATACGCCTTTGTATTAAATATTCGCCGATGGAATATATGAAGATAAATGATTAATACAGTTAAGACTCATATTGCTTATTAAATTATTGATTTAGGTATGTACTCGTAATTCAGTGTTCAATAAAAAAAAAATTATAAAATCAAAGATTTTCTAAATCTTAATACTTAAGTTTTTTTTCGTTAAAAATGTATAATGTGTAAATAGTTCCTTTAAGATTATAAAAATACCTTTTATTTTAATATTTTTATTTATTTTTATATTTTTTAATATTTTTTTTTTAACTCTTGTGGAATAAAAATAGAACAATAATACTTCGTTCCATAAACTTACTTAAGTCATTAAGTACTTTTATTGAGGTACAGCAATTTAGCCGATAGTATTTTAACCAAAAAATAATACAACCGATAATATTTAATCAAATTAGTTCTTATCAAATATTTATCGGCTAAAATACGGTCGGTTAAAATATTTACCGGCTGTACTACGAAACGGCTTGGTTTAAACTTAGGTTTGTTATTACAAATATTGGATATCAGACTACTATTCAACTGTTTCCACTGGTGAAGATAAAACATTTTTTTTGTGTTTACATTGAAACTATTGATTGTCTAAGTGATGGTGGTCTAACCAAACTTTTATAGATTATGGGAACTGGTAGGGATGTGTCTGGGGGGGGGGTATTCAAACCAGGTATTGGAATCGTTCAAATTTATCGTAACTGGTTCTCAACAAATAAAATAACTGTTCCGTTCGGTTTTGGTTCTTTGTTCAAAAAAAGTCAAGTAACCGGTTCCAGAATAATTTGATACCGATTCTTGTTATCAGAAAAATATTATATTATTTCTTATATAGTGAATATATTATAATATTGTACACCATAATTTCGTCAAATTGCAATATAATAATATTATAGTAGTTAACGAAAAATTATTTTACAATATATTTGCTATCAACCAACATGACCCCTTATGAAATATATAAAACACTAAGGTACTATTATAAAATCGAAAATTACAGTCACCAAGATATTGTTTTGGGTTGACGGAACGTTTCACTTACACATCGTGTGGCATAATAATATAATAGCGGGCAGTGTGTCTATTTTATTATTATCATCACTTAATTTTGTAGATAATATAATATTGATGGTGTATACTTACTGAAAAAGAAATTTTCAAATAGTACTATTTTTTTATTAATATACATCAGTGCTCGAATTGGGGGGTACGCAAGGGGACGGAGCTCCTCTACTATTTTTATTATGAAAATGTGAATTTTAATTTACGTTAATTTTTTAACAAATTATAATATCAAATCTATTTTTGATATGCGTTTATACATTGAGCTCCGCTAGTTTATTGGTACCCATGAGCCTATATTAGCCGAAATTACCTTTGGTCGAATAGTGACTACGCAGCACGGTTATAGATAGAACTGTGCTATGCAGACACGCAGTACACATCGACCTGGTGAACCGCGCTTAGCAACATACAATATATATAATTAGTTGAAATTAATTCGAATGCATGGTAAATAAAATTAAATTTTCGCTCGGTAGCTATATAGGTAAATGAGAAAATATATTTTCATAATAAAACATTATATGGTGATCAGGGGCGGATCTGAAGCCTGGTTAAGGGGGGGGGGACGAATAGGAATATTTATCAGTGATATATAATGTACAATGAATACTTGACCGTTATTTAACCAATTTATTGAAAAATATGTACAACACTTAATACAAATAACTAACTAGGTATCATTATTTAAGTATCTATAAAAATTCAATATTCAAAAATATTAATTTCAATAATAATTTAACATCTTTATTTTTCATCTGCAAACCTATTAATGAGTTCTTCTATCATTGGCGAAACTAGACACTTTTCTTAGGTCAGGCCAAATGAAAAATATAAAATGTATTATTACTTAAAATTAACTATTATTTCCTATAATATATAATACATATATACATATTTTTCATTAGTATTAGGTCAGGCCATGGCCTGACTGGCCTGACCTGTAGTTTCGCCTATGTCTTCTATAATTACGTGGAACGTAGTTCTTAAATCGTTGGACTGAGCTCCTCTACTAAATTTTTCCCAAATCAAGCACTAACATATATGTAATAAACACTTCAAAATTATAATAATTTTAAATAGGTGACTATCCAGAATACAAATTTTAAATATTATAAGAATGGATTCCTGATTATTTATAAACAAAGTAGTAATAACTAATATGTTATTCTAAATAAAACCATTTAATTTTTGAACCTAAAAAACCATTATAATTTAAAAATTACTGTTCGGTTCCAGTACCTAACTTATTAATATAAAAGTTTCGGTTCTTATGATTTAAAGAGATCCTGTTCTAGGACCAGTTATTTTCGATTCGATCCCTGTCTCTGGTTCAACCCCCCTCCAAATTTTAACTAATTTAGAAAAAACATATTGCTTAATATAATTAATATAATTTAAGTTTAATATTATAAACATTTACCAGAGTTATTTATATAATCCATTGTCGATCTATTTAGTATTATAAAATTAATTATTATCAAAATTAGTATCTTGTGAAATATATACATTTGAATTACGTGGTAAGAAAAATATTGAACTCCTCCTCTAGAAAAAAATTTTAGACACACCCCTGAGAACTGGAAAGCTGTGTTAATCTCCGTACAAAACTTCATTATATAAGAAAACATGAATGAATATTTTAAACACTTGTCCGAGAGTCGGTAAACATTTCACACGTATGCAAAAGAGCCACCATTTTGACTAATAATAATTATCAATTAGTTTTCCCGATTATATTACTTTTATGTCATACACAAATGTTAAATAATTTACCAATGTCATAATGTCATATAAACGACTATTTATTTTGTTGCTAACTATATTATTAAATGTGTTTCAACAAACGACAATAGATACAACCCCTGAAAGACAATTATTCGTTGTTAATAAAAACTGAAATCCAAATTACAACTCAAAAAAAATTGAATTTTGCTATACCGTTGAATATTTTGAATGTATTTATTAAATAATTACAATTAAAAAACATTAATTAGTATTTAATAAATAATTATTGATCAATACTTGTAGGTAATTAGTTACATTTTATACTACAAAAGTATTTAAATGACGATTAACAGCATGGTCTTTAGATATTTCTTAATACCGCCTACTTATTAAATACATACTATTATTAGAAGCAAAATGCTTCAGTAGTTCTGTAAATAAACCATCCACCCTTTTTACATTAATCTCTCTTCCTCTTTCAAAAATGGAAATTCAACACTAGTTTTCATTATTAAATTGGTATTTGGAGCTCTATAGTTATCACCCTATTAAGGATATTGATACAGAACTTGATTGCTGCATTACATATAATGCAATTTACACTGGTTAAGCATACACACAATTTGACTATGAATCTTAATTGCATTCTATTACTAGTATTAATAATATTATAATTTCATAAATAAAGCAATTATAATATAATACAAATACATAAGTAAACTTATTTATAATACAAGCATATGATCGTGCAGTATATTAATAATATAACAGAGAGAAATTATTCGTTGCGTGCAGACACCCGACTGCAATATTCGTGGCGCCAAGCAAACACGAAACTTCGTCTTTCGTAATCGCAGGGTCCTGCGTCATACTTCATACAAATTGTTATTTTACATAGTTTTTGTTGTTTTCATCAAATATTCTAGTACGTACTACATCATTACAATTTTTAGACACGTTATTTCTATACAATATTTTTTTGCTTTTTTTGCCAATTTTTTTTTTTTTGCTTGTGTCATAAAATTCATCGTAGATTTTATTGTTTATGCAAAAAAAGTTAATCGATGTTTATAATATACTGAATTAGTATCTTAAGATTATATCCCTATCATATATTATCTTTGTGAATAAAACCAAGTAAATTTTATAATAATTTGTATTACTGTCTTATGCACATAATATAATATACCACATTGATTGTAGATTACTTTTTATAGGTTTTGAGTTCAAGAGTCATTTACAACGAGGAGTAAAACTATAAAATTGATTATTGACCTTTACGACAACATTTTGAATGAAGTTAAATGTATAGCAAACTCCGCCCAAAACCAATTAAATTTTGTCGCATTTTTTTTTCATACCTAGTAAATATTAAACTCGGTATGGTAAGATTTGTTTTATTTTTTATTAACGAACTTGTCGTTCTTGGTCGATCTGCTATTAGAACTTATAAAAAATAAAACTATTATCAACTATGTAAAAACTTTCGTAAAAATTATTTAAAAATAATTACGTTATCAAAGAATAAAAAATGTATTTTAATTTACAATTTTAGATTATGATAGAAATGAGGAACGTTCTTTGTTTTACATTGATGAGTGTTTCTTTTTGCGTCTCTGTACACGATTTTGATAAGAAGAATATCCTAATAATTTCCTCAATCTTCAATAAGAAGTAAAACCTAAATGGGTTTTAGTTGATACTTTAGATACTCGTTTTTTTTAATTCCTTCCAGAATAATTGAGATAAACGGATAATACATAGTAAAAAAATATAATATTTTCTTAGCTTTTTTCTGAAAATATCGATAAAATAATTTTGGTTTGACTTGAAAATTTAATATCAAGTTTCTCATACATATGGTATATATTACTGATTAATAAAAAGTAAACTAACTTAATTTAAAAAGAAAAAAAAAATGTTAAGGTTATTTAAGTATTAGATTTTGAAAAAACTATAAAATTTACAAAAATCCTTTACATTTTTGTAGTAAAACTCATAAAGCTTTACATTTTTAAGCTTAAATCTTAAAAATTATATTTAAATGAGCATTTAAAATTAAATTTTACGAAATCGCATATTTCAATGAATTTTCATTTAACAATATTAGTTATTTAATTGTTATCCTAATAATATTAATTCACTTTGGAGTTTTACCCTTTTTTATTTTATCATATAATTTCATGTATTAAGTCATCATAAAAATAGATTTTCTATAATTTTAAACAAGTCTTAGTCAATGAAATAAGCATATTTCAAGATAACTATTTGTTTGTTACAATATCATATCGTAAACAATTGCACATTAAATTAAATGTTTAAAATACCTTGAAATATCACTCAAATATATTTAAAAGTTAAAACTTATTATAATACAGGTACTATTTTATTATTTAAAAGTAACTTCTACATTCATATTCTAATGTTTATAAGCCACATAAGGATTTACAATCGCAATATCTCCTAGGAGATATTCTTATGTACGAAAAAAAAAACAGAACATCGTTTATCATTTTTATAAGTTTGAAAGTTATAAAAATAAAACTGATAAACATTACATGTCATTTTTGGATGTTATGTTTCTAAACGATATCGTTAACAGATAAATATTTTAATTAAGTTACAATAGTTATTTGATTCGCTGTTTTCGAATGATAATTTCTTTAAAATACCAAATCTCAATTCTCAACTTCCACTAGCTATAACTTATATTCTGAATAATTATATTGAATATAGAAATAATGTTTTTGTGATTAATTGATAATATATGATAACCTGTGTAGCAATAATAGATAAATGTACATACATTTAATTGCTAGTATATACTGTCGCTAATTAGTTAATTTTTCAACGTTTTTGGGTACTTTATTCACATTAAGTTGTATTTTAGAAATATAAATAAATGATAGGTATACTACTTATTATTAAGATTTTTCAATAAAATGCATAAGTAATTGTAATACACTTTTTTATTTTCAGTGAAAATGAAACGGTTGAACTTTTGACGACATTTTTTACATACACAGTTGTTCATAACCTAATAAACATTTAGTTGTTTGTAGGTTTTAAAAAAAATGTATTTAGTAAAGCTTTATTAATAAAGTATATTAGCATAAATCACCGGACAATAAATTTGTTATCTCGAAAAAAAATGTTAATACATTTATAAAAGGTCATCTCATATTTTATTCGGTATTTTTCAGAAAAACATAAACGCAGCAGCAAGTGGTCACAATGTTTAGGTACGGTCGTACGGATCAATAGTATACGCCAGAGGGTAGAGAGGTGAAGGTAATTCCGCCCTTTTATACGCGAGCTCCATCCTCGCGTACCTACACAAGACAACTATTCTTTTGAAAACGATTCGACCAAATATGGATTTCAGTGTGACCAACGTATTTAGCGAAATTGCAAATGTCGGTGTTTACTATACAAATTCTATCGTATCAAGTATTTTTCGAAATCATTACTTCGTTTAGTCCCGTTAAGCGTGTACACAAAAAAATATTTTGGGAGGGGTTTTAGGTTGTACATTTTCATAATAATATAATCTATATATCAATTTTACTATATAAAAACATATTAATCATTTTCCTGAATTTCGAGAGGGGTTTGAACCCCTAAAACGCCCCCTTGTGTACGCGCCTGAGTCCCGTTATCGTTTCAAAATATTCGAAAAGGATATTTATTTTTGAAATGCATAATTATTCTTTTATTTAAAACATGTTTAACTTTTGATCTCAATACGATTGTTAAATTATAATATTTTTAATAAAATCTAACTCTTGTACGTCTCCACATACACGGGGTCGTTTAATTACAGAACTGTATAGCATGTCAGCTTTTATGTTTGTTTTCGTCTTTCGACTAGAGGCTACAAAACACTTATTTAGATACAAAACACAACTTAACCTCAGGAAAATGTCAATAACTTCTCGTCTATCCATCGATTACATGTACGTGTCTGATATGATTGAACGTGCTGCGGTAGTGAAGGGAAATCGCAATTACCACGACGTGTGTACAATAATTATCGTGCACGCGCGACACTGGGTCAGATTTGTGCATCGGCGGCGGCGCCAAGTAGTAACAATCCCTACGGCGGCGGGCGATCGTTCCACAGTAGTACGGTGGTTGATACTCGATAGTCGCTCAGTATCGTTCGGACCGCGTGTTTTGTTGTTTGTGTGATCGTCGTCACGCATTCCTACTGCCTCGGGATCGTAACGATTATTCTTCACTCAACTCATCGACGCCGCCACCCTACCGAATCGTAATTGGCCGAAGCTATGCTGGATATGATGAACAAAATGGCCGAGCTGAAGTTCGAAGCGCCGTTGGCGCAATTCGAAGAGTCGGACGAGTGGACGAAAATTATGGACGATGAATCACCTCTGCAATCAACCAAACATTTTAATAACCACCATCACAACCATAACAATCACCGCGATCAGGGCAATAGTCAACTAACGTCCGTGCAGGACGTAGAACAACTGGACAATATGCTCAGTAGTAGGACCTTGGAATCAATGAATAAGTCGTCGTCGTCATCTTCATCCCCGTCATCGTCATCGTGCGCGCAATGCGGAGTGAACAACAACAATATTGCGGTGGAAGTGACAACGGATGCGGACAATTTCGGCGAGACTTTTAGTGGATCGCTCGAGGACCTCGTGCATACGTTCGACGACAAGATCACCAGATGTTTTTGCGACTACGAGGAGTCCGTGGAGAAACTAGCACCGGTCCAGATCAGAACACAGGAGGAAATAATGAACGAATGCCAGTGAGTATACGGCTTAGGATTCTGCGACGATCCGATATGGTGTAATTTTATTTAGTCAACTGCCCAGGAGTCGGGAATGTATTTATATAAAAACTTTATGTTATTTATTCATAATGAATACATAAAATATTAATATAAATATGATATATACATTTGCATCGAATTGTATAACGTTCGAATGAAATACGCAACCTAATGCAATTATACATAGTATGGAGGCTTATTTCATTCTTCACATTTGTGGTTAGATAGGACAAAATTGCAATTTACTTTGTATGTGATTAGTTTATAGGTCGATCATTATTGTCATTTAATCGAATACACTTTTTTCACAGGGAGAAATCTGCTGCTCGTGCACTATATGCGAAATGTATTCATCTAGAATTTTTCACTATAGTTTATAGAAGTATATGAATATTATCATATATCAGCTACTAAGCTAAGCTAAATGTCGACTCACTAACGGTTTCAAACCATAGTTATAAAGTGCTCAAATTCGTGTTGATATTATTGCGATCATGATGATTGAAATTAAAAGAGAAAAAAAATTCATAATCACTAAAATTTCAATAGTGTTGAAACGTCGATTCGCCTACTCGACCTGACACAATGCTTATCATACTGACAGGATACCTTATTGCGCGACCACAATGAGATCGTTACGCCTCGGCACGTGAAAAAGTGAATCATCACGGTTAATCGCGCGCCCGCGTATGTGTATACGATAAAAATAAAATTAATATTACTATAGATACGTTATAAAATTTTGATCGTTAATGAATGCAGTTGATATTAGTTATCAGTATATTTTTGCAAAGTCTGCAAATTATGGACCTCAGTTGTTTTTATTAAATTATTATGAATTTAAATAATAGGTTAGAAATTATAATATTATAGTATATGTTTTCATTCATTTTCCATATTACATTGTAACTGAAGGAAGTTAGTTGAAATGAAAAAAGCATTAATTATATATAAATTTTATTTTTCTTATATCACTTATTAAAGATATTATCATCAATTTATACAAAACATTAATATTTATGTCCAAACATTTTAAGATAACAAAAACTTGCTGTATTTTATTTATTGATTTAGGCATTCGATAATTACACATGGAATGTTCCTCGTTAAATTAATTCTGCTAATTTATAAATAATTATATTATATTCAATGTTAATTCATACACGTGCCTATTTATTTACTTAAAACATAAATTAGTAAGAATAACTTACTAAATTTCATATACTTATATATTATATATTTTACCACGGTGAAAGGTAAAATTCTATACATTTTTAAGTAGGATATTTGAATAAGAAGTTAAACTATAAAAAATAAAATGAATGTACAATTTAATTAGGTTATTAATTTACTTTATGTTCAATTAATATACATAATCAGAAAACATGGATACTTTTACAAATTTGTAAACAAATTTTTTAAATATTTTTTCTTAAAAACCACTGATTATTTTAAAGCATATTAGATAAATAATTTATTTACCATACTTACGTATTTATTATGTAATAAATACAAATTTAAACATCATCGGAATACATTTTCACATATCCGTCATAACTGTCAATAATTAGATAATTTTAACTTATGTTATCAAATAAATGACGGAAAAAATAGATTATTTTGAATCACTATCTGTAAGTAATTGTCAAATTATACAATTTGAAACTGTTGTTAGGCATTAAATAACTAAATATCTGATATTGTGGTTCAAAAATAGAAAAAAATTCGTTATTACTAATTTTATAATACAAACCATGCATATTTTCCATAGATTCGCTCATAATTAAATGAGCTGGCCGATATCCAAAGTTCAAGGTTAACTAATAGTGCGAAAATTTCAGTTTTGAAATATAATACACTTATATTTTTAACTTTACGGCTCTTGCGTTAAAACAACCTCAACGTACACCATTAAACGTTGCCAACAACTGACGATGTTTGTATTATAGTATGAAATAAAAATGATTGGCTAGCCGAAAGCTTTGGTATACATATTTTTATTCACTTAATTTTTCATTAATACTATAACCATACGAAAATCATGAGCCCTGTTCGGACGCGTAGATAGGTATTTCAAAAGGTGGGTGTTATTCAAAATTAATCGACAAAATTATACATAACAAAATAATAACTTTACGTATAATTTAATGTACAAGCATACTAATACATAAATACATTATCATTATACATGATCAGCGGTGGAACTAGGTTGAGGAACCCATTCCTGGGCGTAACACTTTAGAGGGTGTAATTTTTATAGAACATAATCTATTATTGACTAATAGTTTGATACTTTTAACTTAATTACTGATAAAGTGTTTAGAACTCGATTAGTATTATTATATTAATAATTATTAGAAAAAAAATTGTTGGAAAGGGTATTTGATCCTCGTTCTATGCCAGGTCATTTTAAAAGTTTTCCCGGGCATAAAAATCCATAGTTCCGCCACTGTGTACATGAATATCTTTCATTTTTAATATATCAATCATAGACATATTAAGATATATATCTTATCATATTTTAATATGTCTGTGATATCAATGTATGAGAAAGTATTTAAATATTTTATTAAAATTTCAAATATACATTTTGTCTCTTATATATATTTTAAATCATGCATAGAACGACTCAAAATCATGGCTTCAGTTTATTAGACAAAATAGTGTAATGAAAAGCCTGGTCCCAGCTTTATATTATTGTTACCGTAATATGTATATGTTATAGTTAAAACTTGAAATTCGTCAAAACTAATTTTCACGAATCAATTTCGTCAAAACTGATATTGACTAATTAACCAGGACATCAATATTATTACTAGTTTTTAAATAAAATTTTGTAACAAATGTATATTTGAAATAAGTATAATTTGTATTATTTGTTTTGGCGATGCAAACTATTGTGGCATTTAGAGTTGCATAAAATATTTTTTTTTTACTTAAGGAGTGATTTATTCCATATGAATTTTGGAGCATTTCCTGTTGGTGAGGGTTTGCAATTTTTTGAGAAAACCAGTGGCGCTAATCCCTGTGTATAAGTATTGTGAATGCACAATTTTTGGATGGTAATGCTGTGGTGGATAGGCGTAAACTAGTACTAGGATGTACAAGTTATAACAATTTGGATTTTGGATATAAAAATATTTTAATATTGGAGTTATAACTCAATATAGTCAACATTTTCTACAGTTATACTCAGATTTTATTTTTATTCAATAACATATGAAATAGAAATCAGCACCACTGGAGGAAACCAAATACACCTGTCGGATTAGGTTATGGTCTAGAAATAGTTTGTTTAAAACAATTAAGCCCATTTGATTTAATATATTTTTCGACGTCTAACATCATATTTCAGGTACGAAAGTAAAATCAACTTTTTAACTCAGAATTTGTAAATTTTATTTTTTTGCTCTACTCTGTAAACGTTTTGTAACTTAATTTACAATTACCATTTATGCCGCTGATTATGCTTGAGTGACTACCTACTGGGTAGTAACTTTTCTACAATTATTATCCTCATTATTATCATTTATAGATTTTTCGAAAGAAAATATTGCGTGATTTCATTATGTTTATTTGGTAAAATGTGTTTCTTACCCTTATAATCTTAATGTTTATTACTTATTTAATAAAATTTATGTAAAGCATAACAATATTGTATTGGTATATATTTTCTTAATTAATTATTTATGGTTTTTATAAAAATGCGACCATTACAATATCATTTGATGTGATTTATTCGACACTAAGATAATTTTGATGACAAAATTATAGAAGTAAATAATATTTTTTTCTAATTTAAATGACACAATTTTCACTTAAAATGAAAAAAATTTACCTGTAATAGGTATTATAGCACAATAAATTAACAAAAATACAATGAGAAAATGGATGAAATAAATAAACAAACCTTTGTAGTGAATTTATGTGAGTCGTAACCCATCGCGTGTTTATAAATATTCTTATAGTTCATAAAACTTATTTGTTTTCAAACTTCTTATACGCGTTATGAACTCTGGTGGTCATTTATGAGTTTCTAGTGAAGTAGTGAAAGTCGTTGTCTCTACGTTTGCATATCTATTTTATACCTACTTATATGATTATAACCTGACATAATATTAGCAATATATTTATTTTTATTGAAATGTTATACAAGAAGATATAAATATAAAACATAAATCTTTTCTTTTAAATTTATAGTATAATTCCTCGTATAGTTCATAAGAACTAGAACTAGTATTCCTTTATTATTAATCTGGAGGTTTGTAGTGTGCACTCAATCTTTGTGTAGGCAGAAATATTTATAGTGTAAGAATATTGTGTATATTTTAATATTCTTAATTTATAATTGTTCATATTTGGATTAGTTTATTAAGTATTACAAGTATTACAATACACAGTAGCTCTGATATCTACAAAATGTTGAGTATTCGATTATTTTAAATAGTATTAGTACACTACTAACAAATTAAAAATGTATTAAAAATGTATAAGTTATAAAATATAAATATATATATATATATATATATATTTATGTGTATAAATCTTACTTTTTTATATAATTTGATAAATTCCTCTTATGTTTTGTTAATAATAAATATAAAAACATTAATATTAATATGTTTTCAATACGGATGTGTCCGATGAATTGATTGGATGATTTATTTGTGATAATTTTGGAAATTGTTGAAATTATCTATTTATTATTTTAAATTCTACACTTTGCTTACAAAATAAACAAAAGAAATATAAAATTAAATTATTAATACTGAATACATATTTAACATATTTGGGTAATTTTTTATTTACAAATAACAGCATGATTCATTCTTCATTCAGACCGTATATTTATTAATCCGCCGCAATACCGTTCTCTTTCTATATATGAGCATATGTATATGTCTCAAGTAGTGTAGCGTCTGTATGAAAACCAGTTTTACTATCGTTACTATCATACGTTGAAGACTAAAAACTAAAAACTTCACTCAACTGTCGATTAAATTGCTTCTTGACTTTAACTAAATTAATACTATACAGTGGATTATTTACTCATTGTAGTCTTGAGGCTTTAATGACAAACGAATGATTATTCTGTAAATATAACTATCCCACGATGTACTTAGTGTTGAATTGATAACACTGTAATTCCGTGTTTTGTATTCTTTATTTTTTAAAACAAAGCTATTAAGTAGACTACTGACGCATTTATCGTTTTTAGCATAAATCAAATTGTTTTACATTCAATCAAATAATATTTTTAATTTTTAATTTATTAAATATTTGCTGAATAAAACACTAAATATAATTACAATAAGAGTTTACATTTTAAATGCAAATTTATTTATTTATAAATAATTACCTAATAAGTTTATAGTACAACAATACTTTTAATTATTTTAAATATGAAACACCAAAATTATACTGTAATGTCAAATGTTTGTCTTTATAAAAAATGTGTAGATCGCAATCTTTAATTTCAAAATATGCTGTATATTATTTCATGTATAGTGTACTTCTTTCATTTATACATTTTTAATAGATGCGTAAACACGTAACCCTACATAATATACGTGCATAATTGTTGTATGTTTGACACATGTCTTAAAAACTCGGATTGAATGTACACATCTTGATCTTATTAATGTGATCTTAGTATCTTACTGTGTTAGCTTTTTACAAAAATATTTTTAATTTTACATATACTGCATTGATAATGTATATTTATGTATGTATCATTAATATAGTATAATTTCAATAATTTTGTTCAGAAAATTGTAGAATTATCTACATTATAGGTACTTAAGCTATGTATAAAAAATTAATCAAAATTTGTATCTTTAAACCATTGGATTATAATATATACTTATACTCGTATATTATATTTTTATAAAATTTTCCTATATTATTAAATTAATGCTTTCAATACACAAATTATTTACGCTATATACCAAAATACCCATTTATATTTTTTGTATATATCTAATATTACCTTAGAAATATTATAATTATGCTATTGTATAGTAGCACCTTATTGTTCAAACTAAATAATATAAGTACGTCTTTAGTTTTTTACGGCAACGTTATGTCCACTGCACTTTCTATTACGTTGTACATTTGTACCCTCATTTACCGTCTCCGTTTTTTTCTTAACTAATAAGCATTATCGTAAAATTAAGCTACGTGGAACTGAGACGTTTACGTTAAGCCGGGTTCGCTCTACACCGTGACGTGTATTTTACCAGACCGTGTGCTTTAAAAATGTGTGATACCTATATATATCTCACGGTGATGCCATCAAATTTTGGATACATATTATCTCAATTTTTTTATTAGATATGAAATATTTTTATAAGTTTCAAAAAATAATAACTGATGAATATTAAATTATGTTGTAGAAATTATGTATTATACTATTATTAGGGTTCAGAACTTAATTCTCTTAAAAAGTATTAAATATGCATGCACTTATGCGCTTAAAAAAGTACAAATATGCTTAAAAAACATGTACTTAATTTTTTTTAACACAAAAATGTTCATAAATAAAGATATTTTATTAAATATACTCGTACATAACAGTATAAACGTTGTTAGTATATTATACTAAGCTAGACATAATTTTTAGGTATAAATATATAAGATAAAATAAAATATAAGTAAATTAAATAGCTTAAAATTTGAAATTTTCTTTCAAAATTTTCCCATTAGGTTTTTCATAGTGTCATGAAAATAATTTCAAGGTTACTTAACAATAAATTGAATAGCCCAATAAAATCATGTAAATGCAACACCTTCCGAGCCCTTCGTTATTATGAGTAATGTTATCATAGAATATTAAATTATTACTATTAAAATCGGTAACCACACGTTTAAAAGTTGGATAAAATCAACTTCACGGTATCTTATGGTTAGTGAGGTAACTTGTGATTTATTATACGGTATACCTTGATGTAACAATATAGTTCAACCAATCAAAGATAATTATTTTAGAAGACACGACACGGCACGGTGTAGTGTGAACCCGGCTTTAAAGTTAAAATATTAATGGCATTTAATAAAGTATACTTTATACCCCAATTAGTTTATCAGTCAAATTATAACTGGTAAGAAGCATAAAAATAACGGATTTCTTAAAACTATTTTAATTTATACATAGCTTGATTTGTCTACATTTCCGATAAGGCTAATGGAGATAAATATTAAATAATGATCACTGAATGTATTATTATATTCTTTAAAGTATATTTTGGCTGTAAAATGGGCTTTTAATTTTTCATGAGTGTCGAGTTATCAACAAATTAATAGTCAATCAATCATTCGAAAATGTTCATTACCCCTTGAACGGCTTAAATTGACCTTAAAAAATAAATATCTCACTAATAGTAAATTTAAATGCTTAAAAATTACAAATTCTTAGTAACATGTGGAGACAGACTCTTATTAGGATAAAAATATATTGCCTAATAACAATGATAACATTGTTCAATGGTCATTGATTAAATACACCCATGTAATTAACCCACAGACTTCTGTATAATACATTTATAAATAATACGTATTATATAGAAGCTTGTGAATTAACCTAATATACAAACCCAGTAGGTTTAGATTTATAAATTTATGCACTGCATTTATAACTGATAAACTAAACATGAATAGTAAATAATTTACATCGATAGAAATTTTCATTTTATAAAACCAAATTTTTTTTTTGTACAATATGTAAACTAATAAAATTAAGAATATAATAATATTATATATTTAAGTTATAACATACCTACATGAAAAATTGCCAACATGTGTTTAATTTTAAAATCCTAAAAGTAATCAGAAGTCTTTTTTTGATAATACTAAATAAAATGTACTATGTTTTTTTTTCTATAAAATTTGAATTCTCTTTACCAGAAATTAGAAATTAAACATTATTTGTATTCATTGTATCGAAGGAAAGTAAAGTTGTTTTTAACAACAATTTGAATGAATGGAATTTTCTTCTAATGCAATGACTATGTTTTAAATTTTAAATAATACAATTGGTTTTTTTTTTCAAAATATTTAAAGATGTGAAAACTAAAAGCTAACTTTTTAATTAGTAGACTTCAACCATTCTCTTTATCCACTCACCTCATATGATTGACTTGCGCATTGTTTAAATATTTTTATTTTTCAGAAAGAACAATAAATTGTATATTAGATTAAATATATAAAAAAAATTATCCCCCGAGTGAAAGATAATAAGTAAAAAATGTTATTTGTATTTGGTACATACCAAGTACTTATGTTATATTGAGCATACATAACTAGCTCGAAGGATTAGAACTAAGTAACATTTTCTTTAATCACACATGTCTCAAAATTACTCATAAAAATTGTGTATAAAATACATAATACATTCAATGATGAATATAGTCTATTGTAATATATTCTATTGTAAGGTCAATTGTTTGAGTTGGCCTCTAAAATTTCAACATATGGTTTGTTAAGTTGTCCCTTTTAAGTTAGTTGCAATTTATATTCATCAGTTTTAATGGACTAAGGTCAAATTATTTGTCTTCACATTTTTTTATTGTATTACACAATGTGTACAATATGTATATGATTATTACTTAATAAAAAATTTACTTTTATTACTATGATCATCTTTCAAAATTTATATTAATTTTGATAGAAATAACTTTCAACTAGATATTATTGTCAGTTATAATACTATATGTATATATTTTTAGAATGTGGTGGACTATCACTGGAAATTTTGGTAATATTCTTCCTATTGATTGGTCAAAGTCATATGCACGTAAAGTTCAACTGCCAGTACTCAATTTGAACAACAATCCACAGGTAATAATAAGCAATTTTTACTCTTGAATAACCTACTGGATAACAATTAAAACACAAATTAATAAAATCATTTTTATATAGGATGAATCATCAGATGACCTAAGTAGTGAAGATGAAGCCGTTTCAAATGACTTGGATTTACATACTTTAATATTGTCAGGTCCCAATGCAGATATTGAACCTCCTACTGCTGATGAAGTGATTAGAGAAATTGATGATATTATGGAGGTATATTTTTTAAGTTATAATTTAGTGTTTAACATTCAATACTAAAAATATATATAAATCATTTTTTAGGAGGGTACTTCAAGTGAATGTACTCCAGACTCAGAACATCATAAGGATGTCCATTCACCATTGCTTGAAGAAAGTAAGTTTATATATTTCTGGTAAATGTAATGGACTTAAAATATTTTTAATGCATTATTATTTTTGATTACAGAATTAAAAACTTTAAATGTGACTCAACTTAATGAAGTTTACATGGAGCTAGAGTTACTGATTAGAGACTATTCTGAGACTTTAATTACAGAGCTGGCCTTAAGAGACGAGTTAGAATTTGAAAAGGAATTAAAAAATTCATTTATATCACTATTATTGGCAGTTCAAAATAGAAGGAGACAGTATCATGTTGAAAAAAAACGGAATTCAAGAGCAGGAAATACAAATAAAAATGTAACAAACGAACCTAAAGTATGTTCGAGTATTTTTTTTTTCTTTTAACTACATTGTAATATTAATATTTGGTATTTTATAGTATTTAACCACTGTTATACCTTACCATTTGGATAATGGACCTTTAAGTAACCAAGCTCTTCAGGTTCTCATAAAAAGTATGTAAAAACAAAAAACATTAATTAATAATTAATATAATAATAAAAATTGGTATTTGTAATATAATTTTAGTATTGAAAGCAATAAATGAAGATAGTCCAACTGTACCTACATTACTTACAGACTACATTCTTAAAGGTAACTATCTAAATCATTTTAGTTGTATTGCAAGTTGAGTATTTCAAATATATTACAAATAATTATTTGAATTAAGAAAATATAAATGTAAATATTACTTGGTGGAATACTCCTTGTATCTAGATCAAAAAAATAATCAAAGATTAGGTGATATATTTTACATTAAATTATTTTGAATTAATTTGCTATGAAGTTTTATTTTATTACATAATTTGATATTAAAACTTTCATAAAAAGTACATTGTAGTAAATATATATTTTGATTATTTGAATCCTAGAAATCTTCAGAAGATAAGCTTCCAAAAGTTAAAATGTTATTAATATTTTTGTATTTTTTTTAGTATTGTGTCCTACATAATTGAAAATGGATCAGTAGAGTGGTGATCAACTCCACTCTGAAGTCTACGTGATATAACTTATTTAATATTAACTTATAATGGCATAATTCGTAGATTTTTAGTGTTAATAAATATAAGTTTTACTTGAGGTATTCTATTTAGACATAAATAGGAATATTTTATAATTATTCTTTAATTTACCTTAGTAATTCTAAATAAAAGTTTGTTTTTTAAACAACTTTCTTCTATTTAATCATAATAAAAACTAATGTTTAATATGAAATAAATAAATTGAAGATTTTCATTGCCATGTGCCATTTAGCTATTATTAAACTTACATATAATTTAGAAATTAATAAATATTTCAATGTAATTGAGTATTGACTTTAAATTTAATTATAACCCTCAATACCTAATTGGTGCTTAAAATTTTAATTTACTTAACTATACTCATTACAAAATATAGCATGGACTAATAATAATTTATATATTTAATGTGTCTTAACAATTTATAAAGTCTATAACAACATTAAATTAAAAGATAAAATTCAGTCTCGCATTTAAAGATTTTAAGCAAATTAATAATAAAATATGCAATTAGCCATACATAATGTATTCAAATTATGGGAAATGTTTATCATGTTGCGCTGGGACCAAAATGAGTGCAAATCATGACGAGAAAAAGTTATTTTGTTTTATTATGCAATGTATTATGGTTTTTTTAATTTATTTATTTGTTTATTTTTCTGCCATAAAATATTTCATTATATTTTTCTCAATTTGTATCAGACTTTATTATTATGTAGAGATTAAATATTTTTAGCTTTATTTTAGATTATATTTTATTGTTTTTGTGATATATTTTTTTACTTACGCTTGAATACAATTTAAATGTATTTTTCTTTGTTAAGCTTTAACAACTATCAATATTGTTTTGTTTAAATGTGAATTATATTATTTTCAATGTTTATCAAATAATATCAGATGCATAATGTATGTCGACATATAATATATATATAACGCTCTCTAGTCATAATGTTATACTATTTAAATGTATTATAATATTAATAAACGCTAAATAAATAATTGATATTGTATATCATTTAATTAAATAAATTAGTATTTATAATATATATGTATGTATACAATATTTGATACTATTTATATTTTAGTAATGTTTTAATTTATTAAAGTATCTATTATTATTTTTTACATGATATATCTAAATAATGATTATCATATCTGAAAAAACTTAAGTGGAATTCTAGAACTAAACATATTTATACATCGTATATTTCCTAATATTAATTTTTGATTTTAAATTTAATTTTTATTTAGCAGGCATTAAATATAAATATTTTTGCTGTTTAATTCTTTCAAAAATGATATTTAATTTTGTCAAATACTAATTTAATATAAAGATATATCCTCTATTGTTTCATATTAACTAATGAATTAGGTGAATATTATATTTTAATTTAAACTCCAATCATACTTCACATACAATATACTCTAAAATTCATAAGGAAATAAATGGTAAATCTTTAATGGTAATCTCATTAGTGGATACAAACATGTAACTACAAATAAAATATGCATTAATATAATAATATGATATTAATATGTATAATAATATAATATAAATAATATATTATTATATATTATATAAATTATAATAATATAATCTTAATATGCATTAAGAAATTAAATAAATATTCACAATATTTTGTACTTTATCTAAATTAATACTCAAATTTAATCATTATTAATTTTACCTAAATCTTTGGTTCTACATTTAAAAACTAACTAAATTATATATATTTAAAGATATCATTTGTAATTTTAATATTAATTAAAAATAAATAACTGATCAGAAATTTGAAATAAAAAAATACAGAAATATATAGTACATTAGGTATATAATTTTGATTGATCAAAATATAAAAATATAGTATATAGAACAGGGGTGACCAACCTAAATGATTTTGGGGGCCATATATAAAATTATATTAGTATTTTGCCCCAATACAAAAAAATTTGAAGTAAACATTTTAAACATGATTAATTATTATTATAAAATAAGTTTTGGTGTATTAGTTATTTGAAATAAACAATGAATTATTATTGTTTTCATCTCCGTACTCTAAATCCAATTCTTTCAAGAACTCTTTAAATTGTCAGTGCGGAAGCGCATGTGATCGAATTTAATTTCGTGTTTTTATGACTAATGCATAACATGGTTCACCGACTTACATGGGAACAAAGATTTTGTTGATGAATCAAATAGTTTGTTGCGATTACGTTGTTAATAATACGAATTCCGTGTTGTACAAGCATTCCAGAATATTTTATCGGGATAAAAATAAATTTTATTTGTTTAATAAATCTCGCGGGACGCAAACTTTCCAAGGTGGGCCACTGGTTGGCCATCCCTGATATTGAAAGGCTTCTATAGTTATATTTACAATTACTTATCAGAGGTACATGATTTTAATTTTTTATTAATTATATAGGTATTTAAATTATATTATTTAATATAATATGTTTTTTAATCAATTAATTGGCTATAATAATAAATAAGCTATAATTTCTATTTAAAATTCAACACATTTGAAACTCATTCTTTATAATCAGTCAAAGTTGAATAAATTTCTTGATATTAATTGAAGAAATAACTATTAGTTGGTTCTGATGTGGATACGAGGGGAAGGACTGTCCGCAAGGACGAAATACCCCCCCCCCATAGCGTCACGATTTGCCACCAAAAAAAAAAAAACTATTGGTACCCAAATTAATTACTATTTAATAAATTAACATTAGATTATTACGTTACATTAACTTAATGTAACTAATTGCTCATGTAGGTACCAATTTTTTAATCGAATTTAGTTTTTTTTCACTGTACTGTACTTTATAATTCAAGATAAATATGTTCTAGATGATTAATCCAATAAAAATATGTACCTTCATTAAGTTTTTATTATTTTTATTATTTATTAAGTTTTTATCTAAGTATTTATTCTAAAGCTGAGTTATTGATAAACATATTAAAAAATTGGTAATTATAAAAAATTATAAATAAACGTTGAGTAACTTAATACTTACAAATTAATTAATTTTAATAATTAACCTAATAACTATTCCGCTTAAATTATAATATGATACACTACTGATCTGTAAGTATTAACATAGTGAAAAAACAACACATTTTATAAACCATACAGAAATTAAATAAAGATGAATGTTTTTTTTTGTCAATTAATTTATCATAAAAATATTTATGTAACTTAGATATTGTCAAACTAGTGAATACTTCCTAGGGGTGTATCAAGAAAACATTTCGGTGCGGAAAAATGGTGCATAAATAAACCAGTGCACGGTCGTCGTTATTAATGATTTTTAGTTACAGCCAAATCTACGGAGGAATTCAGTTCACCAAGAAAACTCCTACATTTTCCTTAGTTAGTATATTTTAGTATTAGTAACAAAGCAGAACATTAATACACATATTTTAATCAGATGCTAGTGATATATGCTATCAATATTAATAATATAATAATTAATATAAATTAATATATATATTAATAATTTATAATTAATATAATAATAATTAGTTATATATTACAGTGGTCGCCGCTTATTAGACTCAAATCGACTGTTTTCGATTTCCATCTATTCTAACACACGGCAAAAAATTCGTCTATTAGACTCAGACACTGGTTAATGGGGTCATTTTAAATTAGATAAATAAATATAATATTGTACATACGTCCAATACGTACAAGTAACCATGCTATAAATGCATATAAGTGATTATGAAGTTGACCGAGGAAGGTTAGGTTAGTTAAATCCAATCACCTTTGGATGAATTCTTATTGAAAGTGTAACTATGTATGTAATTTGTTACTTTATTACCGTATTTTATTACATTATATTTAATCAAACAAAATATTTTCCATTCAATACTTATACTTTATTTAAATACTGCATAACACATTGCTAAAATCTCAATAAATATTTTTTAAGTAAATAAGTATTTTTATTTTATATTTTTGTGGGGAGGGGTCATTCGTCTTATCGACTCATTCGGTTAATAGACTCAAATGATCCGGTCTCAAAGTGAGTCCAATAAGCGGCGACTACTATATATTGCTATGTTGCTGAATTTTGTAATTTTGTTTTTCAACTACCTATTTATAAAATATAATTGATAATTATAATTATAATTAATTATAAAATGAATACTGTACATTAACATTTCTTTATTAATACTTATAAAACAATCAATGGTTGTACTAAATACCTATGATTATGATTAATAAAATGGTACTCAAACCCAATTATACACTAGAAGGTATAGTTGTTACACTTTTAAAATACATTACATTGAAAGAGGATTCAAACTGCGTAAATGATTTGTACGTTAATGTTTGGTGAATAATGCGAAATATCACTAATGGGAACTGTGTGAAACAAATAACAATGAATAGATAGATTGGTGTGTCGATGAGAAATACATCAAATATAATGTTCAATAGACGGTTTAAAATATAATCCCGGGTTCTAAATCAATTATTAAACCAAAAAGTTTTATTTCTGAATATTGTTTTTTGATTTTTTTGACCAACCCGCCGAAATGATTTTACTATCATTGATAGTAGCAAAAGTTAAAATATATACTTTTTTGTACTGCAACCTTAAGGATTTTGTCATATTCCCCTTTCAAATATTGACAGCAATGAGTAACACAGTTAAAATAATTGGTATTTTAGATTTTGCTGATGATACATCTTGCAATTTTAAAAATATAAAAGATAATTTAATAAAAAAATATAAATTTAAAAACAAGTACCATAATATAGAGAATAGCACCACAACAAACTTTTTAATTTCGTATTACACTAAACATTTCGTATTACACTAAGTGTGTCGTACTACACACAATTTTAGTCACTGGACAGAAGTGACTTGATAAGGAATCAACTGTCAACAAAACATAACGAAAAATAAACTCAACCATCGTTAAAACTTGTTAGCTATTATAAACATGTAGGGCAGCCTAATCGTAGAAAACGTATTCATTGTAAGCATATTTCGAATGATTTAATATGATAATCAGTACAGCCGGGATTCGCCGCCGAAACTTGCATTGTGTAATGGTGTTTTCAGAATAAAGACGCGTCCGTGTTTCACCATTATATTCATCGCGATACTGATAACGGAATACGGATAACCAAACAAATGACAAATATGCCAACGGAGAACTGATAAATTACAATCCAACCAAATATTGTTGGAAGGAACTTTTGAAAGTGATCGGGAAATAAACTTTTTTTTAAACATGTAAGTAATGCTTTAAATATAATTATGTACGAAAACTGTTTATGATAGATTTATTATATGTACTATGACATGTAAACTTTTTCCTACTTGTATATGCTCAATTATTTTTTACTAATTGCATGTAAAAGAAGTTTCCATATTTATATGAAATATATAATAAACAATAAGACATTTTTCTACTAGATTATTTCTCTAGTTTAAGTAAATTATTTATCTCAACTTCATTCACTTTTAAATAAGTTGCAAGGTTATTCTTGAATGTTAATTTTATGTAATTCTACATTCCAGCTCATCTAGATTTTAAATTTTCCATTGTTCTTGTAACTTTCAGCTAAGATTTTAAAAATTTAAGGGTACTTTTTCTTATTATTTATTCAAATGAATTGTTTTAAAGCTGTTTATAGTTAATAAAATAAAAAAAAAAATTGAAAGAACTGATAACATAGAATACCGAACTAATTATATGTAGAATTATACATGTACATGATATTTGTAAGAATAAAATTGTATTATAAATTAAATGCAAATAAATTTACTTCGCAAATAAAGCATTACAATTCTTATTTATATTTGTACCAATTTAAAAGTATATAAATTCAAAAACTAATTCATGGAAGTTTGAGATTTTCTTTTATACCAAATTTATTCTGCTTGTCAAATGTTTTTTATAAATTATTGATTCACATTAGGTGTTTTATTAATTCTAAAATTATATTGAGCAATATCAATAATTATGTATGTTATAAAACAAAATAAAGAAACATTTTAAAGCAAACTACAAGTAGATTTATGTTCTCTCCCTCTTATTAGTAATTGTCTTGAGTTTTATTGTATTAAAATTATATTTAATTAAAAATTCCACCTTGTAAAGTCATTTTTCGGTATTTTATATTTAATTTCTTAATTAATTAATTTTAACATATTTACATTAATGTAACCTTAAGATATTAAACTCTTATTATTGAATGAGTACATTTTATTAACTTATTTCAAATTTTACAAGTTACCAATATTATTCAATTATCATTAAGAATTTAAAAATTATTGTTTTTTTGAAATAACTAAAGAAATCAAAGACTACCAAACTGTGCTATTTAGTATCCCAGGACATATCTAAGGAATATCATGACCCATAGAAATTAATATATATATATATATATATAAGTATTTAGAACTAAGGCAGTTAATATTAATTAATAACTCCTAACAGATACCAAAGGATGAATTTGATCAAAAAAGGATTACATCAATTAAGCAGTTTGAAAATCTTTAAGTTATTTTTTATTTTATACTAAAAATCCATTACACACCTTTATTATGACCAAATCAATCATATTAATATTATTAAATATAAATAATTCGCAAAATTAAAATTAATTTTGTTTTTCATGTCCTTAATAATTATTTTAAAAATATATATGATACTGCAATTGTTAACTATTCATTTTCAATTGAACTAAATTATATTATTTTAAATTTGCAAGTTTCTATTACTTAACACAAGTTATATCATTAAACATAGTTTTTTTAGATAAAATGTTAACTAAAATAATGTTTTATTTGCATAACTTTTTTTTTAATAATAGTTCGAATATTATAATTGACTAAAATTATTTTTCATGTCATTCACTTGGATTAGATTATTATTTTTTGGTAAAATAAAAATTAATTTATTAAAAATTTCATAAATTACTGATGTATAAAATTATTGTTGGAAAATTAATACTAATAACTATTTTACTGTATACTTATTAATATTTTTGTAATATTTTTTCAGGTTTTATTGAAGTTAAATTAGTGAACTGTATTTTTTCTCATAAAACACTGGAGCAGTAAGTTCATCACACTAATCATAACAAAATCTCATCATTGTCATCTAATTTTGTCAATCATTTGTTTATATTTATATCAGTACTAATATGTTGAAAATGTGCACTTAAAAAAAATTCTCTTTAGATTTAAGTGTAAAATATGTTTATATTATGATTTTAACAAAAAAACCAACCACAATGAATAGTTCAGGTCAAAGTAACGAATCTGTAAGCAAAGTGTGTGGTGATCTTTTAAGCAGCTCTGCCTGGAGTGCTGTCATACATCAACCAGCTCATGATTCAGATTTAGAAGATTTACCGTCAACAGTAGACATGGATGCTATAAAAGATCCTATTGCAACACCTCACAATACTATAACTAATCAAGTGGTTGATTTTACCGAATCCGAATCAGAATCTGAATCAGAATCCGAAAAAGAAAAATATTGTACAAAAAAATTTGGTTACTCTTCTGTTGATGATGATAATATTGATGATTCGTCTGATACCTCATTGTCATCATATGTACCATGGTCAAAAAGAAAAGCTTTGGACAGACAAAAGAGAAATAAAGATTCCATAGAATCACATGATTCAAGTTCAAGTTCTAGTGATGAATCCAGTTCTTCATCTAAGTCAACACATTTCGTTAAGCAACCTACTTACGATGATACTTCTAGTGATGGTTCCAAAAAGAAAGAATTTTGGCAAGAAGAACCGAAGAAAACTTTTTCTTCGAGTTCAGAGCTTGACAAACTTGAAAACTTAGAACCTGAACATTTACAAGTTATTAATCAAGAAGACTTAGCAGAAATTTTATCAGATGTTCAAAATCAAAGTTTTTCTACAGGATTTGATGACGTTCAACCAAAAAATTTAAGTGACAGTAGTGATTCAAGTGATATAGAGATCAAAGATCGTGTTGTAAATGAAGCAATTGTACGTTTGAATAACTCTTCTGAGGATGAAAATAAAAAACCAGCTTATTCTTCTAAATTGTTGAAAGACTTTGTAGAAAAAACTGAAAGTGTAGAACAGAATTCAAATTGTAAAACTCACTCATTAGAAAATAAAGCAATTGGTAACAAAAAAAAAGAAAATTTGATGAAAAGAGGTAGAGGAAGACCAAAAGGTTCATGTAAAGGACGTAAAAACTTACAAAATATTTTACCTAAATTGTCAGCTAATTTTAAACGAGGTCCAGGTAGACCAAAAAAAATGCCTCCACTCTTAGAACCAAACAGTCCAACCAATAAAAGTTTAAATTATGATTCTCCTAAACAAGTTAAAGTTCATAAAAAAAAGAAAAAACATAAGAAAAAGAAGAAAAAACATAAGAAGACAATAAATCCTAAATTTGTTGCTGAAATGGATAATCTTGTGAGTTTGTTTATTCAATGTTTGAATATTTCTAAAATTTCAGATAATATTAGAGGTAAATCTAGTTCTTTGAAATCCAAACAAAGAGATAGATCTAGTAAGAAAAGAAAAATTGATAAAACTAGTTATAGTGATAATGATATTGATAAAAAAAGAAAAAAAGGATCTCCAGATACATCAAGAGATTCGGAAACCACTAATGACCAACGATTGCCATTAAAAAAACGACATTATCATATAACATCTTCAACTGGTGCTGGTGTTACCTATGTAGAAGATGTGTCTAGAGATGAAAATTCTGGCAGTGAATCTGATAAACAGCACAAGACAGTAAAAGTAAAATCTGAAGTCAAGAAAAAATCAGGCTTACGGAGTAATTCTGCTATACCAGAAGTTAAAACCAAAGATGGCGAAAAAAAAGATGAACCGAAACCTAGAAAACCTCCTGCAGGAGTATTTGTACCAACTGTTGAAATGCCAAGTTTACAACTGAAAAAAAATGTAGATGAAAATATTGTTAAAAAAGTGAAGTCACTTAAATCTGATAAAGATAGTTCTGTAGGAAAATTGAAGAGAAGAAAAAAATGTATAAACCGGACTGGATTTCCTGTCAAGAAGAAAAAGAAAAAACGTCCAGAGCTTATTAACTTAATGCCTAATGAATCATACATTAAACATAAATGTGTTGACCTGCGACCAAAAAATGAACAGACTGAAATTGCCCCTGAAAGAAGAAGTAGTCGTGCAGTTGTTCTTAATAAGTTAAAAGATAAAAAGAAAGATGAAAAAGAAGATAGTGATGCATCCAGTGTCAGTCTACCAAAAAAAATTAAACCTGACCAAATAGAAGTTGTCAAGGAAATTAATAAAGAAGTTAAACCTCAGAAGAAAAAACCTGATAAAAAACATTCCATACAGTCTTGGAATTACCGAAAGTTAAAGACAAATGTTTATTATGATTTTAAACCAATTTGTACTTATGAAGCCCAAGCATGTAATTGCAAAGTACCGAGTGTAGGTAAAGGTTGTACAGATGATTGTATAAATAGAATGATATTTGTTGAGTGTTCACCTGAACTTTGTCCTTGTATAGATAAATGTTCTAATCAACGTCTTCAAAAGCATGATTGGGTTCCTGGTTTAGTTAAATTTATGACTGAAGAAAAAGGTTGGGGAATAAAAACAACAGAAGAAGTCAAAAGTGGTGAATTATTATTGGAATATGTTGGTGAAGTAGTAAGTGAACAAACATTTAAAGACCGAATGACTTCTATTTATAAAAATGATGTCCATCATTATTGTTTAAAACTGGATGGAGGATCCGTTATTGATGGTCATCGAATGGGTGGTGAAGCAAGGTTTGTTAATCATTCTTGCGAACCTAATTGTGAGATGCAAAAATGGAGTGTAAATGGGTTATTTCGAATGGCATTATTTGCTCTTCGAAATATAAAACCTGATGAAGAATTATGCTATGACTATAATTTTTCCTTATTTAATCCAGATGAAGGTCAGTTATGCAAATGTAAGTCACCTAAATGTAGAGGTGTAATTGGAGGAAAAACTCAAAGAATCAATATAAGATCTCCTAGTGTGGCTCAAAATCTACCAACTAATAGGAATCGTTCAAGAAAAGCTGCTCCTAATACCAATACTTCTCCTAAAAAGTCTACTTCTATTGTTAGTATACAACAGAAATTAGTATCAAATGCTCCTATTATAATCAGTCAAGAAGATAAAGAATTAATATTTCTTCATAAAATATGTTTATACAGAAATCTTATGAAAATAGAAAAAATTAGGAAGAAAAGAAGAGGCAAAGATAATAAACCTAAACAACCTGAAGTATTTAGAGCACAAATGAATGCCCTTACTAGCAGCTGTTCTGTAAGAACTAGACGACTAGCTACAGCTCAAAATGATCCAGAAATGGAAAAAAAGGCTAAGTTAGCCACTATATTTAAACAACTTTTTGATATAATATGTAATGCTAAAGAAGAAACAGGTGAATTACTTGCTACACCATTTATTACTTTACCATCAAAACGTAAAGTTCCTAATTATTATCAAAAAATACTGGATCCTATTGATTTAACAACTATTGCTAATAATATTGAAATAGGTGTTTACGATACTGTAATAGGATTTGATGCAGATGTGTTGAAGTTACTTACAAACAATATAAAGTATTATGGGCGAACTTCGGACTTAGGGGTTATATCTACTCGTTTACGTAAGATTTATAATTTAGCTAAAGTTGAATTTGTTCCAAAGATCGAAGAAATTATAGAAAAACCTATTCCAGAAGCTTTTATAGCAGAAAAAAATAATCCTGGTGGTGATCAAGATGATGTGGTACGATGTATTTGTGGTTTACACGAAGAAGAAGGTTTGATGATTCAATGTGAACGTTGTTTAGTGTGGCAACATTGTGATTGTATAAAGGCTGATCCTGGTAAAGTAGAAAATTACCTATGTGAACGTTGTAATCATCGAGAGGTTGACTATGAAATACAACTACCTATACGTCCAAGTTATGCTGAACCCAAAGAACTTCATTATTTAACGTTGATGAGAGGAGATTTACAAATAAGATTAAATGATACAGTTTATGTACTTAGAGATATTGTAAATCCAGATAGTGGTAAATCTCATTCTTATAAAACTATAAAAAATTTCAAGTATTCAGATTGTGATATATTTAGAGTAGAAAGGTTATGGAAAAACGAATCTGGTGAACGTTTTTCATTTGGTCATCATTATCTTAGACCACACGAAACATATCATGAACCAACACGAAAATTTTACCCTAATGAAGTGGTTAGAGTCCCTATCTATGAAAAGATATCATTAGACCTTATTATGGGTCGATGTTGGGTTCTTGATCCTTCTACATATAGTAAAGGATATCCTATTGGCTCTGAACATAAACATCTTTATATATGTGAGTACAGAGTAGATAAATGTGCAAGAATGTTTGCTAAAATTAACAAGTCAAAAAATCCCCCAATTTGTACTAAAAGCTATGCTTTTGAAAAATATGATAAGAAATTAAAATTAGCAAGAACATTTGCTCCACATGGACTTATGGTAAAAGTAACTAATAGTTCTACAACACCTCGACCACGACAAACAGAAACTATACAAACTTCCAAAAAATTATCAAAAGCTCAATTTTCAATGAAAAAGCAAAGATTGGACACACTTTTAATTAAATTATTATCCAATATGCCAGAAGAAGAAAAAATTGATATTACATATTTACTTGAACCTGGTAGAAGACACAGAAAAAAACCTTCATTTTTAGAACTGTAGTAATTATGAGTTGATAACTATAGTGATTTAATTAAATTTGTGTCATAATACTTTTAAATATATTTTTATTAATTTTTATTTAGAAGTTAATTCAAAATTTTATTTTGTAAATAATTTAAATATATTTTATCTTGAGCACTCTTTACATCTTTTGAATAATAATGAACAGGTTCTTTTTTAATATGAATAAATATTTCACATTTTTATAACAATATTGTTTATATTAAATTACTTAAATACTGTATAATTTTATATTTCATTAGTATTCTACAAAATCAAATAAACTGTGATTTTTGTTGGATTACAATTGTGTCATATTGTTTCACATAAATTATAAATTGTTATAACATTATTTTACATAATAATACCCTTACTTATAGCTGAGTATATTTTACATACCATGCATACCATTTATACAAATTACTTTAAATTGTTAAAAATTAAGATAGTTAATTATGTTTTTGACTGTTATTGCATTTTTATTATCATTATCATTTTTAAGTATCATTCATAAAGTATTTTCATCTTTAAATAATTTATATTTTAAGATTTAACAATAAGAAATAAATGTAGATATTTTAATTTATTATAATTTGTAAATTTGTATATTAAATGTTTTGACTGTTAATACACGTATGCTTATATATTGAAACATATTTACAAATTTTATTAATACATTTTAATTAACACAAAGAAAGATTTGAATAATTGCTCAATTAGAATAGATGTACACTTCAGCCCCTTGTGTAAAATAAATAAAAGTGTTGATATTAATGGTTTTTAAGATGAGTCGTTATGAAATTTTGCTGATTAATTTTACTAGACTTATGATTTATGATTATAATGGGGTGCTAAAACCCTAAACTTATTTACTAATACATTTTATGGAAAGAAAATGTTTTACCTTGCCTGATATTTCAAAAAACTTATTAATTTATTATAATTGTTAATTTTAAAATAATATATAAAGTTGATAGGAAGTTATATAATCATGACAACAAAATAAATGTAAAACTGAAGTTTGATATACTAATATTTAGTATCATACACACTATATCTAATATAATATTGTTTTAAAAGTAAATTGATTACACTACTAAGACAAAAATTTCATATCGGCTCTCACTGGATTCACTGTAAATGTAAAATAAAAACAAATTATTATTTATCTATTTACTTAAAAAACCTCAAATGTGAGAAATTATTACTAACTCAGAAATATATTTGATGATAGGGGTTTCTAGTGGTTTGTGTTTTGTACAGGATAAAACAAATGGAGCTGCGTCATCGGTGTAATAGGTCGGACAACAACCAACAAATGGAAACGTTTCAAATTCTTCAAAAACCCAGCGATAGCGATAACAACGAATCGATCAGGAATCAAAAATGTCTATCGGCTATACCAACTTTCTTAGTTATGCTGATCGCGATGATAATTCTAAATGTGTTTGTGTACTACATGGACAGCAGACTACCGGGTATTATCGAAACGAATTCAACTAATAATGTATTTGTTGCAAAACGCGCTATGTCCACATTAATTAAACTTGCAAATATAGGTCCCAGGCCCGTTGGTAGTTTCGAGAACGAGAATTTAGCGTTTAATCTTTTTAAAACTGAAATCGAGCATGTCGAGAAAGAGTTAGATAACGTAAACGATATTGTTGTGTACAACCAGAAAGTTACCGGGTCGTTCATTTTGGACATGAGAAATTGGAAATATTTATTAAGTTACGAAGACTTGCAAAACGTTGTTGTTAAAATCGATCCCAAACAAGGTGCGAGCGATGCGATTTTGTTAAATTGTCATTTCGATTCGGTGCCGGCCGGGCCGGGCGTAAGCGATAACGGTGTGAACTGCGCCGTGATGGTAGAGCTGTTACGAGTATTGACGAAGAGCAGTGAGCTGAGGCGACCGGTCATATTTTTGTTCAACGGAGGCGAAGAGATAATTCTGCAGGCTTCCCACGGTTTCGTGACCCAACATCCGTGGTCACAGGACGCGAAATACGTGATAAACCTGGACAGCTGTGGAGCGGGCGGCAAAGAAATAATGTTCCAGACCACGGAGCGCGACTCGTATCTGGTGGACGTGTACGCTCGCTCGGTGCCGCATCCGCACGGGCAAGTGATGGGCCAAGAGCTGTTTCAATCGGGCGTAATACCGTCCGACACGGATTTCCGGATATTCAGGGATTTCGGCAACATGTCCGGCCTAGACCTGGCGCATTACAAGAACGGCTACGTGTACCACACGGAATACGACAATCTGGACCAAGTGGAACCGTCGGTGTTGCAGAACACCGGTGAAAACCTACTCGAATTGGTCAAAGCGATGTCGACGCGCAACGCGACCACCACCAGCAAGAGCCACCGGACCAAGTATGTGTTCTTCGACGTACTGGGCGTGTACATGTTCTCGTACACGGAACTATCCGGCGCGTTTTTCAATTTCATAATCGTCCTGGTGTCGTTTTTCTCGGTTTTCTTGACACTGCGATTCGTCGCGGCCGGCATGAACCGCAGGGAGTACACTGTGCACCTGTTGACGTCCATCGTCAGCCCCGGGTGCACGCTCGTCCTTTCCGTACTGTCATGCGCGCTAGTTGCGTTCATTTTGGACTCGCTGGGATACTCGATGAGTTGGTACGCCCACAAAACGAACCTGGTCGTCTACTACGCGACGGCGTCGTTGACCACGCTGTCCGTAGTGGTTTTCCACCCGAAGAAGAATCGGTCGAGAACGGACGCGGAGTTGACCATATCCGCGTTCAACGGCATCCAATTCTTCTGGACGGTGCTGCTGTTCTTGTCCACCATGGCGGGGCTGCGGTCCAGTTATCTGTTTATGGTGATGGTACTGTGGCCGTCGGCCACCAACTGCATTCTGGGCTTTCTCGGCGCACACCGGACGCCCGGACTGTGGATAGCGGTCTACGCCGCATCGCTGCTCGTGCCTATCACGTTCGTGTTCTACCTGACCCAATTATTTGTGTCGCTATTCGTGCCGATCACCGGGCGCTTCGGGCCGCACGTCAACCCCGACTACATAGTCGGCGTACTGATAGCGATGTCCACGTATGCCACGATCGGCTACCTGTCGCCGGTCTTCGCGCTGGTGAAGAACCCGCGCGCCCTGCTGGTCGCGGTGGGCACGCTGGCCCTGCTGTCCGCGGTCGCAATCGTCGCCACGCCGCTCGGATTCCCGTACTCGGGCGGCGCGGTGCTGCCCAAGAACCAGCGGTTCGATGTGACTCTCACGCGGCGCACGTTCTACGAGTCGGATGGCTCGGTGCGTCGCAATGACTCGGGCTACCTGATCGTCAACTGGGATAGGCAGAGCCCCGGCTCCGTCGCCAATTCAGTGCCCGAGATGGCCCGCGCCGTTCGCACGGATTGCGCCGCAGAGCTTCTATGCGGCATGCCACTGGTCGGCCAGTTGGTTTACCACTCCAGCTGGATTCCTCATGTCTCGGCACGACCCGCAGCCGACAACGTGGCGGCGGAGTTGCCGTCGGCCACCAACACCGAGGTCGTCGTAACCGGCACGGGCGATCACCGCCGACGTCGTATGCACTTCAACATCACCGGGCCGGAGAGGATAAACGTGTACGTCAGCCCCTACCCCGGTACACGGTTGACGTCGTGGAGTTTTTCGGGCAAACCGGAAGTGACCACCACGTGGCAGGGCCACGATGTGTACGTGATACGGCACTCCAGGGCGGGCGAAAGTGACGTATGGCGATTTTGGTTGGAGCACGAGAGCAGCTACGGGTTCGACGAGAATACCATCAACGTAACCGTGGCTTTCAACTGGGTTGTACACAAACGTTTGGTGTTAGTCGACGCGTTTAGGACGTTTTTAGATTCGTTTCCGCGGTGGGCTCATGTGAACCACGCTGTCGCTAGTGTCGACGCATTTGTTTATTAAGTATACTTACACATCATACATAGGTGCAGCCCAATAGGCACACTCCGTATATTGTGTCTTCGTGAAATATTTCTATGAATTATAATGTTCCCAGGCCCTATATTATTATTTTCTAATGTTATTAACATTGTCGCTCAAATTTATGTTTTCCCTTTAAACGCGTATTTAAAGACTCTACCTAAGGATTATTTTATCAATGAAAATTGCAATTCATACATTTACATCGAGGTTTGCCTTTAACAAAACGTAAATACGCGTATATAATTATCATGTATTTTTTATCAATGTAACAAATACTCGGGATACCATTTTATTACATTATATGTTTATTATACTAAATGAATTTGTAAATGTATTACTATTGAAAGTCTCTTTCGATTTTAATAATTATAATAGGTTATGTTGTTCCATAAACTCATGAAGTATGTTCAAAATATTATTTTACCTATATATATTTTATACGTTAAGCAATTAAGTGCATACCTACTAATTATTTATTATTATTAAACTAAATTGTAAAAGCGATATGTCGGAGTTTTATAAAATAAAAAGCTACCAAATGTTGTATTATGTAGAATTAAAGACATTTTATAAAAAATGTACATAATTTTATAACGAAAAACGATGCAAAATATAATTTGAATTCTTAAATACCATAGTGTATTAAATATATAAAAATATAAATCTTTTTCTGAACTACAAATATCTATTAAATTTTAGTCGTGTAAATAAATAAAAAAATCTTCTATGAAACAGATTTATGGTACCGTACCATTAGTAGTAACTTTCATTATCTACTTGATTTTATTTCTTATCTGTTTATAATTTCAATGTTATAATATACAAAAATTAATTATTCAATAATGCATATAAATACCAAATCGAAATTCTTTATTTTAGAACCTGTTTGCACTTCACTTTTAGTAGACTGCAATAGAAATATTAAGTACAACAGTTAATTGTAGCTAATTATTATATAAATACGTTAAATCGCTTTTTAGAAAATAAAGAGACATATACCATGTATACCTACAATTTGTTTTTGTTAACTTACGAGCATAATAATTTAAGTTATAATTGTATTAATTATAAAACAAATATCCATCAAATATATCATGTATGTACAGCTAAGTGTCTGAGTTAATACTTAAATTACATAATTTAATATTCTCCAATACATGTCTTTTGAAAATAGTTAAGGAAATTTACTGTTAACTACCATAATACTTATTTTAATTATTGCTTTATTATAATTTAATATTAATACTGTATTGCTATAAAAGGTATCTTGTTAAGATTTATTAAAAAAAAAAAATCGTCATTAATTATTAGCAGTCAGTGTTGATAGTACCTACTTACAAAAAATAATGACATGTTCATAAAACGATTTCTTTGTGCAAACATGTAGTTGAGGATCTCGGTTTCCATAGACAAAAACTAGGTCCTTTAATAATAAAAATGATAATATCCTAGTAGTATTTATAGACTTCGAATAATTTATGAAAATACTAACTTTAACATTGAAATTGTAAAAAGTCAGTTTCTGTGAAAATTATAATTTATTTATGGTTGAGTTATCATTTGAATTTTTTTTTTCATACATTTTTTATGTACTTACTACTTTTGCCACGCATAGAAACGATATGTGTATCTTAGCAATTATACAACATAATAGCATAATAGCATAGTTTATTTTAGTTAAGTCAAAAGTAAGAACATGATTTTGTAGATCGAAATGAACATTTTTCAGTATCTATTGAATTTGATTCAGAACAAATTAATTTCACGAAATGGTATTAATTTATGCAAAATAAAACATAAAGAAAGTTGTTTCTCTTATTTATTTATATTTTCATTCTTGGAAAACTTTTTGATCAATTATTAAAAACCTACAAATAGCGCCATATAAATAGGTTTAAAATTAAATTGTATTTTGATTGAACTGTGGGCCACATAAGTTTTCTAATGATTTTTATTTTCCATTATACGCTTATGGACATAGCATTCGCCAACATTTTTAGTCAACACTAACAATTAAATAAAATAATTAATTTCTTTTCTTCGGTTCTTAGAAAGTATTGCCTGTGGATATAATTTTTCTTGAAATGTTGAACCTAAAATCTGTGTTAGGTGACATGTTTATAGCGGCTACTTTATTTTATTCGGTTTATTCCAATTATCCTAATAATGATTGGGTAATTAGGTACGTAGTCAATAGTTGCAAGACTATATTATATATATATATATATATGTTTGACAGCACAATAATACGCAAAATAAGTAGTTGGCACCGTTATTATTTACGGAAACGAAGAGAATTAGCAGCCAAACGGAATACCAGAATAATATTACCGTTGGCTGCTTGCACGTGAAATGTGAATTGAAAAAAGGCGCGCTACTTGAAATCATTATAGTTATTTTGTTCAATAATTTTCACCATATTGTTACGTGCCAACCGTTTGATCCGTGATTTCAGTGTTAACGTCTCAGTCAACGCTTGGTTGTAGGTGTAGTGAAGAATAATTAAGACTCTTTATAATAATTTAATTTATTAAACTTATAAAATTATTCTAACTACAATTTAGTCCAAACTAGTCCAAACGATTTAGATTATAGAAATTATTCAAGTCCTAACAATTGTAACTTATAAAAATAGTTTGAAATATTTCTAAGTCCGGACCATGACATACACTGACGTGAAGGTGCTCAGTGCAGCATAGTCAAAACTCGTCTGATTTGCCCTTGTTTTCGGGTCCCTTTTATATCTGATATATGCATGTGTGTGTGTACATGAAAACTGATAATAAAATAAGATAATTTCCTATTGATTGTGAGTGTGTGCGCGCTCTCTCCGGACCGTGACATAATTATTGACGCAGATGCCCAGGATGTGGTCACTACTATTTCGATTAACTATTTTATTTCAATTTCCCATAAAAACGTTTATGTGAACCTTTTCACTTGTTCACGCTTGTGATTTCGATATTCTAATTCCTTATTGTAATTTCCAGTGTAATAACCACGTGAACACAATAATCTAAAACGGCCCATACACGGTCAATAATATTGATTAATATTTGATATTTTCAATAATATTGATCGTGTATTGGCAGTATTGAAGGATTGATCAATAATATTGAACAAATTAAAAATAAATTAATAAAGTAAATTTGAGATCTTCAAATGTGTTACCAGTGGCTAAGTAACGCGGAGTCAAGGAAAGTCTTGGCTGGCTGAAATCGATTCTCGCATTATTGTATTTTGTTTTTTTTATTAATGGAGTGACTTAAGTTAAAAGTTCATCATAGCCTGACTTGTTCATTCTTAATAAATATTCAATAATCTTCAGGTTGGTTTAACCGTAGCTCAGATAACAGATTTTCACAATTATATTTATTTCGCTTTTGCAATCTCTCATTAGCCCAAAACCTCTGTTTCCGTTTTTTCTTCCTTTTATCAAGAAAAGAAATAGCTAGAGCAAGAGCTATTATAGTATTGTCTAAATTATCAGACATAATTGTTTATAATTAAAATGAATAAATTGTTTAAAGCAAATTTAAATCTGATTTACTATTTTATAACGGACTTGGTAATTTGATTATGATATTATGTTTAATAGTTTTTCAATAATATTGATACTTTGATGGTCATCGTCAATGTTCGTCAATATTTTTTCAATAATATTGAACGTGTATGGGCCGCTTAACTTATCCACAGTTTTGGTTTATGATGTTCACGGTAACCTCCTTGTGATGTATTTTATTATGTGACTACGCAGGACGCGACAATATATATTCCAACTTTATACTATCTAACCAGCTGTTGATTCAACGAGGCCGTTGCATCATCCGTTGGGTAACAGATAATTTTTACACATCCCACTCTGATGGTATCACCCAATCTAATCTCTTTTCTATGGTATCACCACAAAGGCGAAAATAGCCAGCTGCTGATAGGATATTATTCTGATGTCATCGTTGAATGTTATCAGTATAATTTTGTTTTTGTATATTGTGTTTTAACTAATTATTCTCCACAGGGCTAGAAATATTTTTTACTCTTCCGCTTTTTCTGTCAAAGTTAAGATTTACAGAAGAATTATTCTACATTTCGATTCATTACTGTAGCCAATAAGCGAATAATACTTTATTTTCGTCTTTGACATGTCATCAATGGAAAGTATCCTTTTAAAAAGAAATCGTAGCAACACTATTATTTTTTAGCATACGTGTTTATTGTTTCACGATTTGTGTTTGGTTAAAACTAATTTTATTGAAAATTATTTACCCTTAATGAGTTTTGTAGATCATTTATTTAATTTGAAGTTTGCTGTCAAAGAACTGGAAAGAAACTCAAAGAAATGCGAAAAAGAAGAAAAGGCTGAAAAATTAAAAACAAAGAAAGCTATACAAAAGGGCAATATGGAGGTAAATATTTATTATGCAGTTTGTATTTAAATGCAAAACAATAGATTCAAAATAAATAAACCGCTTTATTGGGTTATAACTAATATATTGGTTTTGTTTATTATGCTCAGACTTACTTAAATTATTTTAGACAAAACCATATAAAATTATGAAACTGCACGAACTAATGTGTTATGTATCACATTTTAAAAACTAATTTTAACTTGAGGTGCTGATGCTATAATTTTGATAGTTCCAATAAATCTTAATTCCTAGACCTTATAAATTCTCTAAAAAATCATTGAATTATTAATATTTTCTTGTAATTTCCCTTTCATGTAAACTTAACTTTTTATGAATTCGAAATGTATTTTAATTAATTAAATATATTATATTTCTAAAAATTTACTTTAATAATAAACATTTTTTACAGTGCATTTGAATTATTTACTAATAGTAGAGTCAATTTATGTTAAAATACAACATAATATTTTATGCTTAAGAATTATTACATTTTAATTTCTTAATAATTTTTAAAATTTCTTAAATTATAACAACTAGGTACCAAAACTTTATATAATAAATAATTTTGTTTTTAAATTATAGTATTTTATATTTATTTTTAGGTTGCTCGTATTCATGCTGAAAATGCTATAAGACAAAAAAGCCAGTCGCTTAATTATTTACGTATGAGTGCTAGAGTGGATGCAGTTGCATCAAGAGTTCAAGGTGCTCTTACTACAAGAAAGGTTAGCTTACAACATACATTTTTATCATTAATTGCAATTTGTCAAATTAGTATTTTATTTAACTTTTAAATCTTAATAAATTATAATAAATAGTAAACTACTTAAAATTTAATAGACTCTTTTGAAGTATTTATAAATTTATGAGAACTGTATACTACTGTGTACTATAAGTACATTTTGTCAGTAAATTATTTATTTATTTTTTATCACTTAAATTATTGAAATTACTTAAAAGTATCTAAATTAATCATTTAAAATAAAAAATTGTAAGGAATTTTTATATAAGTATTATAGATAAATATTGTTTTAAAATCTTAAATGTTTTAATGAATCCTTATTTGTTACATTAAAAATCCAAGGCCAATAAAATGTATATTAAAATATATAATATTTAAAAAACCGATGGTTTGAAATCATACTAAGTTTTTCATTATAACATTTTGTAGTCAAACACTTATAGCCGCTCATAGCCAAACATACCTTTTTTATCCATTTTCTGATCTAACAAAATATGTATGCAATTTTTGATGCAGTTATAATTCCTTAAAAAAAAGAATATCCCCACAAAAGTCTCATTTAGTTGCTGAACATCTATAATATAATAACTGTTAATAAATATTAATTAATTTATGTTTTATATAAAATTATAATCAATTAGATCATGACTATTGTATATTTTATACTTCATTTAAAATATTTAATGACAAATGTTTGACTTGAATAATACGTTGAAGTGTTTTAAGACATAATTATATTATATACTACATTAAGTGAATGATGACATTTAGTGAATGTCAACATTTTGAATGAATATTAAAAATTTACCAACAACTACCGGTGAATGTCAACATTCACATCGATAATCGATAAAATATTGAGTTTTGGTGAATGTTAGAAATTTTTACTTAAATTTAGAATATAGACATTCAACAATTGGTGTGTGGTGTATCGTGTCATACGTAAAAATTGTGAATGTTTATAGATATGACATTTGTTTATACAATAGCTGAAGGGCGAACTATGTTGAGGTAGAAACATATAATAATTGTATAGTGCAGTGGCATAGCCAAGGGGGGGCTAAGGGGGCTATAGCCCTCCATGGGCCGTGTTTATATGTATAGTGTATCTTGACTATTTAATAAAATCAATGGATGCTCGTTTTAATCAAAGGCTTATTGATGTTATGCCACTTGAAGGACTTATTCTGGCCAATTTAAATATGTATGACGATGAAAATATTATTAAAGCTGCTAAAATATATACCCAAGATTTCCATGTTGATACCTCATCTACAATCAGAGCTGACCTGTTCATATGGAGGCAACAATTTATGGTTAATTTATTAACCTTTTGAGTGCTGTATTAGTTTGTAAAAATTATTTCATCATTATTCATAATTTTTTAAAAAATGCCAACATTCACCAAAATCAGATAGTGCATGTCAACATTCACCAGTGAATGTCTTCATCTGAAATGAAAATGACAATCACCAGAAATTTCAATGAATGTCAACATTCACCAAATGTCATTCACCTTAATATATATATATGCCTGCGATCATAATAAATTTGATTTAGATGACTAATAAGGATTGTGTGGTAGTATTCCAAATAGTAATAAAATATACTTCTACAAATATTAGGTCACAAATCATGATATTATCATAAGTATTATATATTTTATGTCTACAATTTCAAAAATAGAATGTACTAAAAATTAAAACAATTGATTTTATTTTTACTTTTTGCGATTCTTCAAAATCATATTTGAAAAAAAATTATTTTATTTTTAATGTTAGTCAAATTTATTTATTTTCAAACCATTAGGTTTTAAAACTTAAGTATTTTGTTCAATGAAAATTATCTTACTTTTATATTTATTTTAATTTATTTGTTTATCTAAAAATGAATGGAAAATTTAATTTATTATTTTTCATTCACAAATTGTATTAATTATTATTAGTCAATATAGTGCAAAATTCTCTAAATATAGAATTACTTTAAATATTTTGAAATATATACTGACACTATAGAATTGTTTTTTTTTTTACAGAGTATGTATTAATAAATAAAAAACTAAATATAGAATTTTTTGATCTCTTATGTATATTAAATTTTAAGGTAACTCAAAGTATGGGAGGTGTAGTAAAAGCAATGGATGCTGCAATGAAGTCTATGAATCTGGAAAAAATATCATCTTTAATGGATAAATTTGAGAATCAATTTGAAGATTTGGATGTGCAAAGTTCTTATATGGATAATACTATGTCTCAGAGTACAACCACAGCTGTACCTCAAGGTGATGTTGAAAATTTGTTGCAACAAGTAGCTGATGAAGCCGGGTATTTATATTTTTTACCTCAATATTTTAAATAAATTCTTATACCTTATCTTATTGCTTCTCTTTTTTTTTTTAGTTTGGAATTGAAATTAGAACTACCTACCAATCCTCAAAGTCTCAGTTCTCTGTCTTCTACTACGACAGAACAAGATGAGCTTACACAGCGCTTAGCTCGTCTTAGACAAGCTGAATAAAAGAGAAAAATACCCGGACAAATTATTATTATGCTAGTTCTAATTTTAACACTTTTATTGGTGATTTTAAAATTCTTAAATTGCAAATTTAAGGAATTTAAAAAAAATATTCATAATATTATTATTATTCATTAAGAATATTTTATATTTTCATTCATTATATATTATATTTGGAACAACCAACACTCCATTTTATGCCTGTGAAAAATGATATTTGCATTATTTTCAATAAAATATTGGTATTAAAATGTTTATTAAAATAGTTAATTTATATCTATATTTCAGTTTATTTAATATATATTATGCATTATGTATATATATATATAAAGCATACACGTTAATACAGTATATGGTTATTATTAATTTAATAGTGTATAAAAGCAATATTATATTATAATCGATTAAAAACTATTAATCAATTATAAGATTTCATAGTTTAAACTCAATATTTTATTTGATTATTTAGGTTTTTTGAAACATAAAATATATTTATTGATTACAATGTATTAGCTTATTCTATTTTTATAGAACCAATAAATAATCATTTTGTAAATTGAAGAAAAAATATTTTATTCCAAATATGGTTGATTTTGATCTTTAAGTTTCAATTATTATCCATTATCAATTAGAATCTATATATATTTTATATTAAAGGTAAATATTTAAATATAGATTAGATAATAATTGTTTTTTTTTATTGAATCATTTATTAAAACTTGGTATACATTTTACTTAATATTCCATTGAAGTCATGGTTAGTAGGAACCTATTACTAGGGTACTAGGAACCTAAAAACACTAAAAATCAAGTGTATGGAATTATATCCTTAAATGGATTTTCAAGTCATATCTTATTAGGATTATTTATTCTTATATCTTAATTCAATTGTTATAGGTATACTATTTGTTTTGTCATTTATACTCAAATTGTACAATTATGTAGACAATAAATAGTTACTAAAATTCAAAAACAGTAAACTCATTTGTTAATAATTTAATTATTTGTTGTATAAATTGTAAGTATGTTATTTTTATAGTTATATGCTAGAAAATTAAACTTGAAAGAAATAATACCTACTTGTGATAATATATACTATTTTGTAGAAATATTAATAAATTTTATTGGACGAGTAAATATTTCAAAACCATAGGTTGGTTTTTTTCAAACATAATTCCTAATGTAAAATATTTGATTTTTTTTTTTCTTAAGAAGATTTAAAACTACCTTGAGTAATAAACTATTATCTTTATACATGTTTTATTACCTTAAAAATTTAATAATGTATTATATAGTAGATGTTTGATTTAATGTACCCAATGTTTGATATTTTTCAAGTGGCAGAAAATAGATGGATTAAATTTGTCATAAACTTAAAGAAGAAAATAACTAGCACTTTGAAACACTGTGTATACATTTGTTAATAATTATACCTAATATATTGTTGGTATTTCTTGAGTGTTATTACTTATTGGGTTAATATACTTAATATTGGTTAGGAATAAAAGGCAAAAATATTTAGTCACTCCTAAGTTCTCACTCTGTGTTTATAAATCTTAATAAATACATCTACTTTATGTAATTAAATGTCTATCCATAAAAATAATGTATCACTCAGTAGAATTTGAAGGATATGAATCAACTAATGTCAGTGAAGATAATGTGCCAATTGGATCTTTAGATTACCTTTCTACAAAATATGAGGTAAATTATTTTAATATATGAGATAAACCACCATAACTATACTATATTAGATTGATAAAGTAAATTAATGTTTTCTGTGTATTATTTGTTTATAGAAAAAATAATATTTATTTAAATTTTAAAACTTAAAATTAGAATTTGATTTGAATTTGTTTTCAAAATAGATGACCTTCACTGGTAGTGAAGATTATATAAAATAAAAACATAATAATATATATTAAATCTATTGTTATAGTGTATAAAGCTATTTATAGATGCAATTAAAAATATACATTGTGTACCCAGTTTCAAATTGCATGCATTACAAAGTAATACTGAAGTACTTCCTAAATAATTTAAATTCATTATTCTATCCTAATTTCTTTATTATATTTTTATTATTCATAAATACTTAATACTTATTTTTATTAAGTTAAAAATATTTATTATTTATAACAATTCCTTATAACTACAATAAACACTTTATTATGTAAGATGATACATCTACTATCTGAATAGAATATTATTTTTGTATAGGAATTACAATACATACAAATGTAATGAGGAATAAGAGAAATGGAGCATATTTTTATAATATTCATTGAAAGAACTGTAAAAAACTAAAAAACACATCATTTGACTTATAATGGTTATAATATTTATATTAAATTCAAAGTGAATTAAATTTAGTTGATTATTTTCAAAGGTATATATTGTGTATCTACATAGTATATAACTACTTATTTATTCTATAAATAAAACAATTTTCAAAAGCTCATCGGTTCACATAAAAGCGTTTTTATGGTTCATATCAAATAAAAAAGCCGAAACTCCGGGTCATTGTCAATTTTTATGATGCCAAAGTGTATAGCACTAGTTTTATTATTCATTATGTGCTATCCATACATGTATTTATCGCTTTAGTATAATCAATTTAAATAAACATTGAATTAAATTAGGCCATAAAACTATAGTGGCCATAATATGGCCAGATGGCATACAGGTATTATGTTAAATTTCATAAATTACATTTATAGATACTATTAAGTATAGGTAGTTAGTTATATTAGACATATAAAATTATAATTTTTAATTAAACAATATATGCCATAGCGTATATTCCTTTTTTTCCAGAATTTAACAAAACAAACATAATGTATTAAATAAAGCCTACATAGAATTATTAGGTAGGTACCTATTTTGCACAGATGTTTATCCTATTTAATAATGATGTACTTTTGTTAGTTTCATCATTTTTTATCTAATAAATGTATTATTGAAAAGGTATCATAATTATTTTTAGATTTATACTAAACTAATTTTATTTTTTTTCTAATAAATTTATTTTATTACAAAAATAAAAATAATTAATAATTAGTTTTCTTTTCGTGCTCATAAAGGTTTTACAAAATAGGTAGGTATTCATTTTTCAGGAAAATATTTTAAAAACTTCAAAATTCAAACTATAATGAGTGGTAACCATTTATTAAAAATTTTGTTGAAAATGAGATTATTTAAAAATGAAATATTTTAAGCATCACTTAGTTCCAGAGAAATTTAGAACGCCACGTTTTTTATTTAATATATAAACTATTACTTTTTCCATATTCTTATACAACTATTTCTTAAAAAATCGTGTTAATGGAAAATTTATATAAATAATAATATTTTGAAAACTTTATAGTAGAATATTTGAAACTATGTAAACAAAAAATATGGGCTTCTACATCCAAATCCGTACGTTATTGTAAATTTAAATATCCTTAATGCTTATTATACTAAATTGTGTAAATTTTATGAGTATAAATATTATAAAAATATTTAAAAAATAACCAATATTATGCATAAAATGTTTGTAGCCAATGATTAGAGGGAAATTATGAAAATTATGAGCAAACCAGTGTCGGTGTCAAAGTCTAAAATCACAAGAACTAAAATTAATGCAATGACGAATTGTTTATTGATACACAAAAATAATAAATTAAATTAATTCAAAATAGTACAAATTTTTAACTATAAAATTAACATGTCAAAATATTTGCAAATTGTTAAGATAATTGGTTATAAGGTTTTTCAAAGTTTGGCCAAATATGTTCATCCTATTTTTTCTCTCTAAATATGAATTATGGTCACTCTACTAGCATCTTAATGAAAGTTATAAGGAATGAAATTATTTTTATTTTAAATGTTTTTTTTGTAAAAATGTCTTAGTTCAAGTTAAACTATTTTAAAAAAATTGTTTGATTAAATATTCCTCGTAGAAAAGTCATGTTTTATTATATTTATTTTTGTTTTGTATATTTCAAGAGTTTAGATTATGAAGTAATTGAAAATGAATTATACTGCAAAGAAGAAGAAAATAAAGGATATAGATATGTCGTACAAAAAGATTTTTCTAGATGGATGACATTTTTTTGGATAGGAGTTATAGTTGCTTGTGTTGGAATAATCATTTACATTGGCATTGAAGTAGGAACAAATTTTAAGTTCAATATAATCAAAAAATGTATCCTTTATTTAAAATAACTAATTAGGTATACTTACTGTTAAAATAAATTATTCATGTATAATAATAATGTTAGTTAATAATTATTATTGAAATAACTACTACAGCGGAGTGCAGAGATCTATACTGTACTTTTATATGCTATATCGTATTCAGGATAGTGATGCACCTTTAAAGTTAAAAAGTTTAAATTATGCTGTTTATAATAAATTTAAGTTATTTTTACAAAAATTTTGTTTGTGCGTTTCAGAAAATATTAATTTCATTGTCTTCATACATATTTACATATTCACTTAATTTCAAATATTTTCACATATTTACATTCACTCAACTATTTTAACCATGTCACATCATTTATTCTGTACTCAATCTTGATTTCACCAGTTTAACACAAAATCAGTTTAATAAGTATTAATCTGATATATATATATATTACCTTATATTATAGTAAAAGCCCGAGTTATGATTAATCCTATTAGTAACTGGTACATTCTAGGATACAAGATAAATATTAAAACCTGAAAATAAAATAAATTTCAGACGTAAAAGTCTTAATGAGATATAATAATTTAGATTGGTTTAACTAAAGATTAATCAGCCACTGGAATTCCACCGTAATGATGAACAAAATGCATAAATATTTAAATGTTAAAATCATGAGAAACAAAATACATTGATCTTAATACAGATTTTAATTTCAAACACAAAATGCCGTTTACAGCTACCTATATATTACCATAAGCTAGTATTTTAATTTTTTTTTGTCCATGGTTTATCGCAAATACTTAATAGCTGGTTTACCATGAACCTATGTAGTAAAATGTATTGGTATGCAATTCTTAACATTAAATAATTTAGATTTTGATGAGAGTACACTACAAAATAATGGCATGCTTAAACCGTATTTGGTAGCACTTATACTTAATTCTGTTCCTTCAGTAATTGGATCGTACCTCATAGTTTATGTTGAAGTGAGTACAATGCATTATATTATATACTCTATAATATACTATGGTAATAATTAAATTACTGTTTGTTTATTATATGTACAGCCTATGGCAAAAGGTTCTGGTATTCCTGCGGTGAAATGTTTTTTAAACGGAATCAAAGTACCAAGATTGATTAGATTGAAGACGTTAATTGTCAAAGTTATTGGTGTTATTTCTGCGATATTAGGTGGCTTGTGGGGTGGTAAAGTAAGTTTATTATTTAGTTTATAATATAAAATAAGATTTAATTTATAATTTCTGGGAAAAATTCTGATTTAGTATTTATTATTTAACTCAATAATTTCCGCAAATGTTGTTTTTAGTTAAATAAATATGTATGTATATAGACACGTACATATTTGTTTAAACAATATAATATATTATATAACACTATATATAGTGCTCACGATCGTTCGAGATACCTACTCGTATTACTTTTATCACTACTTACTAGTAGAGCGTTTATTACTCTACTCTAGAAGAATTGTGCAAAGATTGTAATTTAAGATAAAAAACCAATTCATTTCGGTTTTTTATTAAACTTTGTTGTTATTCAAAAATCATAGACATGGATTGGAACCGTACCGAAAAGAACCGGTTTTGGAACCGAAGCCCTTTGAATAGTGGGAATCAGAACCTCACCGAAATTCAAATTTACCCCCCCCCTCCCGGGGGAAATGAAAAACACCTTTTTTTTTTTTTTTTAATTTGCTTTCGTTCCACATTACAGCAAGAACGCCATTGTTAAAGATTATTATTTTTAACATGGATATGTCTTAATGCTGGGGGTTTCCGAAAATTTGTCGCGACACTGAGAATGTTGCTTATGCGATAATTTAAAATTTTGTATTTATAAAATATATTTAATCTCTTAAGAAAATATAAGGTGAATTTTAAGTGACTCTAATAAAAAAATTGTTTATTACAATGTAGTTTTTATACTTTTAAAAAATTATAAATCATTAAAAAAATTGAGTTTCTTATTTCTCTGATGGTGTAAAGACAGTCGAGAAGTCTTATAGTGTTAAAGTAATTTTTTTTCGTAACAGTGTGCTTCCTCTTTTCCTTCCCCCCCAAAAATTAAATACACAATCGGTCCCCTCCGAAATTAAAACTTATATACATCACAGATCACAGATAATATATAGATGTACATTATATAAACTTGTTATATTATTATTTAATCAATTTGTTTAGGAGGGTCCAATGATTCACGCGGGAGCTATTATAGCAGCTGGTATTTCCCAGGGAAAAAGTACAACATTCAATAAAGATTTGGGTGCTTTGAATTTTTTTAGAGAAGATCATGAAAAAAGAGATTTTGTATCTGGCGGAGCTGCAGCCGGAATAGCTGCTGCTTTTGGTGCTCCAGTTGGTACGTCATTTGACAAATACTATTGTATTCTAAGTACTTGCAAATTCATACAATGAAATATCATTAATTATTAGGAGGTTTGTTGTTCAGTTTGGAAGAGGGTGCTAGTTTTTGGAACCAGGCACTAACGTGGCGTATATTTTTCGGGTCAATGATCTCGATGTTTACGCTATATTCTGTTTTAAGTGCTTATCATGGCCATCCAGGTTAAGTCGACAGTTAATTTTCTATTATTTGAAAAAATGAAGTAAATACTATCTTATAAATACTTTATGTTACAGGTGATCTGACTTATAGGGGTTTGTTAAATTTCGGAAAGTTTGATGATTTGTCATATCATATATTAGACATTCCCATTTTCATTTTTATGGGTATATTAGGTGGATTAACAGGAGCATTATTTTGTCATTTAAATTTAAAATTGGTTAAATTTAGAAAAAGGTATTAATTATAATATTATTTGCAATTTTAATTCAGAATTGAAGATTACACATAATTTTATAAAATATAATAATTTTTGATTTTAATGTTCTATAGATACGTTGATACAAATTGGAAAAAAGTTTTAGAAGTTTTAATCATATGTTCAGCAACAGTAACAACAAGTTTTTTACTTATCTTATGGACTAATGATTGTAAAAAATTGGGTATTGATCCAACAGAATATCCCATTCAGGTATAAATAACAATTATAATAAATATTATGGTAAAATTAAAATTTATACGACATTTATAAAACTCATTTTATATTGCTCATCTTTTATAATATAGTCAATCAAATTTTATGTTTAATTTGTATTAGTTTGAATGTAAAGATGGTGAATTTAACGTTATGGCTGCTTTATGGTTTCAGCTTTTAGAGGGGGCAGTTCGGTCACTATTTCATGATCCTCCAGGTAATATTGTTCCTCCTTTGAAATTTTTGAAATTTTTATCTTAGTGTATGTTCTAATTTTGGCTGTTGATGAATTTATTTAATTTATTAAATTAATTAAATAATAAATAAAAATTCGCATTAGAATTTGATTAATTATACAAAGGAAAATGGAAAGATTAAAATATAAATATTTTTTAGGATTGATATTTTATGATTCTTCAAACAAAAATCTAATTGATTGACGTAATTTATAAATAGTATATCTATTGGTTAATTTATCTAGTTTAAAACAAGAAAATAGTAAAAAAAAAGTTACTTGATTTGGTTTTTTGTCTACCCTGTCAAATCATTACTTATTATTGTATTTTTTTAAATCTCAATAATAAATTTATAATATTTATTAATAATTAGCAGGACCGTCGTGAGAGAGAGGGGCATTGGGAATATTTTTCCCCAGGCCCAGAGCCTAATTTAGAATTTTTTAAGCTCGAGACAAGAAGAAAAAGTTCGTCTATTTTTATGAATTTTAAATTAAGTTATAATTAGTAAATATAATAACCAGTCAATACTTAATAGTTAATCAAACGATATTAAAATGTAGGTACATTTTTACAAAATCTTCATAATTTAAAAAAAAATAAAAATATCTAGCCTTTTTTTGTTTTTTTAGATAAGCCCTTGATCCTCATGGGGCCTGGACAAATACCCACAATATCCTTGCATAAATAAGGCGCTGCCCAGGTCCCAAACTTTTGGTGGCCACAAAATCCATTGCTTTTTATTTTTACCCCATAACCGCCCCTGGTTTCCCACTGTATAAGCTCTATGATTTAAGTTGCTCCAGGCTCCACTAAATTTAGCGACGGCCCTGATGATCATAATATCAATAAGAATAATTAGGTATAAGTTATTATTTATTTCATACTCAAAATAATATATAAAAAATATCTAAGTACTATTGCAGTTTTTTTAGTAGTTTATTTTTATAATATTAATATTTTTTTTATTTTAGATGTTTTTAATATAACTACCATAGTTTATTTTTGTGTTTCCGCCTATTTATTAACATTATTGACATATGGAGTGGATTTTAGTGGCGGTGTTTTAATACCTGGGTTGTGCACTGGAGCTGCATGGGGACGTCTTGTTGGTCTCGGAGTACTTAATATTTTTCCAAATACAGTATGATATTAAATTTGTATAGTATAATAAGTATTTAATACATGACTTTTACTTATAAAATAATGAAATAACTTTGTACGTTTTAATTATTCCAGAATATAGGTATATATTCATTAATTGGTGCTGCGTCACAATTAGGTGGAATTACAAGAATGACAATTAGTTTGACAATTATATTAGTAGAAGCAACTGGAAGTATAACATTTGGGTTACCTCTTATGATTTGTTTAATGACGGCTAAGTGGGTTGGCGATTTTTTTTCTGAAGTAAGTGAAAAACATAAAAAATTTAATAGTTTTTAATCGTTTTAATTTTAAATCATTTAAGTTTTAGCAGTTTATAATGAATACTGTAATGTTGATGACTCATTACTAGGCTTAGGGACTTCGAGCATTTGCATACTTTTTTTTATTATTGTTAAATATAGCAGAGTGCGAAATAAATTCATTTCTTGGTGCCATGATATCAGATCTAAAATTTGAATGTGCATATTTTTGCATATTTGATAGATTTTGCAGGAGAATGCTTATTTTAACATTATTATGCTTATTTTGCATATTTTGACAAATTTCTTAAATTTTATTACTTAAAATTAAAAACTATTGATACATATAATTATATATATATATTTCAACCGATCGAAAAAAAAATGTACTAAGAGGACTTAATACTTTCAGAAACATGCTATCTGCAAACTACCTCTCATATGTTGTTATAATTTTTGTGTTAGTATAAATAATACTATAAACCCGTATCGATCGTACAACCCGCTGGATATTGACTGAATTTCGATAAAGATAGTAATAGTAATAATAATAATAATAATAATAGTCGAAATAATAGAATAATAGATTATTTTTTTAGTGTTCAGTTCAGTCAATTATTATCCGTCGTTGTTTTTGCGTCTCGCAACCACACAACGTTGAATCATACGTAAAACGTTGTATGCGATAACTTGTAACATTGTGTTATGCCAAAAATACAACAGTTTACGAGTGGAAGTATCCGCATCGGATCCTGTTTGTCCGTTTCAGCTCCCTCCTTTCATTTGAAGGTGGCCGTGTCGGCTCCGATCCGATGCCAGTGGTATGGACGTATCGGCTCCCAATCAACAACATTATCTTTCCCATTTATAGGCTGAGGATTGGCTATGGTGAGAAGAAATTCTCAGTAGGCATGGTTAAAAATGTTGTTGGCGTTTAAAATAAAAAAATAATGTTCTTTTAAAAAAGAGTTTAATAGACTTAAAAAAATTGTGTTGATTTATTTTTTTTTGAATTTTAAAAATAATGTTAACTTAAGTAAGGTAAAAAATTAAAAAAATTGTGGTTTAAACTTAAAGGAAACTTTTTTACGTATTTCGCTCTGGTAATTTCTTCTTATTTAAATTGATCAATACATTTCTGAATAACACAACAAATCTTTTGCTGGTTGTTAGTTTTTTTCTAATATTCATGCTGCGGAGCTTTATATACGTATTAGCCTGTATCTGCTTCAAAATATCCATGAAATTTAAAATGTTAATATGAGCAGACGTGAACTCAGCATTACATTTTGCGTGGAAAGATTCGCAGCAGTTCGTGGGGCGATCGTCTAGTACAGGTTAAGTACTGACATATGAACCCACATTTCCAGGGGAATATTAATTTTTAATTTCATATACCTTTATATATGTGATTAACTAGCTATCAAAAAATTCGTTATCGAAACCGGACGCAATACGGCCATTCATCGGACGGCAAGGAATAGCGACCCGGAGCTGATACGGTATCATCCTTACGAGTAGCCGACTACAAAGTTTTGTTTTGGAGTTTAAAAATATATTTAAATCCGATGGACACATTTTATTTTGTTTACTATCTGGTCACTTTTTTTTTTTCCAATGCATATAAATGCATATTATAATGCATATTTTAACGATTTTAGAAGCATATTTGCATGCATATTTGTGTATTTTTTAGAGCTATAAGTCCTTAAGCCTACTCATTAACAACTAACTTATTATAATATCAAAATATTATTTTACTAAATATACATTAGTACCATAGATTATAAAAAAAATGATGCCTGATATTAAATAAGAATATCTATTTTAATAATATCTGTGTTAGTATTATGGTCATAGATAATCGTACTTAAATTAAATCGATGGTACTTATAAACAAAAAATTACTTTTATTTATGAATTTTGTCTGGATGGAGGGACGAGGAGAATTTAAAAAGTGTTTCATTGTTAGATACATAATTTTAATTTATTTTATGATATTTTTATGGAATAATTAAAAGTGTAAAATATTATTTTAATGTTTGTACATAGTATAATATTGAATAAATTATTTTTTAAGTTGTAACAATTTTGAAACGGAATACTGAAGGATTTTACTTGACGGGAGTGTTTTTTACTACAGTACTCAGTACCGTACTATTTATTTGTATTTTCTAGATTCAAACGAATTGTATCTTAAAGATAATAAATTAATTCTTAGTTAATTTCACTCTTGACATTTTAAATAATTTATGGGTGCATGGTATATCATTGATTAGCCAGTTAAATTACTCATCAGTCCCAATACTCATTGTCTATATAATTTAAATTTAATTTTGAGATTCATTATTCGTGAAGTATAATAAATTGGTAGATTATTTAAATTGGTAGTATAAAATATATTATAAAATAGAAATATTTATATCAAAAGTTATTAATATTTCTAGAGCATATATGAGTCACAGATCCAGATGAGTGGTATGCCATTATTAGCTTGGGATCCACCACCATTATCTTCTAATACTTACGCCAAACATTTTATGACGCATCCAGTTATTACATTTAAGATGATAGAATCTGTCGAGAACATTGTAAAAATATTAAAAACATATACACACAATGGTTTTCCTGTGATTGAATATGTTCAAAATAATGAATTAGTAGGTTACTGATTAACTGTTATATTATAGATTATTTGGTTCACATTAATATTTCAATTTACTTAATAAATCTAGGGGAACAATTATGAAAAATGCTATCTACGTGGTTTAATATTACGATCTCAGCTAATAGTTCTTTTGCAAAAGAAAATATTTGATAGGCCTCTGACTAATTATTGGGACTCAGTGACAGTGGATATTTTTAGAGAAGACTATCCTAGGTATTCAAGTATTGAAGTAAGTATTTAGTTTAAACTATAGGTATTTTTATATTAAACAATTTTGTCTAAACACAAGTTTTGTTTTAAATTTGAATTGATATTTAATACAACTATTCTTTTATATCTTATCAATTTAGATTATTCAAGTTATTATTTTATCTTAGTAATTATAATAATATAAATCTTTATAAACACCAAAACAAATTTAAATTTATTATTTTTAATTTATGATTTATTTTCTCTTACAAAAGTTTTTATTATACTATTGTAATTTGAAATGTTAAAAACTCTCAGTTTTATATTGTTTTAAATAAATTAATTTTTCAAAAGAAATGTACTTGTACGAGTATGCAATGCACATAAATTATTACATAAATTATTATTGTTGATAATTTCTATAAAATACAATATTAACTTATATAAAATTAATAGAAGTTAAACTCATTTTCTATTAATTTCTATCATGTATTAAGTACATGGGACTTAAAATATTATTATTAGTTTTTTATATTTTTTCATCATTATCATTAAAATTGTTACTAAAAAAAATGAATTAATTAAAAAGTGTAGACAATTCATAATATACAATGAGTAATGTACAATGAGTAGTTAGTAAATTATTGAATTTATATAAAGTACATTAGTAGATACCTGTTGATTGTTATAACCTTGTACTAATATAACAAATATTACATTATTATCATTATAGGATATTGAATTGATACAGAATGACCTTAAATTAACAATTAATTTATCAAAATATATGAATCCATCTCCATATGTTGTCCAGCATGTGAGTATACAACTTTTGTTTTATGTACCTATTGTATTTTGATATTTTCGTCTATAGTTACAACGAAATTCAAAGTACCTCAGTAATTTAAATAATTGCATACTCCATATTACATGCATTTACTTTTTTAAATATTATTTATTTTGAAAATACTTGTAATATGACATAAACTGATGTAAACATATGAATAATTTTTAACCAAAATTTTATAATTAATGCTCGTTTATAATGTATAATGCTATACATATTTTATACCTACACCATGATATAAATATATCGATATTACATTATAACTAAAATTACTTATTTTAAATTAATTATTACTCATATTAAAATATTAAATTTTCATAAATTAACAGGTTTAAAAATTGACTCTTAAAATATAAATCTACCTACTCACAAAAATATATTCCCAATCTTAATTGACACAATGAGTTTTCTTATAATCAATACTAAACATTCTAATGAAACGTATTTGACAGTGATATATATAGGCACATAATATTTATTTGGTATTTAATTATATCATTAACAATAATTATTTTTTTAATGGCAATATCTGTTTACCATCATATCTAAAATGTGTAGACACCACAAAAGAATAGTAGTATAATAATTCTCTAACTATCTTATAATTTGAAATTTATAGAGTCTTCTTCAAGGTTTATTTAGTTTAATTCAATTAAATATCTATTATAGCGCTTATAGAAAATATATTGTATAATGTATTGATATATACAACAATATTCTTAGAATACTTAGAATAAGTTTTGGTCCTTATTATATTTGATGTAGTTTCAAGTATTTTCAATTTAAATATAAAAATAAACGTATTTAAAAAATTATACTTACATATTTTGCTTCAATAATATTGAAGTCGACCAAAAATATTGTTCTAATGTTCTGTATATTTTAATTATGTAGACAATGTCAATGCCACGAGTTTTTAAATTATTCAGAGCCATGGGACTAAGACATATAGTTGTTATTAATGATTCAAATGAAGTAAAAAAACCTTTCTTTTAAAAACATTAATACTTTATATAAACAGCATAATAAGTATGTAAGCAGTTAAGGATAATTTTGTTTTTAATATTTTAGGTTGCTGGAATAGTCACGCGAAAAGATTTAGCTCGGTATAAAGTAAAAAGTCATATGGGTAAAATTAGTGTAAACGAACTTAAGTTATCAAATAAAATGGATTAGATAAATAATTTTTCCACAACAACTTTAAATGGTTTAATTTGCTTATAAAATTGGAAATTATTTTGTATGTATAATGTTAGATTTATAGTCGTCGATATTTAATTATATGTTTATAATATGTAATGAGTACTACGAGATAACAATACAATTCATTTAAAATTAGGCATAATTGCCTGATATGGATTGAGTAAATAATACTAACCCTTAACAATTCAGTGATGCTGTTGTAAGCTGGTCGTAGTTAGCATAAGCTTTGGTTTGTTTTTAACTTTTTTTGGAACTCATGTTTTGTGTAATATTTTTAATGGCTTTTATTTAAAAGAAATTTGCAATTTGTTAAATAGAGAAACAATAAGTAAATATGATAAACAATGTATACAACAATTTTACATGAGTGGCATGATTGAGAGAAGAGGCCCATTAGAAACATCCCCTTATTTAAAGTTAAATTACTGGCGATTGTCAACTGTACCCGAGTTTTTATCAAGTGGAAAAACGTGATAATTAAACTGGGCCTGAGTTTTTATCTAGTGTTAGGTTATATGTGAATAATTTACAATTATTGCACCCATGTAAAATTTAAAAAATTAATAGTTTTATTTTTACAAAATTAAACAAAATTACAATCTTTAATTTAAAATTAATTCGTTTCAGTCATATAATATAATAATTAAAATAAATATTATACTAAGAGACAAATAATAACATACTGTTGATACACATTCATCAATTGAAGTTTGACCTCTATTATATTTATTAATTCGATTTTGTAACTTTTCAACTTTTCATGCTTTTTTTTTTGGATTTAGACTTTTGATATTTAAAGGGTTCATGAATACTATTTAGTTATAATCTACTATAATATATAAATATATATCATATACTCATACCGGAGAGTAAAAACAGGTAATATTATATTTATATATAAACATATATATGTTACGGACAAAGTATACAATTTGGGCATTTTATACATTGTCCGGACAGTATATAAAATGCCCTTCGTATATTGGGCAATATAGATAACAGATGATATGTTTTAATAAGATATGATAAATCAATGAATAATGACATATATTTACATTATTGATTAATTCATCTCAGTATATATAATTGATTGCACCACCAATCCTTTCTTGGCTGAGTTTCCTTTTCTTTTACATGATTCGCAACTATTTAAGTATAGCATAATCATATCTCTAGTGATATTTTTATATTTTGTATTTACCACGTGTTCCATCCTGTTTCGTCCACCAGTCCAATCGATAAATGAACCTTATGTATAACATCAAATAACTCTTCATTATGTACATAATATTTAATTTCGTTGTTTTCAGATACTGGTACAATTAACTTATTAACATCAGAAACTTTTAACACGTCATATTTTTTTTAAAAGTTTATAATCATTTGGTTCCTCTTTCTTTGAATTGTTTTTTAATTGATTTTTATGTAAAATTAATTGATCAAATTTTAACTTGGTAAAAAATGAAGTATTTGAACCTTTTTTTTTTTTAACAAATTGCTTAAATCTTTATTAAACTTTTCCATATTCGAATAAGTAGTTAGGTACACAATGAATGAATTAACCTGCACCTATACAAACGGTTCACGGTTACTAAATAGTTCATTTTTGAGAATAGGTAAAAGGCCGACTGCACGATAATCACTACAACTTCGTATAGTATAACTTATAAATCAGTAAATATAGTAATAATATATTGTCACGTACACACGTATAATATGTGGACAAGCGGACATCCCCTTTGTAAAAATACGATAAGAACAAACTAGTTACAGATAATTTTTAGATGATAATTTGACTTTATTTTAACTATGTTTTACGATTTATCATATTTTATTAAATCATATCATCCGTTATCTATATTGCCCAATATACGAAGGGCATTTTATATACTGTTCGGACAATGTATAAAATACCCAAATTGTATACTTTGCCCGTAACATATATATGTATATATATAAATATATCTACAAATTTCTTTAGCCCTAATTTCAGACGGGCTTACAAAATGGAAACTTGCTCTTAACCCAACTAATAGCAAACCGAAAATATTTACTCTAAAGAAATACACAAATTCAACTTAATTAAAAATCATAAATCAGCCTATATTATGGAATAATAAATATCAATCAATTAAATATCTCGGAGTTTGCCTAGATGAAAAATTAACATAGAAAATTTATATAAATAAAAAATTAAACCAAGCCTACACACAATTAAAAATCTTATCCCCCCCCCCCTAATAAACTACAGCTCAACACTTCAGATTAAATGTTCACTTCTAATACACACATAAATAATAAGGCCATTTATGGGCAGTCGTATCCCGAACAAAAAATTACAAGATTACAAACGATACGAACAAATTTCTTAGAATAGCTCCTAATGCTCCACGGTACATGCGAAACATACAACTCCACAAATACAATGGAATACCATACCTAACCACATGGATCAATGAACAATTAAAAAAATTTCATTTGAAACAAAACACAACAGAAAGAGCCCTTCACTTCAAAATTAAGAAAAGAACCAAAAACCGAAGACTAAAGTCACGTCTTCCACAAGATGTCTTGCTACCTCCAGAATCAGCATCATCATCTTCAGCATGGGTATCATCAGAACATTGACCTATTAAAACAACTTATAATTTAAGTACATTTTGCTAAATTAAAACAGTTTATAAATTATCTTATTACTCTATTATGCCTACCTAATTATGTCGAAACAATATAATTTAATAAATAAAATAAAAAAAAAATATTATTTACTTATTGTTATTTCCGTTTAGTTTAGTATTGTAGTTAATCATGAGGTAATCCATTTTTTAATATTTTTATTAGTTGTCTATATACTTGTTTATAAAAAATTGTGTAACAATATTTAAAATAAATATTATTATGAATTTTATTATTATGTAATTCAAATTGAAAAGGGTTTGAAAAATCAATTATTATTTTTGAATTATAGCTTAAGTCTACGGTCAGACTAGACCCGGCATTGGCCGAATTAATGTTCGGCCGAAAAAAACAAAATATTTTGTTTTCATCCGATATCGGCTGTAAACGACCGAATTTCTCGGATGTAATGTGACCGGGTACAATTGAATTTTATAATTTTATTTTTTTCGTCCGTGTTCGGCCGAACGTTAATTCGGCCGATGCCGGTTCTAGTCTGATCGTAGACTAAGCATGGTTCAAACCCCATACGATGAAACAAATATACCGTCAACACGGGTGAAATGGAACTTGAGTGATGACTTGGAACACTATGACTTTTCTTTATTGAATTTGAAAGAACTTTGAGAGTTTTGATTATATAATCACATTGGATGACTTTTATAAATAACTTTCTTCGGAATTCTGAAGGACTCTGTTTTATACATTCTAATTACAACTGATTTAAAGTTTTTCCACAAAAATTATTCGTACGTTCTTCAAGGTGTAGGTAGGTTCATATCTAACTATACCTTCAATATGTTCGGATTATAAGTTACTTACCCTTATATGGTAATTTGTCAACTGTTGTTCTACGCGTTATATTTTACTGTTGACGTCATGTGCTATACCTCCCCAGTCGTACAATAATATATTAGACATACGAGCTGATTTAACTAAAAAACGGAGAAGTGTTAGGCTTGCATAAAACAGTCGTAACACTATAGATATATATTTTATATCTAGGAACACGACTAAACCAAAATATGAAAAAACAACAGCAAATAGGTACATATGTTGGTTCCATTTTTGACAATTAACTTAGTACCTATTCAATAAAATATTTTTTAAATATTAATGCGTATTACCTATTGTAATGGGGTTGTACTATAGATTATATGTTTCACATAAATTGTGGTTACACTTTAAGTACTACCAACTAGTATTAACGGTCAATGGTCTGTGAGTTTTTGCACAGTTATTATAATATAACTATAATTTATTGAACCGTTAATTGTTATGTTTTTTTTTTTTTAATTTGAAAATTCAATGTTAATAAAATTAAAAATATAAGTCATTAAATATTAATTACAATGATTTGAGCTGCGGAACGATGAAGAATTAACCACGAACAATATTTTTAGTAAATTATAGAATTCAAAAACAAAAGTATCTATGAGCAATGATCACTATTTTTACTTGTATGAAATAATATAAAATTTTATCAAAATATGTCGTAAGTCCGCTATCAGTAGTCGAATATTAATTTTGGCCTTGCATATTATTGGTCGATGTGATTTTCAATGATAATAAACTTGATATTTTTTTTCGAAACTCCTTATAACTATTTGGTGAGTGAAATTTTAAATTACTGATATTGTATATTATGTAATACAAATTTGTGTAATTCAATGGGTTATTATAGAGATATTGGCATGCCAATGATTAATCAGTTAAATTATATTTTACTCTTCATTTTTTGTATTGACTTTTTTTAAATGTAATACTATATTATATATGCATGTATATGTCGAATTCACGAAAATTTACTGCAAATCGTTGGTTCATATTTTGATATTTTTTACATTTTCCTATCGGTTTCAAAGTTGACAAATTCCATTAGTTTTATTAGAATGCTCAGAGATTGTTTAACTTAACCAATTGCTAACCTAATTAGTGATTTAAACATTCAACTTAAAATACATCATAAATTATATTACACAATACATTTAAATGTTTTTAAATGAATGACAAGAATAATCATTCTCTTTTTACCGTAAGTAACCTTTATATTGTCTCCTAATAACAATTGTTATGTTATAATCCATGTTAGGTAGTTTCTTCAAAGAATAACACTGTATGTTACAGTTACATAAGTACAAAAGTACAATAATAATCATTAATTTAACTATATTACTATAATGGATAATTATTAAAGCAATCAATATAGATGTAATATACTTATGTAAACATATTTTTCTCTGTTTTATTTCATTATGATTTAGTAATTAATTTTAGTTTTATTTTTGTTGATGAGTAATAGGTATTTTTAATATAACTACCATAGTTTATTATATATACCCATTAACATTTAAAACATTTAAAATTTTTATATATTTTATAATAGACCAAATACGGTACGATGGCCCATCATGAACAATTTCATTCATTTTCTGAAAGGGAAGATACAGTTCCTATTGGATCATTAAATATTTTATCTGCAAAGTATGAGGTGAGTCATACATTTATATAGAAAAATCAATTTTTTTTTACTTTAATCTATTTTAAATGTTTAATTTAGTTTCTTTGTTCATAAAATTTAAAAGTTATTAATTTTTTAATAGAGTTTAGATTATGAAATTGTCGAAAACTATGTTTATCGTGATGAAGAGCGAAAAAAAGGTTACCAATTTGTTGTCAAGAAGAATGTTGTCAGGTGGGCTATATTTTTTTGGATTGGGGTCATAACTGCAGTTATCGGTGTAATTATTGATTTATCCATAGAGATTATTGCTGATTTAAAATTTGGCAATGTTAAAGAATGTATCCTTTTAGTTCATAAGTGATGATAATGGTTTGCTTATTTTACAAAGTGTATTCTTTATTTTTCTTAAATAATTAAATATTTTATATAAAATATTCCTTAATTAAGTACCATTAGATATTGATACATGCAATAAAAAAAACTGTTTATGGCAACCTTATATATTATTGTTAGTTTATAATATTGTGCCAGTTTTAATTGGATCTATATTAGTGACTTATATTGAAGTATATTCAAAATTTATAACTTCTAACATTTCATCTTATTAAAATTGTTAATTGTTTTAGCCAGTTGCTTTAGGATCTGGAATTCCTCAAGTTAAATGTTATCTCAATGGAATTAAAATACCAAGATTAGTTAGAGTCAAAACATTATTTATAAAAGTAATTGGTGTAATTACTACTGTTGTAGGTGGTATGTGTGGAGGAAAGGTAATTTATTATTATATATTTTTTCATTTTCCTATTATATATATATATATATATATATATAAAATACTTTTAAACATTTTAAGTGACTTTAAGTTTAAAATTCTTTAGTATTTTTGTATAAATTGAAAAATTACTACTGATATTTTTTAGTGAATTATGTTTAATTTTTTATCAGTAGGTATAATTTTTATTATACCTACTATGCATTTCTATAAATTTATTTTTCAGGAAGGTCCAATGATTCATGCTGGTGCTGTTGTAGCTGCAGGAATCTCCCAAGGAAAAAGTACAACCTTTAATAAGGATTGTGGAGTTTTAAAATATTTTAGAGAAGATCATGAAAAAAGAGATTTTGTATCTGGAGGAGCTGCTGCTGGAGTAGCTGCTGCATTTGGTTCACCAGTTGGTAAATATATTATTATTGTATAAAATATAATTTATTTAAATGAATTAATTTATAAACTTTTTAAGGTGGTGTATTATTCAGTTTAGAAGAAGGAGCAAGTTTCTGGAATCAAGCACTTACTTGGAGAATATTTTTTGCTTCTATGATTTCAACATTTACTTTAAATTCAGTTTTGAGTGCATATCATGGTCATCCTGGTAATGTTATTTTTAGTCGAGAATATTGAGCATTTTACATATACAACATTTTAATATTTATTTAATTATAAAATAGGTGAATTGACATATTGGGGTTTATTAAATTTTGGAAAGTTCAACAATTTTGCGTTATCTTATGAAATGATCGAATTGCCAATTTTTTTAGCAATGGGAGTAACTGGTGGACTATTAGGAGCACTATTTTGTCACCTTAATTATAAACTCACCATATTCAGAATGAGGTAAATTCTTACTAAAGTAATAATAATTGTTTAAATGTTAAACTTGTTTTAGCCTATAAAAATTCACTTTTACCAATTTGTTTTTATTTTTTTAGGCATTTGGTGAGTTGCTGGAAGAAAGTTTTAGAAGCTGTTTTGGTATGTAGTATTACAGCAACTGTGGGATTTTTGTTAATGTTATGGGAAAATGATTGTAAACCATTAGGTCTGGATCCAACAAAACATCCTGTACAGGTATGTATTTTACTCTACTACTGTATTAATGCATATTTTTATATGTATATAATTTCTATTTTTAACTATCAAAAGTTTAAATAAAAACATAATAATCATACTTTTGTGATTTGTTAATTAGTCATCTAAATATGTATATTTTCATTAAACTAGTAGTGTAACAAACAATTTTTTATGATGTATGTTAATTAATACATATCAAAATTGTAACTTTAATAATAGTTAAAATATATTTTATATTTTAAATATACATTTTATAATTATTGATTATTATTTCCAAATTTATATTTTTATTTATTTAGAAATATATTTAATTATGCTTTATTATATCATTAAAATTCAGTATGAAAAATTATTAATTTTAACATCTAACTGGCTGGTGTTAAAAAAGACAAAATACTTTAAGAACATTGCATAATGCAAAAGTGATTTGTAGTATGAATTATGCATTTGATTTAAATGATATTAAAAAGTATAAATATTAAAAAAAATATATTTACATGTAGTAATAGAATATTAAAAATATCTACTAAAAATTTAATATTAATTACACCTTAAATAATAATGTATTTAAAAATATTTATTTTTTTATTTATTTAGTTAAATTGTAATGATGGCGAGTATAATTCAATGGCATCATTGTGGCTACAAGTTCCAGAAGCATCTGTTAGGTCTTTTTTTCATGATCCAGCAGGTAACTAATCATTTTTTTTTTAAATTTTTATTCTTTTTAATTTTTGTATTTGTTTATAGAATCGCTCAAAGTAGCTACATTAGCATATTTCGCGGTTTCTTTTTATTTTCTTACAATTTGGACATATGGCTTAAGTGTGAGTGCTGGAATATTTATTCCATGTTTAGCTACAGGAGCAGCATGGGGCCGACTTATTGGAATTGGTGTTCAATGTATATTTCCAAATGTGGTAAATTGGATTTTATTAACTATACCAAGTATCCTACATGAGTTTTCTATTAAAATTCTATTGTTAAATATGAGAACTACAAAAATAACTATTAATTAAAAAACCATTTGAAAAAAGTCACTTAGTATAATGTATACTGTATAGTCTTACTATCTACGTAATTATTGATGCTAAATTTAAATTTATTTTAAGGATGTTGGAAAATATGCTTTGATAGGTGCAGCTTCACAACTTGGTGGTGTTGTTCGTATGACTATTAGTCTTACGATTATATTGATTGAAGCAACTGGTGACATTACTTTTGGTTTACCACTTATGATTTGTTTACTAACAGCAAAATGGATTGGCGACTATTTTACTGAAGTGAGATATTTGACCATCTAAGTTTGAAATTATTGCATAGTTTAAAATATATGAAATAAATCATTAATAAGTAGAGTTTCAATTATCTGAACTTATTGAAACTGATGAAATTAAAAACCAATTTTTTGTTCTCTTCATGATCCTAAAATCATAAAATAATAACTGAAATATTAAGAAATAATACTCAATTTATATAGTATCTTTTTTGTAAATGACTATAAAGTCTTGTATGTATTTAAAATTATTTAAAATGATATAAAAGTGATGTCTTACTTTATCACTTATTAGAATTGTCTACTATAAAAAAAATTATATCGGTGAAAATATTTGTTTTTAATTACTAAAATTTAAGTATGGTATGACAACAATGGTTCATGAATCACAAAATTCAGTTTGAATAATTTACTTCATCGATTACTAGTATTCGGATGAATGACTTTAAGAGTATTTAGCCATATGTTTTGCTTTGCTCTTACATCTAACATTAATTTGAATTTTAAAAACTATTATAGTTGAGGTATAAAATATAAATGTATAAGTGTTTAACAATCACTAAAAAAATATAAAATTGTATAGAGTGAATAATTGATTGATTAGATAATTTACTTTAATATATTAATAATTTCTCTTGTATAACACTATTTATTTTTATTAGAGTATTTACGACATTCATATTCAATTAAGTGGTATACCTTTAATGGCTTGGGATCCTCCACCACTGTCATCCAATATTTTTGCTACTGAAGTTATGGCGCATCCTGTTGCTGTGTTTAAATCAAAAGAAACGGTTGGGAAAATTGTTGATACTTTAAAAAAGTATACATATAATGGATTCCCAGTAGTTGATGATATTTTTAGTGTTGATTCGGTAATTTTATAATTTATTATTTATTATATTATGAAATAAAAGAAAACATGGTTTTTCTTTATTTTAGGAAATAGGTGACAATAAATCTAATGGTCGTTTACGTGGTTTAATTCTTCGGTCCCAACTAATTGTATTGCTACAAAACAAAGTATTTAATGAAGTTCCATCTGCTTGGGACTATGTTTCATTAACAACTTTCCGACAAGATTATCCAAGATATTCAGATATAGACGTAAGCTAAATTTAAACTTATATATTTCATACTATATAGCCATTTGCTACAGTTAAAAAAAAAAAATACAAAATATTTATATTTATATTTTTTTAATCACAAAAATGAAAATATAATACCTACTATACCTATTGTAGAACCATTAGACTATTGTATAATATTTTCTGTTAGAAAAACAATTACTTAACACATAAAATTATTAAACAATGGTGTATTGACTATAATATATTTGTTTAACTTATAATTATAAATTTTAACTTATAATTTGTTTTTATTTTAATATATAAATAGTTTATTAAATTTCTTTACCTTTACTATTTAAACTGATAATTTTTTTTTTTTTTTAATCTGTATAACATGTTACATTAATTCAAAAATTAAACTACACATATTTAAATCTACATTTTAACTATGATTTTAATTTTTATATCAATTGTTTTATTCTTATTAAGGGTATAGAAATATTAGACAGTGAACGGAATTATACTGTGGATCTGTTAAGGTTTATGAATCCATCACCCTATGTTGTACAGCATGTAAGTGTATTTCATTTTGAATAATTTTAAATTAAAACCATGGTAAATAATTTAAATTAATTAATGTGTAATTTATTTCAATTTGTTTAGATGGCATCATTACCTAGAATATTCAGACTATTTAGAGCAATGGGTCTAAGACATATTGTTGTTGTTAATGATTCAAATGAGGTAAACATTAACTGTAATATTATGTTTTTATTTGTAAATTTAGTATTTAATATATAAATATATTTTAGGTGGTCGGTATAGTTACCCGTAAAGATCTCACTCGATATAAAGTATGGAGACATCGAGGTACAATAGGAGTTGTAGAACTCAAAGTATCTGCAAAATTATGATAGTACTTATAGTAAATTTATCTATTCATAAATTTAAATCAATAATAAATTATTTAAGTATAAAGTTACGCTATTTTGACATATCAAATGCTATATTTTTTTATTATGTATGTATATAAATTTCTTATTTGTGTAATGTTTACCTAATTTATCATTATTAAATCAAATATATTAAATATTTATTTATTGTTAATCTGTTGTACAATTACTTGATAATATGTTGAATGGTAAAATATTTATTTTCATATTCATGAAAATTAACTTATTCAGTAAAGCCTTGATAGTTTGGACAAATTCAGACCGAGCATTGTCTAGATTGCCAAAGGTTTTTCAAGATAACTTGTACAAATAACTAAAATATTCATTTTTATTTCTACTATCTATATATTTATCGTGCTTTAAATTGCAAAAAATAATAAATAACTTTTACATAATGAATTGAAATTGAAATGTGCATTCTCATACCAATATACTGTTATATACATATATATATATATAATACAAGATACTGCTTTGAGATTTATGATTTATATACTGACCTGATAATCGAAGCTCTATTTTATGTCATTAAAATACTATATATTAATATATCTGATTAAAAGTTTACCAATGTTTAATATGAAATACTATATAGACATTTAATATCGTAAATAAGCAAACTTATGGTGCAATGAAAATTAACATGTTTCCTTATAAGATATTATAGTTTGGGCCAGCAACTAATACCAAAAATTTATTTTCCTAAGACAAGACTTTGAAGAGTACAAGGAATGAAATTCATTGAATGTGGATGTATTTGTCATAATATTTGTTTACATTTTAATACTATTAAGTAAAATCAAATTATACACATGGGAACTTATTATTTTATTCTCTATGTTATGCACCATAGAAAAATATAGATTAATATATATATATATTGTTGATTAGAAATGTACATACATCACATTAATCTAATCTAATATATTAAATAAATATATACATAATAAAGGAAATAATTATATGAGCAGATAACTTAAAATATAATTTTATTATATTTACATTTTTATTCTAACCATCAGTAGAGAAGAATCATATTCATAATTCAAAATTTTAAATATAAATATCCATAATGATTGTAATTAAATTATTTTGATAGGTCTAGTGATTTATAATTATACATTTGAAAGGCAGGAATTATGTTCAAAGACTTCATTGAGTATATTTCATCATCTTATTTACCTTCAAAAATATAAGTTATCAAACCTAGTATAAATAAAATAAATTGTACAAAATTTAAAGTTACACTCATTATTATAAATTTATTTATAGTAATAAATAAGATTATTTATTAGGTACATAAAACCTATCTCATAAATGAGTTCTTTAAATACTAAAAATATTTCTATTAGTGAATAACGCAATTGTAGGCAAATCAATTAAAATTTTTTCATGTAAAAAATGAAGAGAAAATTACAGTTATTATACATCTTAGGTGTCTAATTAAGACCAAAATAAATTAGAAGTATAATTAATCTAACAAAATTTCCATCTGTTACCACATTCATTACACATAACAAATGTTGTCATTGGTTCATCAGCACTTCTTGTTTGAATTTGGTTGTATGTACAATTTCGTTTCTTACATTTACCACACTTCAATAAGTCAGTTTTAGTTCCCTGTACAGTTGCCAGTTGAGCGTCATCAATAGATTCTTTGATAAGTTTATTTCTCAAAGTTTTCATTTCGTCACTGGCCATTTCTTCAGCAGTCATTTTAGCTAATTGAGCAGGAGTAATAGCTCCAGCAATGAAGTTACTTCTAAGTTGTGGGTTTTTAGCATCTTTTAAATTTGCATATCTACTTCTTATTCTGTTTTTATAGCGAGCATCAGTGTTTTTAAACTCCGAGTAAATAGCATCTTCTAGTTCATCAGCGAGTTCTTCAATTGATGCGCAACCACCGAATTCATCTTCAGTTTTCAATGAACTTATTAGTAAATCACGGCATTTAATACGAACTGCATCTGTTGTTGATGGCGTAGGGAATACTACTGGTTTAGGTTTTGGTGCATCTTTCTTCGTGTCTACTTTTTGTTCTTTTTCTTCTGATTTTTTGCGCTCTTTTTTATCTTTTTTTGGTTCATTGGGTACAGACTTGTCTCCACTCAACAACTTTTTCCAATTTTTAATCAAAGCTTTTGAAAAAGTTATTACTTCTTCATCTTTGCAGCTCTTTCGGAACGAATTGACAGTCATACCCACACGAGTTTTGGTAAGTATGTCCAATGTGATAGGCAGGTCCTTAAGGGCTTTCAACAAGTCCAGAGCTTGACTTTGATCAGCATTTTCGTCAGACATGTTTTGAAGTTTGTTCTGTATCTTAATTATATCTTTTTCGACCGACATTGTAACGACGAAATGAATAGTTATCTGACGTTTGTCGACGGCTTCAACCCAATTTGAACACTTAAAAAATCTAGACGAATACAAACAATTCGATATCCCAAGAATAAGTTTATTTACGTGGGATTTTAGTTCTTTTTTTTTTTCAAATAATATTACGGCGGTAAAAGCTACACACGTTATAAATCGAAGAAAAAAAAATTAACAGGACGAATGAGCAGACCGTGCACCCTCCAAAATGCTTATTGAAATGAAGTCAATCACTATGGTGTGTTTTATGTTGAAAGAAATGTTGTTTGATGATAACAATTGAATGCAGGTAGGTAATTTTACACATTGTTGCCAATGTAATCGAGTGTGACACTTAAGCGCATACACTGTGTTAAAAATTACCGCAACTTAAGAACATTTGAAAAACGACCTTATCTACAGTAATATTATGATGTTTCTTTATCGATGTGATAGAATTTTGTGTTCCTAAGAATCGAACTTTTTTTTTATGTTTGATTATATTTAAGTATCTTTAGTTACCTATCTGTTAAGTTCGTATGTAGTAATTAGGTTGGATGTTCAGTATCGGCTCCGTAAACGATTTCATAATATTGCTCCGACTTCAGTAGGAGTTTTTTTATCATTTTGCACTCCTAAGAAATATTTAAACTTAATGTTGTCAAACAAGATTCCCTACGCTTGTCATATGATTGTACGCTCTTGTCATTCAAGTGTAAGTGGTCTTAATTACGTACCTAAATAACAATTTTAACTATTCAATCATCGATTTAGGTTAAATGGAAGGAAAAAGTATTTTCTGGTATACAGCCAACAGGTACATTACATTTGGGCAATTATTTTGGTGCTGTGTCCAAATGGGTTAAGTTACAAAACGAAGACAGAGAAGTCTTTTATAGCATTGTTGACTTGCACTCGATTACCTTGCCATATGTGAGTTAATTCGTTATAAATTATGAAATATGACTGATATTTATTTTTTCATATCTTAAGGATGCTAAGAAATTAGAAAAAAATGTGCTGCTCATGACGGCAAGTCTAATTGCATGTGGTATTAATCCTGAAAGAAGTACATTGTTCTTACAGTCTCAAGTAACTTATAAAAATGTTATTTCTACTTTATTTGGAATTTTCATTTTTTTTTTTTTTTTATACCCTTTAGGTACCTGAACATACACAGTTGAGTTGGGTTCTTGGATGTTTAACTACAATGCCTAGATTAGGTCAGTTACCTCAGTTTAAAGAAAAATCTGCAACTTTAAAAGATGTTCCCCTTGGTTTGTACTTATATCCAATTTTACAAGCAGCAGACATACTTTTATATAAGTAATCATGTAAATTTTTGTCAAATGTTTTTTCATTGTCTTATCTTATTTTTAATAGAGCTACTAAAGTGCCTGTTGGCGAAGATCAAATCCAAAATTTGCAATTAGCTCATAGTTTAGCTCGCACATTTAATAGACAATATGGTGAAACATTTCCTATATCAGAAGTTCTTGTTCAGCGTAAATACTACTAATACTAATGAAGCTCTTATAATTTATAAATTATATATATACATTTTATTTTACTTATAGAGGATTGCTCTTCAAGGATAAGAAATCTTCGTGACCCTACAAAAAAAATGTCCAAATCCCATCCAGATAAACGTGGAAAAATAGATATCACAGATACACCAGATGATATTGTAGAAAAAGTAAAAAAGGCGGTTACAGATTGTACATCGCAAATAACATATGATCCAGATAACCGACCAGGAGTTTCTACACTTTTAACCATGCATTCCCTTATTTCTGGACTTTCCCCAGAAGAAATTTGTGAAGAAAATAAATTATTGGACACTGGACGGTAAAGAGTAAATTTAGGAATTTTAGTTAAATGTTTTACCTGTATTTATCTTTAACTTTTAAAAGCTGTTATTATTTATGTTTTTTTTTTTTTTTTTTAAACTTTATTTAGGTATAAACTTATAGTTGCAGAAGCATTAGTTGAAAAATTTACCCCTATACGTCAAGAGATTATAAAATTAATGGATTCACCTGAATATTTGAGTAAAGTGCTCCAAGAAGGACAGAAAAAAGCACATTTAATTGCTTTAGAGACATGGCAAGAAGTAGCTTCAAAAATTGGTACAATACCAAATAACATAATTGAAAATCAATTTTTGAAAAATAAAAACTGATTTCTAATTTGATACAGTAGAAATGTTCTTTATAAGAATTAAAAAGTTTTAATTTGTTATGTATATTAACAATTCTAATTTATAATATTTTTATTCTTTGTTAGACTTTAAAGCTCTCCATTCTTCTAATTGTTTACGTGCAGCTTCTATATCAGCATCAGTTATTGTTTGTGGTGCACCACATTCAATTTCTTCTTTTTTAATCCATTCTAATGATTCCAATTTTTCTTTAAAAAATATTTCTTTTTCATTATTTAATTTATCCCGGTATTCAGCCAATTTTTGTTCTCTAACTTTTTCGCACCATTGAGATGTAAGACGACGTAATGATTTTTTCCTCTCTACTCTTTCATAGGTTCTATGAATAAAATCATGAATAAAAAAAACTATGTTGAATAAATAGCCATATATTTTACTTACGGATGAGGATGATACTTCAAATCTAACTTTTCCAATAACCATTCAAACTTTTTATAATCCCAAGTACGTAAAAATTTCAGTCTCTTTTTACGTTTATCTATTATTTCTTTCAAAGCAATTTTTGAGCTCTTATCTCTAGGAAATAATTTGTAGTGTTCTTGAAGATTACGAATATTGGCTGTCATACTTGCAACTAAAAATAGAATATCGAATACTGGTTATTATAAAATATTTTAATCAAAATTATGGAGTTAACAAAAATTAGAAATTTGAATTAAGTAATTGATTAAAAAATAAAATAAAATATTTAAGAATTACTATTTAATTTGGACTACAGTTAACAGTGTTAAATAATTTAAAATAGGCTACTATGTCATTCAATTAAAATTAACTTGTAGTCGATATTTTAAAAGAATATATGAATGAAAGATAGAAATTTAAAACATAACACAATTTACGATTGTACTAACATAATAATCTACTTATATATAGTTATTCATTATAAAAAATTACAATTGGACTACAAAATAATAATGCCTTTTTCATTATTTTTTGGTATTTAAATGTTAGTAGTAAGTTGTCTATTTAAAAATTACTTTTTATGCTTTGTTATAGAATGTGAGATTATAAATCATGATAATTTTGATGTACTCATACATATGCAGATAAAATGTAAAAAAAAAGCTTCTTTACAATTTAGTAATAATTAGCTTAATTTTATATACTTGTTTTAAAGAAATTATTATGTCAATGGAGATTAAGATATACATAGTTTGTGAATTATATATAAACAGTTCATTAGGCCTATAAATAATATATATATTTTTAAATAGTTATTTCAAGTGGCAAGTATAATATTATTATAAAGGAGAAACAAAATAAAAATTTAATAAACTTGAAATCTGAGTAAAAATGTATGTAAACAATATTTTATTTTCTAAGATAATAATTTTGTAGAACATTTTTCTTTGAATCTTAACAAAATATAATTTTATGTTATTATACTTTGAACTTCACACGATGTAGAATCTAAACTATTAGATTTAACTTTATCAATGAGCTCTTGACGAAAACGTTGTGTAGCAAATCGACGTCCCATAAAATTACATGAAAAAACTTTACGTACATATTCATTGGCTCTAAAATCAATGTAAAGTGACGACTATTAGCAATTGTTGTATAGGTATTTTGATTATATTGGTGACAAAAAAGAATTACAATAAAGTCAAAAATTTACGTTTTTAGTTCTTCAGAATTACGATATTCTAATGGAAATTCGGTCATGTCCAATTCGCTTAAAGGCGTTAAGTCACCAGATTTTTTTGCATCCCAGCAAGATATTTTCTCCGGTCGAACCCATTTTATGTGCAAATCAGACTTAAGGCTCCTAGTAAACAATAAATTAACACAGTTACCGGTTCGAATGATTGAACGAAAAGGTGCAATCATGATAGTATGAGGGAACACAATTGTAGATAAACAATAACTATTTAATCATACTAAACGGATTACAGTTTCAACAAGTAAGTGCAGATTAAAAAAATTACGAAAAACTCAAAAATTTAATGAACAGGTTATCATCAGCTTTTTTTTTCATTATCAATCATCTCTTTTCGCTGCAATAGTTATAGGTTAGGGAATAAACTCCTTTTCTTAATGCTTTAATGGGTTATCAGCTTGTTATTGAATGTTGATAAACGTTCATGTTCTTCGGACAGGAGTGTAGAAACAACGAGGGTGATCCAAGCGAATCGAATAGCGTTACACCCGTTGGTTTTAGGCCGGGATTAATTTTGAAAACTTTCAAACTCCGATGTTACTCTTGAAACGGGTTTCGTGCCCGGTGAATGGGGGAAAACTGAGAAATTGGTCACGAGCTGACGTGTAGGTGCTATGTACTTGGTTCGTGGTAGTGGTCTTTCTATCCTCTTTGACTTGCGTTACACTGTACACCATACGTGTCGCCGACTCATCGACAAAAAATCGTTGCATGTGTGTTCGTGTTGATGTTGTCGGTCAAGCCGCTACGTGGTTGATATACGTTTCACTGAAAGTGAACCGTAGTCATACCGCCGTTCTGTATACGTTTACTTTTTCTCGATCATTCATTTCGTATGGTTCCTTACGTGAAATACGTGTCGTTTTACCTCTGATGTACTTGAATTGAAGACTGTCGTGAACACGTATCAATCGTCATGGGTTGTGAGTATAAAATATTTGCCGCAAAACGTATTTTTCATTGGTGTCTCGTTTTTGGTTTTTTTTTTTTTTTTTTGAATTCGGACTTAGGCGACCACCACGGTTTCGGGCACTCACCAATTGAATATACTTGTTGTTAGCCGTGTCCGAACAATCAGTACCACGGTGTTGAACAGTACTTAGTAAATATTTCACGCTTGTGAAAACGTTTTTTGGAGCATATTGGCTGTTTTTATCTTTTTGGTTCTTGTGATTTTAATTTTTCGAAGTGGGTCAGACTTGGGTCCGTTATTTTGTGGATTCATAGACGTGTCACTATAACGTGGCCTAGTATTTATACAGTCTCACGTCTATTTCCTTTTAAATCTGTACGAATTTACTAAAAATCCGTTTTATACTGTTAATAATATGCCCAAAGCACTTCTTGAGTACTGCTTCGAGTTTTCTGGTTTTAAGTTTAATTTCAATATGAATAAAATTATTCAGTTGTATGTGTATGATAGTCAAGTCATTTTTCATACTGTTTTGTAAACAATTATTTAAATTTATTGTCTCTTTTTTTTCTTTAATATTGATATTGATTAAGAATTTATAATTCTTTATTTTCTACCTAAACTGATAACAAATATATACATCATAGTTTAGTTTACTAATTTTAATAATTTATTTTCGGACAAGTAATAAACCATATACATTTTTTTTTTGTTCCTTTATACACCAATTAATATATTTATGTTTTAATTTAATTTTAGTAAGTACCTAAATATCTTAGGTATTATGTATTTAGATTTTTTAATGGTCGGGCAACCATCTGTCCAGGTTACCATAACCATAAATAATATAAAAATGTAGTATTTAATTATAGTTATGTGGTATAACTATAATACTACATTTTCAAAAAGTATTTAATTTTATTATTAACTAAGAGGTAAATTAATATTTGTTAAAAAAAAAAAAAAATGTTAATTTATATATCAAATACGTTTTGATAATAGTAATCTTGGAATTATATTCTTGATATTTTTTTTACATTTACTGACTAGCCATCATTTACTACATAAAATTAAATGTATATTTGAACTGATTAGCAATTTATAGCTATAATTTTTCTTATTTCTATATGTTACAAACACCGTTGTATTTGTATTTATGAGAGTTGTATATTCATAGAACTTAGTCTAGTCTAAAATAAATGTATGATTAGTAATGCTATTACCAGAGGGAGGGCGTCTTGAAAAAGTCTCAGTTTTAAAAAGGGTTCTGCTAGTTTATAAAACAGATAATTATGGTACTTATATTTTTCTTTTTCTTTATTTTTGTTTTAGTTAAATTTTTAGAAGTAATTAAACCATTTTGCAGTATATTGCCAGAAATTGCCAAGCCTGAACGAAAAGTAAGTATTTTAGTAACTTTAAATTGTATTAATGTTTATTTTTAATGATTATTAATTAATTAATTCAGTGTTTTTATTTACAAAATAACATTAACATTAATTAATACTTTCATTTAAACCCTTAATTTTTTTTGATTTGAGATATTATGCTTATTACTTATTTGTTTGTATTATCATGTTTTAATAATAATAACATTTGTTAAATAATTATTAATATAATTAAAATTGTAAATTTTTTGATATAAAATTAAATTTGTTTTTGAAATGTTTTACTCGGCCTTTGTAATAATTAATTATAACTAAATTATTAAATTTAGACCTACAAAATGGACTTAATCAGTACATTTTTATTTCTAAATTGAATTATTGAATTTTTATTTAATCTTATATAAAAGGAAAAAGAATTTAGTGGTGTGAAATAACATTCTTAATTATTTGTCTCTGTTTCTGGTTTTTATTTCAGTTTATAACTACATATTGAGTTATTTTTAAATAGTTTTCCATTAAACATAAACTGTCTAATAAAATTTATTAAACTGAAAATAAATTTATATTTAATTTTTAATTAGATCCAATTTAGAGAAAAAGTATTATGGACTGCCATCACATTATTCATTTTTTTGGTGTGCTGTCAAGTAAGTTATTTTGTTGTGTGTAGTAGAATTTTTTATTGCATCATCTATAATTTAAAATTTTATTTTATTTTTAGATACCTTTGTTTGGAATTATGAGTTCAGACTCTGCAGATCCATTCTATTGGATCCGTGTGATTTTGGCTTCAAATAGAGGTACTTTAATGGAACTGGGAATATCTCCTATTGTAACTTCAGGTCTTATTATGCAATTGTTGGCGGGAGCCAAAATCATTGAAGTCGGTGATACTCCTAAAGATCGTGCATTATTCAATGGCGCTCAAAAATGTATGATTTAAATTTATATTTTCTACAATTAAATTTTAACTTACAAATCATAATCATTTTTATACTTAGTATTTGGTATGGTCATTACTGTTGGTCAAGCAATTGTTTATGTTATGACTGGTATGTATGGTGATCCTAGTGAAATTGGAGCTGGTGTTTGCTTGTTAATCATCATTCAGCTGTTTGTGGCTGGATTAATTGTCTTATTGTTGGATGAACTTTTGCAAAAAGGATATGGGTTAGGTTCAGGAATATCACTTTTCATTGCCACCAATATTTGTGAAACAATAGTTTGGAAAGCATTTAGTCCAACTACTGTGAACACTGGTAAATTTAATAATTTTAAAGTATCTATGATTTTTATGAGTTACCTAGATATATTGATAATTATTTATAAAATGATTTTTAGGCCGAGGAACTGAGTTTGAAGGAGCTGTTATAGCTCTATTCCATTTATTAGCTACAAGACAAGATAAAGTTAGAGCACTAAGAGAAGCATTTTATAGACAAAACCTACCAAATTTGATGAATTTACTTGCAACTGTTTTAGTGTTTGCTATTGTCATTTATTTCCAAGTAAATTTAAATTAAATTAATTATCTTGATACAATTTTTTTCATTATATTTTAATGTTATAGGGTTTCCGAGTTGATTTACCTATTAAGTCTGCTAGGTACCGTGGACAATACAGCAGTTATCCGATTAAGTTATTCTATACATCTAATATTCCAATTATCTTACAATCTGCTTTAGTGTCAAATTTATATGTTATATCTCAGGTAAAAATTTACTATATTATTAAATAATTTCTATTAAATTAATTCATCTTTATAATGTGTATTTTATGAATTTATAGATGTTGGCTGTTAAATTTCATGGTAATATTTTAGTAAACCTATTGGGTGTATGGGCTGATGTCGGCGGTGGTGGACCAGCTCGAGCATACCCAGTTGGTGGATTATGCTATTATCTATCTCCACCAGAGAATCTTTCCCACATTGCAGAAGATCCAATTCATGCTATTCTTTATATTGTATTTATGTTGGGATCATGTGCATTCTTTTCCAAAACATGGATTGAAGTATCTGGATCATCAGCAAAAGATGTTCGTAAATTAATTTAAGTAATTACTAAATATGTTGATTTTGTGTATAATAAAATTTGGATTTATAGGTTGCAAAACAATTAAAAGAACAACAGATGGTTATGCGAGGTCACAGGGACAATTCTATGATACATGAACTGAACCGTTACATACCTACTGCTGCAGCATTTGGAGGACTTTGTATTGGTGCATTATCTGTTTTAGCTGATTTCATGGGTGCCATTGGATCAGGCACTGGTATCCTGCTAGCTGTTACTATCATATACCAGTATTTTGAAATATTTGTTAAAGAACAGAGTGAAATGGGTGGTATGAGTACTCTGTTGTTCTAAGATGTTTAACAAATCATCGAACAGTTTATGAAATTGTCGAAAAATCACTGAATCCCTATGGGACAGAACTGTTGTCATGGTCTTTGTGTGACTCAAATTATTCTGAAAATAACTTTATTTTTAAAACTAATTTTTTTTCATTGATCAATCGACATACAGCTTTACAAAATAATAGTATTTTAAAACTGTTTAAAAAAAATTGTCCCAACAACAAATTTATATTTATTTGTTATTATTTTTTTTTTTTTATTATCTTTTTTTTTTTTTTTGTAAATTATATAAATGTTAGAAAATAGGAAATTTATAATATAATATAAACTTTTTTTCTAAAGCTTACCCATTAATATATTTATATATATGTATGTTCAATGTTGCAGTTGGCAACTATTCTTCCTAATTTTTTTTTGTGTATATACTTACAATTAAGTTAATAAGCAGTAAAATTAAGAATATGTTTCGAGTCAAATGATTATAATTTTTTTTCGACCATCTCAGCACAGTTATTCTATCACTTCAGTTATTCAAGACTGTTAAATATAATATGTAAATGAGTAGTATTAAATATACAATTTATATATTTACAATCATTCTTTTCTATATTGATAGAAATATGAATTGATATAGTAATAATATATATTTGCCAGGATTGGTAATTGAAGTGCATTTCAAGCATATCTATTGTTATGGAAAAAAAATTGTTATTCTAGATCAATTATGTCATTGAGGTTGTCATTTTAATACTGAAAAAGCATGATAATAAGGGTTTTCTTATATTTTCATTAAAAATGTTTACGTATAATTGAATAAAAACATTATTTTGATAATATTTCATTTTTTTTCATTGGTATGATTGTATGGTATAATGTTTTACATGCATCAAACCGCAATATAACTATATTATGATGGACAATTATTATTAGAACAACTGCAGTATTTATATTGAATCTTTGTTCTCGAGTCAATTTTATAGGCATGTCTATATAATAATGCTTATTACGGCGATGGGGAGCCCATTAGTTTTCGCAATACACTAGTTGACGAAGGTGACGAGGTCAAGTGCGCTATCGTGTGGGCATTTGGTTGTGCGGTGTAAAGGGTGACAACGGTAGTGGGTTGACGTAGTGCGGTGTAAGGGAAGAACGCAGTGCATCCGCAGCAGCGTGCCACCCATTGGGCGTGGCACCTATCCACCACCGCCGAGCGGCATCGCTCTTTCTCTCCGTGGCTCTCGTCTCTCTTTCACGCCTGTGCCCTGGGTCCGACGTTGCCATGGGAACCGCATCTTGTCCCTCGTCTTAAATCAATAATAAAAACGTGTAACGCGGTACCACGAGCGAGCGATTTCGGCGCGCCGCGGCAACGTCGCAACGTCCGGCATTTGACGACGGGTTTTCTAACGCGAGATGGATGATGTATTTGTGGTATATTAAAGAGGACCATCCGGATTTCGAATTCACGCGGATATAGATTATATTAAAATGAAATTCCATCAGGTTTAGAATAAGAAAAAACGATCCCGTTTCCAGTTCGGATTGTTTATCAGTTTGGACCGTGATCGTTACCCTCTTACAGCAATCCGTGCGAGCATAACATGAATGGTGACTGAGGGGACCTTTGCCGACGGCGCCTTAATTGTCGCAGTAAAATGGGTTAAACATCAATGGGATCCGTGCGTCATGCTTTGATTGCGAATTTTAAAGTGGTCCTTGTCCGATTATTTTTTTCATTACGCTGTCAGATGACGCGGCTGAAATGCTTCCGGGGAAGAAGGTGGCGCATAGTGGGAAAAAGAAGTACTCGAAGGGACACGTTCAAGTGTTTCGAGATAATGGGTGAATAGAACGAATGATGCTGGTTTTTGAACACGTTGCGTTTGCACGGGGGCTTCTCGGATGTGCCGAATACGTGTCTCATCTTCAAAACAACTTTTAACGACGGCGTGCGCGGTATCGCCCTGTTCTCAAGCGCTGTATACATCGGCCGAATACAATTGCGGCAAAAATGCGATACATTTCGGTTGGTATAACGAGGTGGTGGCGGCGAACCGAGGGAGTGTCGTCTGCGCGTTTGTAGTGCATTCTGTAGAGTTCGCCAACGATCAGATTGTCTGCGCGTGTTCGTGTAACAACGTGAGTGTAAAACACACACACACGTACGTATGTGGTGGTGGGATACTGAGCAGGAAGTACCACTCCTCGCCCGCGTGCATCGCGGTGGTGGCGATGCTGCCGTGCGGGATGAGATGGCCCCAATTTTCCGCCAGGACGTCAAGGAGCGGGGGGGAGAATAGGCGCGGGTGACGGGAGTGGGCGGTCGGGGCACAGGAAGTGAAGGTCGGTGGACGCGGAGTAGGTTTGGACGGTGCGTCGGCGGTGTGGTGAAGAGGATACACGTCGCTGCGGTGTAAAATCCTGGGGCACGCCGACGGGAAAATTCCCGGATTACTTTACGGACTGTCGTCGCGGGCCGCGATAGCGCGAACGTGCCGCCACCGCCGCTGCGCGCGTTTTGCATCGTGTGCCGCCGTCGCCGCCGCCGCCGCCGCCGCCGCCGCCGACGGACGACACGCAAAGAAGAGTCCGCACAGCAGTAGTGGTGTGTACCGGTGGGTCTGGGTGTCTCTCATCTCTCTGTCTCTCGTCGTCGTATTATCATCATCATCATCATTATTATTATTATTATTAATATAGCGCGCGCCGCGGACGTGAACGGTTTTCCGTGAGTGCGGGTTCGCTGGTCCGTTTGTGCGCGTGTGTATGCGTATGTGTGTGCGTGTGCGCGCGCGCCCGCGTTGTGCCCGCAGGAGCGAGAAACGTGGTGCTGCGCGAGTGGGGCGCACTGCCGCACGGCCGATACTACGTGAAATTGCAATATCTTATTTATAGAAATATTACCGTCGTCGTTTAACATTATCATTTTCAAATGGTCCGCGGGCGCATTTGTGCGACCGACCCGTCGTCTTCTTCGCGGTTTCAGTCGTGCATGACCGGTGCCGGGTTCAGCGCGAATCCTGTTCCAACGTTATAAATATTTATTTTGTATTACCGCGCACGTATTCCTCCGTTTCTCCTCGTGGTTTTAACAAGTATCAATTATAATATTATGTCGCGTGTCGTCGACGCCGAGCTCCGTTGTACGAGACCACCGCCACCGTATCAGCAGCCGCCGCCGCTGCCGGCGTCGTCGTCGTCATCGTAGGGCAGAAACGCACTGCAGCCATCGCCGCAAATTCTGCAATCGCCGCCACTCCCTTATTACTCACGGACGAGTCGAGTAAGTTATGTTTCGCCGTTACGCACGTCGCTCTACTATACAGTACGTCCGAACGTACTACATCTCCGTATGTTCGTGTAGCTAGTGATAAAACGGTCGGTAAACACCTTGAAACAAACGAGTTACATCCCCTCGAAATTTGGCCGGGAATTGCATTCAAATAATGCTGCGTGTACGAAGAGGTGTACGAATTTAGGTTACGATTGCATATTGTAGATTGCTCACGCGTCCCCGAAGTCAACAATATCGAGAGTCAATTGGGTGGAATCTGTTCGATATAGGCTAAAGTTTGGCCCTCTGAGAATTGAGTTTGTGTTGGGTGAAAGTGCCATCGTGGTTTTGGAGATTTTCCACCTTTAAATCTTATAGAAAACCTTGCGCAAGGGACGGTTTAAGTTTTCACGATCACGCTGTTACTATGAACGCCGTCGTTACCTCCACAAAGATATATACGTATCATTCGTCTTGTGTTTTTTGTTCTTTGGTTCGTGCATACCTAAGGAGATGAACATTATTAATAAGGGCCCTAAATAATTTTTAAACTCGTTATTAATTTACTTTTTTGCTATCGTATTCCATATTATTGTAGATGTTATAGATTTTATGACTCAAAACTGAACGCTGAATTATATATTCATATATGACGAAATGTATGGCAAACATCGTTAAAATATTTTAACACACTTAAATATAATTATGGTATTATAATCTTTTGTGATAGTTCTTGATCAGTAAATTCACCCTTATCATCATCCCTTACGTGCGCACCTATGTGTCTGTTGGGCAGCCGATTGGTTTATTGATACTTGTCTAGATCATCTGTGATGTTCTTTCTGAGTCGTTACTAGAACTATATAGTTAAAATAGTGACTAACTTTGTGTTTCATTTGAATGTTGAAACAACCCATGATCTTTTATCTTTTAATTATTTTTGTTCATAGCTAGTTGTCCGGAAAGATTGTATTCCGTTTTAATACATGATACTGTATAAAGTACATCTATTAAAGGATGTTATTAATACGTTTTCTTTGTAAGATTTATGCTTGTGTGTTTTATATGCATTCCGCATTCTTTTAGTGCCTTTGCCTGGAGTCAGGCGCGTATTTATGGGGAGCGAGCGAAGGGGTCCGGGCCCCCTCCAAAATGAAAAACACCGTTGTTAAAAATTGTTATTTTTAACATGGATATGTTTTAATCCTGGGGGTTTCCGAAAACTTGTCGCGACACTGAGAATGTTGCTTATGCGATAATTTAAAATTTTATATTTATAAAATATGTTTATTCTTTTAAGAAAATATGTGGTGAATTTTGAGTGACTCTAATAAAAAATTTGTTTATTACAATGTAGTTTTTATACTTTTAAAAAATAATAAATTATTAAAAAAATTGAGTTTCTTATTTCTCAGATGGTATAAAGACAGTCAAGAAGTCTAATAGTGTTAAAGTATTTTTTTCGTAATAGTGTGCTTCCTCCTTCCCTTCCACCCAAAAATCAAATACATAATCGGCCCCTTCCGAAATTAAAATCTATATACGCCACTGCCTGGAGTACGTACCTATCTAGAACAGGTTTTGTTGTTTTTGCACCCATCATAAAAACTACAAATTTATGGTTCGATGTATTTAATTGAACAATGAAAACTACATTGATACATTTAAATCATGAAATATTCATGGTCCAAATTTTCTACAAATATTTTTAAATGAATAAATTGATATTTAGTTCAAAATATAGCTAAAGGATCTGTGTCAGTAGTTAATACTTCATAAGACTTGCGTCATACGTTTTAAACATTTTTTTCAAAATTACGCAATTTTTACACATAATTGTAAAAAGCGCACTTCAAATGTATTTTGATCCAATTTTTGTACTTATCTACATTTTATTTTTACATATTATAAGTAGAAATTTGTTTGAGTAATTTTCAACCCTGTAAAGACTATACTATTTAAATCCCTTATCTCTCATCCGCTCAATTTTTAATCATTTCAAAAACACTTATTATACAATCATTTTAAATTTATATTTATTTTCCAATAACAATTAAAATTTATAAACACTAATTATTTTATTTTTGATACTGATGGATGCAAATCGAAAATGTAATTAAAATTGGGCTAGCTTATAAGCTTAGATTACTAAATAAAAATGTTGATCAAGTAATCAATTGACTATATGATATTTTGTTTTTCACTGTGAAAATCAACTGTTAGTTTTATTTATGCTGTTTTTTAAATCTTCTTTTAAACTATTTTAGTATTAAAAAGAAGAAATTCTTAAAAAAAAAAACATAAACCTATTTCATCAATATTTAACTTGACATTTTTTGGAGGATTTCATCTCCATGTAAAAAACTATATTGATTTAGTTTCTTATGATTTTTCTTATTTTAAAATTTACGTAGTATAGGATTATAATTTATTTAATAATTATTCTATAGTTTTATTATAAATTTAAGCAGATTATAATTGCTATTATGGAAATATTATAGTTTTATAATAATGTTTCACTATATTTGGTAAAAAATACTTTTTATACCAGGGAAATTTATTTACCAAATACTTGCATGTAATGTATAATCTGATTTATAGATTTTAGTTTAAATGCAGATAATATTTTAGAGAGGTCTAATTAGGTTAATGTACACGGAAATTTCATAGAATTGAGGGTTCATTTATTTATTTTTTTAATAAAATTGTAATAATATTAAATCCAACTTCTTAAATAGGTATAGGTTATTTTTAGTCAGGACGCTTGAAAATTATTTGATTTATCATAAATTCCAAATTAAAAATATAATAATAAAATGCCAAATTTATGATAACTTTTGCAAACTAAGTATTGCAGGATTTTTTTCTTATCTTTATTTATTGTATATTAATAGTTCTTTTCAAGGGCATATGCAAATATTTATTAATTATTTAAGATTACAAAGAGTTGGCGTTAGATGTATAGTATACATTGTATACCTATCATATTAAAAGTAAAAAATAATAAACAATATATTAAGAACAAACCAATTTTATATTTATGAGACATTAAACAAAATATAAATTTTTATTTGTGGTAATCAATACTTTATTTGCACTCGGTAATATATTTTACTACCACTTTTTCCTTTTTTTTAAAAAAAAAAAAAAAGTCTAAATACTCATTTTTAATGTATTAAGAAATTATTATAAAATAATGTATTGAAGTAGATGTCGATATTGTCAATAATATACAAACCTATTAATAATTTATCTACACATTTTAAGCAATAATATTTCATACACACAGTAAATGGTTCTATAACTAATGATGAGATGTTTTCGGTAGGTATCAATACTATAATATACTTAGTTCACCCCTAAATACCCTATTGAATTGTATTGTATGTGATGATGTAATCGATTGAATAAGTATATATTTCTGATAATATAATCTAACGGAGTAACATTTATTATTAATTCATATTTACTAATAATCAATTATAATTTAAATAATAGGATTTCGACCTATAAACTTTATGCTTTGATAGATTATAAAAAATCGTTCGTCATTAATCATTACTTATATTATCGCTAGTCATACGCAACATAAGAAAATATATAACGAGAAAAAATAGTTAATTTTTACTAAAAATATACTTGTATTTTGTAAATATTGTACAAAATATTACACATATGAATAATATAGTAATACTATGAATACATGATAAAATAAAAAAATATAAATTGTAGTTAAAATTATAAAATTAAGAATTATTTTTATTGCTAAATATTTTGTCATCATAGATGGAAATAATATGGGACTTTAGGGCTAAGCCCCTAATGTGAATTTATCCCCCGGATTTATTATCGTTTTATATTGTATAAATTTGTTATTTTATATGATTGGGAATTTTTTTTTTTTTTTAATTAAACCTTTATCATGCAACATTACAGTTGCTAGTGATTATAACTAATAATAATAATTTAATGATTATTTTGAATCATTTATAGGTGCGAGAAAAATGTCTCAACTCATAATTTTTAATTAAAAATTGGTAGGGCTGAAGGCCCCCTTTTATTGGAATTCCCTATTTGCGCCTATGTTTATCACATTAATATTTATATGTATTTCTTAATAACAAAAACTTTTTAACCCGTAGTTCTATAATCAAAACATTAAATTAAATTTAAAATACTTAAGTAGGGGACACTAATAAATAGTAAAAAATCTCAAATTACAAATTTTGTATGATTTCATAAAAAGTATTTATGTTTAAAAGTTTTATGTGTTCATATTTTACTTATCAGTACGTTTTAATAACTGAAAACAAACTGATCGTCACTTTATATTTAAAATTGCCCTAAAAAGATTTTAAGTGAAAGTATAACGAAAATAAATGTATACACTTTAAAATTTTATAGTGTAGTAAAAGTTTTACTTTTGTTATTAAATTAGTATTAATATATTGTGCGTACATATTAAATATTACATTACATTTTTTAAAGTTGTTTTGAACTAAAAGTATACTTTATTCAAATCGTATTACCTATTATAATTTATTTTTATCAAATTTCTTTGTAATTTACATTTATTTTTCGACTTCATAAATTTAAATTTAAAATTAATAATTGAACAAGAAAGAATTGTTGTATTTTTAGAACTTGAAATAATTTTCAATTACTTAGTAAAACTTTATGAAGAGCTAAAGTTAGTTATGAATTATAACTATATGAACTATTACAATTTAATATAACTTAAAATAATTCATAATTGGTTGTAATCAATTGCTTGAATTTGTAACTTAAAATTATCAATTTGAACCTTTTTAGTTTTTAATTTTTATGACTTAATTAATTTTAAGCTTTAGGTATTAGGAGTATATATATAAATTATTAATAGTGATGGGATATTTTTGTTAAATTTTCATCCAAATATATTTAAGTAAAGTATTTTTCAATATTGTGCATTTGTTTTATTTCTTTGATTTAATTTTAAACGAAATTGTATGCATGTAGATTATACTTCT